CCCCCCCCCCCATTTTTTGATTCATTGTATGTAATGGCAGAGATTAGGGATTGGTAAAGTACAACCATAACTACAATCATATGAACAGAAATCTATGCGTTGATTTATATGAAGACAAGTCCAGATATTGTGGCCAATGTTTAGCAAATTGTTGTTTGTATTTACATAGCATTGCGAAAAAAAATTATAGCAATGTATTGGGGGGGGGCATTTTGAGGATATTTGAATATGGGGGGAATGTGACCCCCCCCCCCCCAACATTAAAATTATAATTACGGCCTTGATAAGGACGATTATTTGGGTCTTTCGTTGAAGCCACGTAGTTAGGAATAAGGATTGGTTTTAACCTTTGTGGCAATAAAACAGGAAGGTGTGAAAATGTTCAAACATCAGTCTGCATTAAACCACACGCGGTACTGGTGATGAACATGTAAACAAAAACATGCTCTGGTAATATATATTTGGCATTATATATGCAGGTCAAGCGTATACTGTACAATAATGTGCCGTATTCGTATATACAATAGTAACTAATCTTAACACGTTTGTCAAAAGCACTACATTATATGTAAATCGCACATTATTTTAAAATAGTTTTAAGGCCGCACACACCGGTGTTATTTTGAGAGGGAACGTGTTGAGTTTTGTTTGTGCTTATGTGCTACCACTGCATTATGATAAGCCACTTCATTGAGCTATAACTTGTGATAGGCAGGTCGCTACTAAAAACACATTCCTGCGGAGGGAGCTGGTAGGAACGTTGGGTTGCTCGGTCAATGGCCAGGGTCAACGGCGGCGTGGTGTATTCCGCAAATATGCCCGACTGTGAGGGCGGGCACAAGCCGGCGTGAGTAGGTTAAACGTTGAGTTTTATATAGGCACCACGGGGTGACCAGCCCCTCCCCACCCAGCCCCTCCCCTCCCACCCCCCACCCAGCCCCACCCTCCCCACCCAACCCCTCCCCACCTCCCCACCCAGCCCCTCCCCACCCTCCCCACCCAGCCCCACCCTCCCCACCCAGCCCCTCCCAACCCTCCCCACCCAGCCCCACCCTCCCCACCCAGCCCCTCCCAACCCTCCCCACCCAGCCCCACCCTCCCCACCCAGCCCCTCCCAACCCTCCCCACCCTCCCCACCCAGCCCCTCCCAACCCTCCCCACCCTCCCCACCCAGCCCCTCCCCACCCAGCCCCACCCTCCCCACCCAGCCCCTCCCCACCCTCCCCACCCAGCCCCACCCTCCCCACCCAGCCCCTCCCCACCCAGCCCCACCCTCCCCACCCAGCCCCTCCCAACCCTCCCCACCCTCCCCACCCAGCCCCTCCCAACCCTCCCCACCCTCCCCACCCAGCCCCTCCCCACCCAGCCCCACCCTCCCCACCCAGCCCCTCCCCACCCTCCCCACCCAGCCCCACCCTCCCCACCCAGCCCCTCCCAACCCTCCCCACCCAGCCCCACCCTCTTAATAGCCTTAACAGACTGTTGGGGCAAGGGCTGTTAGCGAGCACCTATGAAGGTCGACATAGGTACTCGCGAACATTTGCCCCAACAGCCGAAGGCTATGCGGGGGATCGTTGTCTTTGTTTGTGATTGTGTGAGAGTGATTGTGTGATTGTGTGCGATTATGTCGGTCATCTCAGTCAGTCGACCCGTGGCACCTGCTGGGTCTGCCCCGTGACCTCCTGCCAGCGGGCGTTCGACACTTCACGTGACCTCAAGGTGCACATGGCCTGGCACAAGCGTCGTGGTGACGTCACCGCCACTTAGTGGCGAATGGCCGTTGTTGTTGTTGTTGAACGTGATTGTGTGTATGAGTGTGATTTTACGTGTGATTGTGAGTGCTTGTGTATGATTTTGTGTGTGAGCGTGATTATGTGTGTGAATGATTGTGTATTATTGTGTGTGAATGATTGTGTATTATTGTGTGTGTGTGGGCGTGATTGTGTGTGGAATGGAGTTTGTATGCTTTCATCCCCTTCGGTAGACATGTGTGTGAGCAAAAGAGTTTGATTTTAAGCGAGTGTGGAGTCTGTGAATTCCTGCAGTCACGAAAGCTTTAAGTCAAGATTTTCTCACGTCTGTTGTTTGTTCATGTTTGTTCATGTTTTTTTTGTTGTGGCTGCACCCGAGTCAAGAGCCGCATGGCTCACAGGGCTATCTCCATAAATATACAAGGCAACGTTGTGAATGTGTCTGTTCAAAATGTTTAGCGTACTTCCCGACATGCGACAAACTTGAAATTTGCCATGTGGGTACTTTCCAGACTGTACACCATGCAAACATTATAAAATTATACTTTTTTTGGGGGGGGGGGGGGGAGCTAAATAATGCATATAATTTTGCACAGCAAGTGAGTTGTGACGTCACATCTGTCACGTGACCCGCGCACGTGGAAGCGTAACGCATTGTAGTGTAGTGGGTAGCGCGCCGCGCTACGAACCCGGCGACCCGAGTTCGAATCCCGCTCACGGCCACCACCGGTGACGATTATTTTAACCGCTCCTGGGCCTCCCCTAGGTCGACTCAGCCTCAAACGAGTAGCTGGTGTGGTGTGTGAACATTGCCACTGCGGAGTACAGCTAGTACCTAATAGATGAATCGGAGTCTTCCTCTTGGTTCTTTTGGTAAAGTCATCACGTAGAAGGGAAATAATAAAATAATAAAAATAAAAACATTATAAAATAATTCTCACGACGTTTCGGCCACAATGCAAGCAGCCGTCCTCAGGTGAAGAACAGGTCTGTCGGAAAGACAGCATTGTGGCCGAAACGTCGTGAGAATGATTTTATAATGTTTTATTTTTATTATTTTATTATTTCCCTTCTACGTGACTTTACCGAAAGAACCAAGAAGATGAATCCCTGCAGTCACGAAAGCTTTAAATCGGAACTGGAGTCTGTGCGTTCTCTCCACCTGTTCTGCATGGTCCTCTGGTTTCCTCCTCCCATAGCGAATCCCACACCCCACAGTGTTAACTGGTAGTGGTCAAACCACAGCTAAACCCTCACCCACAGTGGAACAGGAAGTGGACAAATCGCATGGGAATGCCGAGAGACATCGTCTGCAAATGACTCTAATTGGGATAGCTCAACGCAGTGGCATATCACGTGGGAATTTATAGCAACCAAATGCTCTAAGCGCACGTTTGTAAATGTGGAGGGAAAACTCGTAGAAAAATCCAAGAGACCAGGGGTAGAGAGAGAGAGACACGCAAACTCAAAATACACAGCAGCAGGCGTCAGGGTCGGGATCGAACCCACGATCTCCTGTATACCAGGCGAGGTAGTTAACAGCTCGCCACCACGGCGCCCACACACACACATAGGGACCGTCCATAAATGACGTCATGCGATTTTGGACGATTTTTGCCCCCCCCCCGCCCGCTCGTCACACGGCGTCACAAAAAAGTCAGACCCCCCCCTCAAATATGACGTCACAAAGCTCTGCCCCCCCCCCCCCCCAAAAAAAATAAAACATGGTTCAAATCGCTTTAAACCATTGTCATTGTAGTGCGTATTTAATGCGGCTCTGCACTCTGATGTTGTAGGAGAAAACATTTATTAGAAAGTCTATTTAATTAAGTAGAACGTGTTGTCTATATTTATTTAAAGTTGCGCATTTTGATGTGACGTCACATTTAACCCTCCCCCCCCCCCCCCTCGTCACACATCGTCACAAATGTCTGACCCCCCCCCCCCCCCTAGGTGCGTGACGTCATTTATGGACGGCCCAATAGCAGCAGCAGCAACGTCTCCGAGTGCGAAAACTCTTGAGGCTCTGTGATGCTTTCGTGGGTAAACGAGCACAATCATAAAGTAACTAATATAGACGTTAGCAGATCGTACAACTTTTCGATTTAAAGCTTTCGTAACTGCAGGGATTCATATTCTTGGTTCTTTCGGTAAAGACACGTAGAAGGGAAATAATAATAAAAAAACAATAAAATTCTCACGAAAACCACACCTGATGACGATTGCTTGTGTTGCAATCGAAACGTCGTGAGAATTTTATCATCCATCAGGTGTGGTTTTCGTGAGAATTTGATTGTTTTTTTTTAATGATTTCCCTTCTATGTGACTTTACCGAAAGAACCAGGAATACGTGTATTTTATTGTTTTATTTTTATTATATTATTTTCCTTCTACGTGACTTTACCGAAAGAACCAAGAATACGTGTATTTTACTGTTTTATTATTTTTATTATTTTACTATTTCCCTTCTACGTAACTTTACCGAAAGAATCAAGAATACGTGTATTTTATTGTTTTATTTTAAATATTTTATTATTTCCCTTCTATGTGACTTTACCGAAAGAACCCAGAATACGTGTATTTGATTGTTTGAATTTTCATTATTTTATTATTTCCCTTCTACGTGACTTTACCGAAAGAACCAAGAATACGTGTATTTTATTGTTTTATTTTCATTATTTTATTATTTCCCTTCTACGTGACTTTACCGAAAGAACCAAGAATACGTGTATTTAATTGTTTTATTTCCATTATTTTATTATTTCCCTTCTACGTGACTTTACCGAAAGAACCAAGAATACGTGTATTTTATTGTTTTAATTTTATTATTTTATTATTTCCCTTCTACGTGACCTTACCGAAAGAACCAAGAATAAGATCCAAACAACATTAATAATAAATAATTATACGTAGCGCTGAAACCAACACTCGCGTGCTCGAAAACAACGTCACGTGACCGATCAGCTGCTCGCGAGTCACGCGCCCACGGACTGAACCATCGATCACCGCGGGTTCGACTAAAGGGGGGGTGTACACGCGTGTGTAAATGTCTAAAATTCGACAACTATTGCCACCGAAGCGCATTGCTCTCCTTTCGATTTAAACAAACAGTCAACTCTTCACCTCATCTCCTTTTAATTCATCCACGTTGTAGTTATCCTCCTCGTTAGTTGAGTTTTTACGCGGTTGTTACTAAACCACCCCCCTCCCCCTCTTTACCCGTCGTTCGGGCCCAGATGGTCTCGCCCGTTCCGCTGAGTCGGCGCTCCGTCGGTGATCCGCGTCTCGCCTCCAATTCGGCGTGGCGGAGGCTTTATTATTTTATTATTCTTCGCATTATTGCGATCTCGGAACAAAGTCCGCCGCGACGATAAGGAAAAGTAGGAACGGTTTTTAAAAAAAAAACATTTTAAAGACGCGGTGGTTTTCGTTATTTATTTATTTAACAGCGCGACCGCGGACTTTCGACTCCCGTTCACTGGGGCAGAGCGCGGCGGCGAGGTTGAAACCAAAGGAACCTGCTCACAGCGGTAACGCGTGTGTCTCTGTGTGTCTCTCTGTGTGTCCCTGTGTGTCTCTGTGTGTCTCTGTGTCTTTGTGTCTCTGTGTGTGTCCCTGTGTGTCTCTGTGTCTTTGTGTCTCTGTGTGTATCTGTGTCTTTGTGGGTCTCTGTGTCTCTGTGTGTGTCCCTGTGTGTCTCTCAGTGGGTCTGTGTGTCTCTGTGTGTCCCTGTGTGTCTCTCTGTGTATCTCTGTGTGTCCCTGTGTGTCTCTCAGTGGGTCTGTGTGTCTCTGTGTGTCCCTGTATGTCTCTCTGTGGGTCTCTGTGTGTCTCGGTGGGTCTGTGTGTGTCTCTGTGTGTCCCTGGTGTCTCTGTGTGTCCCTGTGTGTCTCTGTGTGTGTCCCTGTGTGTCTCTGTGTCTTTGTGTGTCTCTCTGTGTGTGTCTCTGCGTGTCTCCCACGTGTCTCTGTGTCTCTCTGTGTGTCTCCGCGTGTCCCCGTCACCTTGCCTGCCTGTCTCTTTGCCACTGTGTCTGTCTGTGTCTATCTCTGCCCCCGTGTCTGTGTCTGCCCGCTGGTCTCCGTGTCTGTCTGTGTGTGCGTGTCAGTCCACGTGTCTCTGCATCTCGGTGTCTGCTCGTCTCTGACCCTCTTGTCTACCTGCCCCTGTCCCCGTGTCTCCCCCTCTAGAGATGACGTCGGCGAAGTTGTCAGAGCTGTACCTGGACCACGTGACGCAGGTGTGCAGGGCACGTGCTGTCAAGGTAAGAGGGGTGGGTGGGGGGGGTGTCAAGGTCACGGGGGGTCACAGTCAAGGTCACCTTGGTGGTAAGGTCAGAGAAGAGGTTTCAGAAGGAGTCGGTGCTAGGGGGGTAGGTTTAGGGCTGGAGGGTTTAAGCTTAAAGCTCGTGCCATTGTTAGGGTCAAGGTTGGAGTTTTGTATGGTATGTGCGTGTGCTGAACTTCTTTCGCACCGTACGTAGCCAACCGAGTTGGCGTTATGGTTTGAGTTGGGGGCCAGGTATAATGTTCGAGCTGGGTAAGGGTTACGGACTTTGGTTCGGGTTGTTATGAGGGTAGTAGGAGTTGGGGTTAGGGAATGGGGTCAGGGTTTGTGTCAGGGTTACAGTTAGAGGCTAGGGTTAGTGGTTAAGTCCTGATTTGAAGCTTTCGTGACTGCAGGAATCCATACTCTTTGGTTCTTTCGGTAAAGTCACGTAGGTAGAAATAAAATAAAATAAATCACGACGTTTCGGGCGCAACACAAGGTTGGCGTTATTGTTTGGGTTGTGGCGAGGACTAGAGTTCAGGCTCGGGGTAAGTGTTAGGATCAGACTCGAGTTCAAGTGTTAGGATTCGGCCTCTGCCATATAGTCGGGGTTATGAGTCTGGGTTTGGCGTCAACGGTTGCGTCAACGTTATCCATCACGCTCTCTCCCAAATGGTTAACGTCACGTCTATTGGTGCCGGTGTGGTGACTGTGACGTGGCCTTCGTGAACGTTTCATCTAAATTATCTCTGACCATTATGAACCCCCCCCCGCCCCCACCGCGGCTTTTCCTGCACCCAGACGTTCGTGCGTGCCCAGTTCAACTTTGACCCAAAGTCGCAGGGCGTCCTGAACCGTCCCCACGACGGTCTCGCCTTCCGCAGCGGCGACGTCCTCCGCGTGAAGTCGCGCGCCAAGTGGGACTGGTGAGCCTCGCGACCTTGTCTCCACTGCTGGATGAAGGTCTCCCCGCGTCGTCGCTGCCGACGCCGCCATCCGTCGGGCTCTCGCGCGTACAAACCGAATCTGTGGCTTCCGTCGGCCACGGTGGCTCGGAGATGTTAACTACCTCACCTGGTATACAGGAGGTCGTGTGTTCGATCCCGTCCCTGACGCCTCCTGTATATTGGGAGTTTGCATGTCTCTCCCTGTAATCGCGTGGATTTTTCTCCAGGTCCTCCGGTTTGTCCCTACGCATTTAGAATCATCATGCCTTTAGAGTTTTAGATTTGAAGCTTTCGTGATTGCAAGGATTCATATTCTTAGGTTTTTTTCGGTAAAGTCACGTAGGTAAAAAATGTAAATTAATAAAAGTAAAATAAAAAATAAAATAAAAATCAAGACGTTTCGGAGGCAACACAAGCTTCCGTCTTCAGGTGGAACCGTCACAGCACGACTGCTGTATCAAGTGACGGTTCCACCTGAAGACGGAAGCTTGTGTTGCCTCCGAAACGTCGTGATTTTTATTTAATTTTTTATTTTACTTTTATTAATTTTAATTTTTTACCTACGTGACTTTACCGAAAAAAACAAAGAATATGAATGCCTTTAGAGTGTTTGGCTGCTATAAATGTCCGCATGATGAGTCACTTCGTTGGGCTATCATTTATGGCCAGGTCAATTTTAAAGAAGAGCTATATAGCTCAGTGGGCCTTACCTGGTTAAAAAAAAAGTAGTTTAAAAAAAAAATTGTGCTTTGCGCACTTTCACACTTTTGCTCCGTTTTCTTTGGTCGCTGTCTGTCAGAATTTTGATCCAAATTTCATAGCTTGTCAATCCACTTGCCTGCTCACCTGCGTATCTGCGCGCTCACCTGTTCACTTGTTCCTTAATCTGCATGTCTACTCACCTGCTCAAGCACTTCCTTATCTGTGTGTTTACTCACTCACCTGACTCACCCCCTCACTGCTTGTCTGAACTTTCACGGCAACGTTCAAAGATGTTTTCCCAACATTGGATTGGAGAAGCCAAAGGCGTAAACTTAGCAGCGAAAACATTGGCTGTCTTCAGGTTTTGCTTGAGATCTGGCCATCGCGACCTGGCTATCGCGAAGTCCGTGGGAGACGAACGGCAGCACACGAGAGAGGAGCTCGACAATGAGGGCTGGGGAGCGTGACATAAATCTGAGCAAATTTCAAGTACAACGAGTTCGCTATCCAAATGGAGACATTTGATCACCTGCAATGTAAATTTAAACCGGATCTGCTGGCCTGCCTGGTAGGTGGTTCCTTTGGGTGTTTCTGTAATGGAGCTGCCTAATGGCTACGATCGGTGTAACTATACACGTGGTAACTTTTTTTAACTTGTCACCACGGAACATTTCTAAAATTGTGATTCTCATCAGGGCTCCATGGTGTTAACAAGTGCAGTCTCCAACTCGTGTCATCCACACCTCTGTGTTTTAGCTCTGAAAAATTTAACCCGTAAAAACAAAGTTTTTCACTGTAAATCCTTTATATGCGTGGCATCGGTTTTATTTTATTATTCATTTCTGTTTTTCTTGAGTAAGAGTTTCATTTTTATCACATTGGTATTTTAAATTAAATCTGAAATTTTTTTTTTCCTAAAAAGTGGAAAATTTTGGAAAAAATTTTTTCACGAAAAAAAATTGTCACGCACAACGAGTCTGTGTGCAAAATTTCAGCTCGATTGGATCACGGGAAGTGGGTTAAACGACCGAAAGATTTGCACGGTCGTAAGCGCACAAGCAAGCAAGTGAACTTAATATAAAGGATTTAAAAATGACCATTGCCTGAAACATCGCCTATTCGTATAATTTAAGGCCGCAATGTTGTTGACGATGTCTTTGAGTGTTGTTGTATAATCTGGGTAATTTTCGCATCGGATCACTGAAAACAAATATGTGACCAAGTCCAATCGTGAATAAATTTGGCATGGTTGTGGGTAACAGGGAGACACGATACAGCTTCAGAATGGGGGGGTCACTGCGTCCAACGGCTTACAAGTTATGGGTCATTGCAAACAAAATATGTTTTCAAGTTCAACATTACAGGCCATTGGAGGTGGTCAGGTTTTGGGCCCCGAGTGAGTTGACATGAAACGACCCAAATGTGCCTCTACTCCAGGTTGGCAGAGAGTATCCCCAAGGGGCAGATGAAAGCAGTTACTATTTTGTGGATCGTCTAACAGTGGTTGTGTGTGTACGGACCTCGGCGCTTGTCGTGGGCATATGAAAATACCAGCAATGGGCGTTGAGTGTGACCTGACATGTATAGACACGCAGACAAGGACACAGAGACACTTGGACGCACGCACGAGAGAATAGAGACACATCTGAATAAATATTAAATTTCGATTTAAAGCTTTCTTGACTGCAGGGATTCATCTTCTTGGTTCTTTCGGTAAAGTCACATGTTTCGGACGTCTTTCCGACAGCCCTGTTCTTCACCTGAGGGCGGCTGCTTGCGTTGTGGCCGAAACGTGGTGAGAATTGTATTTTATTAAGTTTAATTTTATTATTTTATTATTTCCCTTCTACGTGACTTTACCGAAAGAACCAAGAAGATGAATAAATATTATACCTCGCTAACCTCGTCAGACTGTTGGGGCAGGTGCTGTTAGCGAGCACCTATGAAGGCTGGCACGGCACACGTGGGGGTGGGTACCCAGCACCATGCCCAGCCGCCTTTGTCTCCCTGGTAGCGATGTTTGCACACTGCACATGGTACTCATTTGAGGCTGAGTCGTCCTAGGACCGGTTCAGATAATCATCACTGTTACACACAATCACGTGCACATACACACATACACGAACGGACAGACACACACACACACAGATGTGAGGACTCTTATAACGAATGTTCTCAATCAACTTGTTTTGCAGGTGGGAGGGTGAGAAGGAAGATGGTTCGACCGGGATGATACCCTCCCGAGACCTGGTGGAATGGTACAGTCCAACAGATTCAGACTTGCACACAGACAGATCCCCCCCCCCCACCCACCATTGCCTTCTATAAACTTTTGAGCCAAGTACTGTTAACATTTGCCTATAAAGACTGCATGGACTATGAGTGGGGTGGTAGAAACACTCTTCCCAGTACTGATGTTTACACACATCGCACCGGATACTCATCGAAGGCTGCGTCGACCTAGGGGAGGTCCCAGGACTGGGTTGGTATATCACTGGCTTCTGTTGTGTTAGTGTACGCGTGTGTATGCATGTTTGTGTGTGAATGCGGGGAGTGGTGGTGCAACGATTTGCACACTGTACTACTGAACCCCACAGTAGCACAGTAGCTAACATCAGTGTCGTGAAATATCTGAACCGGACCTGGGCACAATCCAGGTCAACTCAGTCTTAAAATAAGTACCTGGTATGGGGTGAAAACATCAGCATTGGGGACACTAAACCAATTTTTTTGGCTTGTACCAGGTAAGACCCACTGAGCACAAATGATAGCTCCAGACCTTCAGCTCAAAGGAGGTGACTGACTGTGTGGTGGTTATGTTGTCGTGGCTTTGTCATAATTGGGACTCGTCAGTACAAGGACGTCCAGCAAAGTTCGTTGCTGCCGTATTAAAAAAAACGAAAAACAATATTTATTTTACCCGGTAAGGCCCACTGAGCTATATAGCTCTTTTTCATAAGCGATCTAGCCACAAATTATAGCCCAACTAAGTGGCTTATCACGTGGCAATTTATAGCAGCCAAATAATCTAAAAGACATGTTTATAAATGTGGAGGGAAAAACCAGAGGACCCGGAAAAAAATCCACGCAACCACGGGGAGAGAGACACGCAAACTCCAAATATACAGCAGCAGGCGTCAGGGTCGGGATCAAACCCACGGCCTCCTGCATACCAGGCGAGGGAGTTAACATCTCGCCACTGCGGCACCCCGAAGGCGGCCGTACTGGCCTTTCGAGGCGCTCGCTCACAGCACTTGGCCCGATGGTCCATTAAAGGCTACACGGGGGGTCTTTGTCTTGTTTGTCTCTCTCAGTCACAGCGTGAGCTCCAAACCTGTCGAGCCTCAGCCCAAGTCCAGCTTCCTGGGTTTGATCCGGGCCAAAGGCTTGCGTGGACCCTACATGGCCCAGCACTGCTCGGGTACAACTGCCCTTGCCCACCCACTTGCTCACCCACTCACCTCCGTGTCTACCCACCCACTCACCTGCGTGTCTACCCACCCACTCACCTCCGTGTCGACCCACCCACTCGCTCACCCACTCACCTCCGTGTCTACCCACTCACCAGCGAGTCGACTCACCCACTCGCCAGCGTGTCCACACACCCACTCGCCTCCATGTCTACCTGCCCACTCACCTCCGTGTCTACCCACCCACTCACCTTCGTGTCTACCCACCCACTCACCAGCGAGTCGACTCGCCCACTCACCAGCGTATCCACCCACCCATTCACCTCCATGTCTACCCACCCACTCACCTCCGTGTCTACCCACCCACTCACCAGCGTGTAGTCACCCACTCACCTTCGTGTCTACCCACCCACTCACCTCCGTGTCTACCCACCCACTCACCTCCGTGTCTACCCACCCACTCACCAGCGTGTAGTCACCCACTCACCTCCGTGTCTACCCACCCACTCACCTCCGTGTCTACCCACCCACTCACCTCCGTGTCTACCCACCCACTCACCTTCGTGTCTACCCACCCACTCACCAGCAAGTCGACTCACCCACCCACCAGCGTGTAGTCACCCACTCGCCAGCGAGTCTACTCCCGCACTTGCTTACGCACCTAGTCCTCGCTGTACGTAGCCGACCGATTAGCACGGTTGGTTACGTGCTGTGCATACATCATACATCATTTGCTCGCTCACCTGCGTGTTTACTCGCTCACCTACTCGTTTATTCACTTGCTGTCTCGCCTGCGCGTCTCCTCGCCTGCTTGCCTGCTCGCTCACCCACTCGATATTTGCTTTCTGCCCGTGCGGTGCGCGTGCGGTGCGCAGTGTTCGACGATCTGGACACGCTGTCGTACGAGGAAGTCGTCAAGCTTCCTCCGTTCCCACGGAGAACCCTCGTGCTGCTGGGTGAGATGAGCACAGCCCACGGATATTTCGCTTGCTGCGACGTCAGGCTCAGAAACCCTTCCTCTGTTCCTCTCTGCCTATGCCTGACTGCCTCCCACCCTCTCTCTTTCCCCCTCCCCACTCCCCCCAGGAGCTCCCGGTGTCGGCAGGAGTCATATTAAGACCGTACTGCTCTCCACCGACCCTGACACGTTCAAGACTCCGGTGCTCTGTGAGTAATGTGCCTTGCCTACAGATACAGTAGTCCCTCGGTTAACGTTTTTAATTCGTTCCACGAAAGCTACTTTTAACTGAAATTACTATGAATCGAATAGAGGAATTGCATGTTGATAGCATTAATCCATTCAAAGCCAGAGAGCCGTTTCTGCTGCCAACGCACAAAACGTAATGTCAATAAAACCAGTCTCAAGGCCTAAAGCTCATAAATGGGTGTCGCTGATTGGCTGAGGGCATGGCTCAGCCCACTTACGAGCGCTCTGATTGGCTGAAATTGGCACCCGCGTATCGTAAAGTAAACATGCCGTTAATCAAAATGTTAAAATTTGTCGAAACCATGGAGTCCTATGGGAGGCGGAAACAAAACCCGAAAAACTGTGAACCGATGTCGCTTTTAACTGAGGGACTACTCTACCAAACTAAACTTAATATTTATTTATTTTACCAGGTAAGGCCCCACTGAGCTATGTAGCTCGTTTTCAGATGCGACCTGGCCACAAATGATAGCTCAACAAAGTGGCTTATCACGTGGACATTTATAGCAGCCAAATACTCTAAATGCACGTTGATTCTTAATGCGGAGGGAAAAAACGGAGGGCCCGTAGAAAAATCCGCGAGACCACGGGGAGAGTGAACATGCAAACTCCAATTATATAGCCGTCGTGAGTTGGGATCAATCCCACGACTTCCTGCATATCAGGCCGCGGGTGAGTTAACATCTCGCCACCGTGGCGGTGAGGAACGCGAGGTTATGGGTTGGTTTGAGGGCAACGCCGAGTGAGGCCCGGTTGCTCAGGAGATGTGGAGCCGGCACTGCTGAGATGCCGAGTTTGGATTCCGATTTCATCGGCCCCCAGCTGATTTAGACAGTCAGGTGTTGTCAGACCGGTCGCCTACGACTGCACAAAAGAACCGTCACATTCATTTTTTTATTTGAACATGCATCTCACAGGGTGTGGAACGGATGTCACATGACGAAAGGATAATGGTGGAAGCTCTGTGACGTCCACTTCCACGGGCTGTTTCACTAACGCCAAAGGGTCGCGCTGCCCTCTGCGAGCGTTCCAAATGGATTCGTTGGCTCGCGAAGACGCACTGCTCATTGCGCAATCGGGATAAATCTGGAGAAGGGAGATCACTCCGCAAGTGGACAGGCGGCATTCTCTATCTCGGCTGCAGAGCCCATCGGCGACCAGCCTGTAACTGTCAAAGAACCGCCAACGGGCTCGCTGCGTTGACGCCAGCGGGATCGGTCAAGTTTATTTTTTTCCCCCGAACTCCCTCAGACACGACGGAGCACCCGACCTCTCCGAACGGCGACGCTGCCCCCAACTCCGGGGCAGGGGCGGCACCGGGGACAGCGGGTGGGGCTGCGCAAGATTCCGGCCCGTATCAGCTGGTGTCGGACGTGGAGATGCGTGGGTGGGTGACGCGTGGGGAGATGGTGGAGTACGGGAACCACGGGGAGGCCATGCTGGGACTGCGCCTCCAGTGTGTGCGTGACATCATGCAGGGAGACGCCGTGTGCGTGCTCGATGTGCAACCGCAGGTGAGCGCTGCCCTGCGCACCAGCCGTGAGCTCACTTCCTATGGGTGCCGTGTGAGGTCACTTCCTGCGCGCGCAGTGAGGTCACTTCCTGCGCGCGCAGTGGGGTCACTTCCTGCGTGCGCAGTGAGGTCACTTCCTGCGCGCGCAGTGAGGTCACTTCCTGCGCGCGCAGTGAGGTCACTTCCTGCGTGCGCGCAGTGAGGTCACTTCCTGCGTGCGCGCAGTGAGGTCACTTCCTGCGTGCGCGCAGTGAGGTCACTTTCTGCGCGCGCAGTCAGGTCACTTCCTGCGCGCGCAGTGAGGTCACTTCCTGCGTGCGCTGTGTGAGGTCACTTCCTGCGTGCGCAGTGAGGTCACTTCCTGCGTGCGCAGTGAGGTCACTTCCTGCGTGCGCTGTGTGAGGTCACTTCCTGCTTGCGCTGTGTGAGGTCACTTCCTGCTTGCGCTGTGTGAGGTCACTTCCTGTGCACGGTGTGTGAGGTCACTTTCTTTGTGGACCATGTGAAGTGAATGTGCGTGGTGTGAGGTAATTTCCTGTGCATAGCATGCAAGGTCACTTCCTGTGTGCTTCGTGAGATTCCTTAAAGTATGACATCACTTCCTGTATGTGATGATGTAGTGTCACTTGCTGCGAGCATTAAATAGAAGGTGCGTATGTAGGAGATGGAGTGCCTGTGTGCGCTATGAATCTGAAGCCATGTGCATCTTTATTGCATGGAATTCCATGAACCAGTTCCCTTGGATGCTGCGTGTTGTCCTAGGTGGTCTCTAATAAAAAAAATTGCATTTATGTCACAAAAGAAAATAAAGTACTCTCCCCGCGCGTTTGTCATTCATATACAGATGATTCTTGGTTCGAACCCAGCGGCCGTCCTGGTTAATAGTGCCACTGTTTCATAGTTGACGTTCAGAATTCCGTGACGTTACTCGAAGCCACTGTGTGCTGAGGTCATGGTCTAGACACGAAAACTCTCATTTTACCTCATTGGGTCAAAGCCCCATACCAACATTGCCCCGCTACTGTGAAACTACAGCAGACTAATACTCTCCTGTGAAACACAGCACCTTCGTGATAGCCTCGTGCTGTAAGAAAGCGCAAATTCAATTGAATTTAATTCCAGAGGTTCTGCTTGACTTTGTGAGGTGAGCAAGCGAGCGAGTGAGGGTCAGTCGACCCCCTGGTCCATGACCTGGAGTTGCGTGTCATGTCCCCAGGCCCTGAAGGTTCTACGCTCGCCCGACTTTGCGCCCTTCGTCGTGTTCGTGGCTCCGCCAGCCAGCATCGGCGAGGCCTTCCAGGTACCGGCGTCACGTGACCAGTCCCCCGACGGGTCACACGATCGCACCTCGTGAGCCGCCGTTCGTTGACGTGGCATCACACGACATAGGGAGAGGCCGAGACTTTTAGCCTGGGTGCGTAGCTGCTAGAGAGGAGTTCTTGCAGGTTTGCATTGTGTGTGTGTGTGTTGGGTGAAAGGGACATTGTAGTTGCTCCAGGGCAAACGAGGGTTAAGTAAATATCGAACATTGCATCTCGTGTTTCAAATGACTCAAGAACTGCATAGTATGGTATTATTTTACCAGGTAAGGCCCACTGAGCTCTATAGGTCTTTTTCACAAACGACCTGGCTATGTATATTCTTGGTTCTTAATATAAATATAAAACATTGTTTTATATTTATATTATTTTATATTATTTTTATTATTTTATTATTTCTCTTCTACGTGACTTTACCGAAAGAACCAAGAATATGAATCCCTGCAGTCACGAAAGCTTTAAATCAAGACCTGGCTATGATAAATGATAGCTCAACGAAGTGGCTTATCATGTGGAAATTTATAAAAGCCAAATACTCTAAGGGCATGTTTCTAAATGTGGAGCGAAAAACCGGAGGACCCAGAGAAAATTCCATGCCACCACGGGGAGAGAAACATGCAAACTCCAAATACACAGCAGGCGTCAGGGTTTAAACCGAACCCACGACCTCCTGCATACCATGCGAGGGAGATAGCATCTTGCCACTGTGGCATCAAAATACTTTTGCACGAATGCGACACCAGCGACCGACACCAGCAGTGACACAGCTAGACAAGAGGACCATAGTGCACTGGGTCAGGAACTGCTGATGGCTTTTACATAATGCACAGAGGTCGTGTGTGCGTTACGCATGTCTGTGCACTATTATTCCATTATGATTATGGCTTTTTCTCGTCATTTACAGATTTCATTACTGATTCTTGTCCGCGAGAATAGATTATTCAGAGTCTAGCCAAATGATACCCATCGGCTAATGGAGCTAGCGAGATCGACGGTACAAACGGAACGGCGCGAGATGGACAGCACAAACCAGGCAGAACAGATGTACAGCAGGAACGGTGCAAACGTTTCTATACGGTAGAAACAGCGGATTAAAGGTCCGTGCGGTGATCGATTCAAGTTCTCTGGCGGTTAAATACAGGTGGCCGCGGTGCAGAGGTCGCAAACGGGTTTTGATTCCTTACCCGTACCCGGCCGCACCAGGGTCGCAAATGGGTACCCGTACCCTACCCGATACCCGGCTACCCGTACCCGGCTGGGTATCGGGTAGGGTACGGGTACCCGATTGCGACCTCTGGGATGAAGCCATGTTGCAGGCGCGGGTGGGTTGATTCTAGAAACTTGAAATGTGAGAAGAGACAAGACGTTGGCAAATGAGTGACAAACGGTTACTCACCAGTGACTCACGGCCTACGAGTAGCCGAGTATCGGTTAGGGTACAGGTATCGGGTACCCGATTTCGACCTCTGCCACGGTGGTGAATTCTGGGCGTCCACCCCCCCCACCCACCCACCACGCGCGCGTGCAGGCGGAGTCCCGGGAGCTGCAGGCCTCGGTGATGCACCTCGTCGACCTCGTCGTGGTGAACGAGGTGACGCACGACAGCGCCACCCTCATCGCCAGCGCCGTGCGCACCGCCGGGGAGACGCACAACTGGGTGCCACTCTCCTGGCTCCTGTGAGGGGCACCCAGCCTGGCACGACACCACCCGGCACTGCTCAGTACCGCCTCGCACTACCTGGTATTGCCCAGCAATGCCTAGCAAATGCATGGCATTGCCTAGTAATGCCAAACAATGCCTAGTATTGCAAAGTAGCGCATGGTATTATCTAGGAATGCGTTACATGGCCTAGCAATGCCTGGCATTGCCCCGTTGGCACTGCGTGACATTGCTGGGGCGGTAAGCGTCGCTCCGCTGGGTGGTACCGCACCGTCTGCCTCCGCACCACGCCGCGCGCTTCTCCTGCACGCTCGGAAACTCGGCTCTCTGCTCCGGCAATCCCCCCAGCCGGCAAACCCCCGGGGGCGACGCTGCAATCGCCCCAGCGCCGACGGCCACTGTTCTCCCCGCACCCCCCACCCCCCACCAGCACTGCTCTGCGTTGTTGTGTCCCATGTTCTGGGGCGTTTAGCGGCCAGCCGCGTTCGTTCTCACGGTCTCTTTCACGCCGCTTCGTTCCCAAATCGCATTTCAAAAATGTTCGTTTCTCATGGCTTGTCTGATGTCGTTGTTTTTTGTTGCGCAAGTTTCAAATGTTTAACATTACTGCCGTTGTTGTTGTTGTTGTTGTTGCCGAATTTGATATCTCTCGCTCCCGCCATGGGAATGTGGAAATTTCCACAGCTGGCTCAGGGTCACAGACAGGGGGAGAGAAGACGGGCGTTTAGCTGTTCAAACACCAAATAGGTGCCTTTCGCAAGGCATCAGGTCTGCATTAACCACACGTACTTGTGGAAAAACATTATCTCGTAATATAGTAATTGTCTTTGAAACTGATTGGCCTACACCAGAGGCAGCATTCTTTATGGCAGGGGTGGGGAACGTCCGGCCCGCGGACCGTATAAGGCCCGCAAAATCATTTGGTCTGGCCCTGCCAAGGCAACTGCACGACTCGAAATTCAATAAATCTAGGAGCTTTTTTCATAGCAACATGATGTTATAAATATCCAAATTGCCCTTGGCAGAAAAAAGGTTCCCCACCCCTGTTTATGGCCTTGTCTCACCAGTGTTAGACCAGAGAACGCCAAAAGACAGTAAAAAGTAATCATTTTGGATACTGGAAAAAAGCTCCCATAGACATAGGGGAGGGAAGATTTGACATTTCACTTTAAAGAAACACCAAAAAAAGACGTGGTCCAGAGTTTCACAGCTGAAAGCAATGCCGCGGCGGGTTTCGAGTCCTTAACGGGAACTCGTGGTGCCGTGCCGATTCGGGCTTCTGTTCTGCTTGGTTTGGCACGGACTCGCGCACCACCACTTTACTTACTCCCTCAAACGAGGATCCAATCAAACTCTGTATATCAAAATTTCAAAAGTGCAATTTGCGCGCAATGTTTTACACGGCACGCGCACAGCGCGTAATGTCGCTCTTTATCCGAAGCTGTTTTGTCCGTCGAACTTTGAGGAACTAGAGGGGGCACTGGGACAGGCGAGTCTTCATCGCAAGATCTATGAACTACATTCGAATTTTCCCGTTTCCAAAATGCACGCGTGTTTGTATCATTTGAGAGTGCATACAACGTGATCTGGAGCGGGGACAATAAGCGTTTAGCGGGTTTTTTTTGTCTCCCAAGCACGTAGCGCGAAACGCCGGACATCGTGCTGAACAGCACGTGGTGATGGCTTGCTGAAGCCATTCCGCGAACGCCTCACGCGGCGGTGAAATTAGCGCCGAGTGGAGGGTCGGGTATCGACGGACGGTCGAATTAGTGCGTAAACGAACTCCGTGTCGCCACAGTGGTTGTAACCGATCCGATCCATTTGGGGCTAAAATCCAGGTCGTGGGGGTTGACTTGCCTCTGCCCATCGCCCCTTTGGGGGGTCAATAAACCCGTACCACAGTCTGGCCCCCACCATAGGAATGTGGAATATCCACTCTTGGCTCAGGGATGTAAACAGGAGAAGGGGTCGCCCTCTCGGCACTTGTTTTTTGTTGTTGTTGCTGCAGACTCCGTTCCTCGTGCTCCCACCACTCGAAACTGAACTTGTCGAACACGCCGCGCGCGTCAGATGATTGGTAAATTGACGAGTCTGGGGGGGTGGGCTGACGAGTTACCTCTTGAGGTCTGAAGTACGTAAACCCTTTTCACGATCTACCACACATTTCCACCTCGACGTTATCAAACGCGGAATATGATTCGCTCTCACCTTTTACGGGTGACCGAGGCGCGCCGAAATTTCGATACGCGACCCTCTTCTTCGCGATCGGCGCACCCACGCTGCTTGGTGGTGACGTCGCTGTCGTCGTTTGCAGGGGGGGGCCATTTGCAACGTAAGTCGTGTAGTCCCCTCCGTGGCCCGTGGGCCGTAGCAGGTTACCCCACCCCCTCCCGGCGCAAAAACTCACGTGGGCTTCACCGACAAGCCTCAACGTTTATAGCACAAAACTGCGGCCGACTTTATGAACTTAAGCACAAAACGTTTCTATGGCAGTTGGTTGACGGTGGTCAGGAGTTTGTGGCGGCGGCGGCGCATGGCAAAAGCACGCTCCCCGTTCGGCCCAATAGACCCTGCGTGCGTGATGCAGTAGCGTGGCCTTTCATTGGCCTGTCGGTGTTACCACCGCTAGCAACGCTTCAAAAGGGGAAAGCCAAACGCGACGTCGAGCCGCGCCCGACGCCTTGAACTGCCTTTGCGTTTCACCGTTGTTAGCGATCATCAGCATGGCAGAATGGGCCTTTGCCTGTCTGCCACCTTGTTCACGTGGCGTCCACCTGCCGAATCTGGGGGGGGGGGTGTGATTCAATTTAAGAATCAACATTTTTTTCTCGGCATCGCTGTGAATGTAGCGGTCTCGAGTGGCTGCGGTGAGTTGACGTGTTGGACCTATTTCGTAGGACGAATCGACAAAACGTCGACTTGACGCACGCGCGCGCCGTCCATTGCAGGCAAGCGAACGCCGTGAGCTTAAGACAATCGATATATTGATCCACACCAGTGCATCGCGAACTCTCCCAGCCGACGTGTTCACACCCAGCGCCCCCTTGACTTTGGCGTCTCACGATGCCTTGTTTGGCCCCGTGCGCTCGTGTCGAGTGCGGGGAGCTGCGTTCTTGCTGCCGACTCGAGCCTGGTGGTGGTGGTGGTGAACGCGTTGTGAACGCTCGCGGCTCGCGTCGATCAAGGGCCTGGGTTCAATTCCCGTCTCGGTGCGCCTTCCCGCTTGGGGTTTGTGCATTCTTCACTAACCGCCCCCCCCCCCCCCCCCCGCGCCTGCTCTGCGTGGGTTTCCTCCTCGTTCTCCGATTTCCCCCCGACCATCGCGAAAAGAAAATGAACAATGCAACCGGTATCGGCCAAACATCCCAATGCTGAAACATTGCCTGCATATTTACTGGCAGGCAACATCGTCCCCTTTTTGCAAAAAACTTTACAGCTGATTTTTTTTATGTCTGTGTATGTTGAACTTCTTTTGCACCATACGTAGCCAACCGTGCTAATCGTAGGTGCGGGGGGGAAGGACAAAAAACGTAAGCACAAAACGCCGTTCTAAAGGAATGAGTGTCAATCTAAAATCTAGATGATGATTTCAAAGTGCACCGCTCCAGTGGCCCCTAATATAGGAAGGAAGAGCGTTCCAGACGGCCGCAGAAGCACATCTGAAAGCGCCGCGCGATGCGGTGACCGTCTTTTGTTTCAATGGTTCGCCAAAAGCCGCCGCTGTTCCGAGGATGACCGGAGTCTTTGAGACTCGGGGGGGTGGGTTCCTGGAAAACAAAAAAACACTGTTGTGTCTTTAAAAGTTCTCGATCTGACATCTCGTTTTGATTGGGGACAGACAGATGACTCGCTGCTCCTCGAGAGGGGTGGCCTGAACTCCGCACTTTTATCTCACGGAGCTCTCGCGTTTTTCTTTTTTCTAAGGACACGGGTCGCGGTTACCAATGAGTGGCATCTGCGATTTCTCCCAGAGGCACTCCGAGCGGCAGCTGCTCTTTCACAGAAATGCTTCCGAGTAATCGGTCAAGACAGCGCCGCGGACAAAGTAAAGTTTCGGTGTTTCTACCGACCGAGCGAACGTTTCTTATTGCACGTGCGCATCGCTCGCGTGAAAGTGTTGGCAGGGCCTTGGCTTCCAATGCTTTATGTTGGAACCAAATGTTCTCGAAAAGAAAACGCAGTTTCCACTAACGCTAAGCAGGCCCCACGCGTCCAGTGATGAGAATTGCATTGAATTGCTTGCGGAAGAGGGAGGCGGTAGTGATGGTGGCAGTGGTGGCTGCGATACTGGTGATGTCGACATTGATGGGTGTTGGAGGTTGACGGTGGAGTAGATGGGGGTGGTGATGATGATGGTGGTGGTGGTGACATCACCGCTCCAGTGACCAAAGACGGGTGGCCGTTTCTGCCCACTGCGACGTGTTTGAGGAAATAATTTTTAACCGAATCTGAAACCGCAAACTGCCACTTGTGTAATTTTAAGAGCGGCAGATTTGTTGTTTTGCTTCTGTATCTTTTGTGTTGTAAACCGCTCGCTTAACGATCGTATTTTCTCACTTGATCATTTTAGAGACGGGCGTTATATACTTGTGATTGTACTGGCGTGGGGGGTTCATTTGGTGGGGGGGAGTGGGGTAGCTTCTGAAATTGCCCCCCCCCTCCTCATTCCTGATTAGCCCCCCCACCGTCCCTGGTTCTTTAACTTAACCACTGGTGTTGCGACAAGAAATGATATCACTTTATAAACCAAAAAAAAGTAAAAAATCAATGTTTTTTGTTCAAAACTTTAATGTGCATTTCGTTGTGTTTTAGTCCGTGGTTGTCGTCATGCATCTAGGATTTCCTCTGCCTTAATACGAGAGACCTGCAACGAGAGACAGAATGAGAACGCCCTCGCTCCGTGGGAGGTTACTCCTGCTCTTCTGCTGCCCCCACTGTCTGGAAATGCCCCCGCCCCCCACCAGCCATCCGTGCTGACGACTCCCTGCTCGAGATTTTCCTCTTCTACTTTGCCTACAATTGATGGCCACTCTCTACAAAATAAATATGGCCACTGCTTGTGTACGACATCTTCAGATCAGAATGAGAATATTTATCTTGGAGGAATCTGATGAACTATGAAGATCTTTTAAACAGATGTCCAGACGCGGTCGCATTTAGACACCGCTCTATACGTCCGTGTTGTTATTGACTCGGAGACAGCCAAAGAATCGTAGTTCCGTAGACTCACCATGGAGACCCGACCCTTACACACACAGACCCACAGAGACACGGCGAGAACCTCAGACATACATATGACTACCTCTGGAATAAAACACATTTCTGCGGAGGGAGCTGGTAGGAACGTTGGGTTGCTCGGTCAATGGCCAGGGTCAACGGCGGCGTGGTGTATTCCGCAAATATGCCCGACTGTGAGGGCGGGCACAAGCCGGCGTGAGTAGGTTAAACGTTGAGTTTTATAAGGGCACCACGGGGTGACCAGCCCCTCCCCACCCAGCCCCCACCCAGCCCCACCCTCCCCACCCAGCCCCTCCCCACCCTCCCCTCTCCACCCAGCCCCACCCCTCCCATTTTTGGATGCACGACGGACAGACGGACACAATAATCCCCTGTGGGCTGGTGTAACCAAGAGGTTCCTACCAGTATAATCCCACCACAGTGGACTAAGATTCCGTTGTATTTTAGACACCAGACTCAGACGATTTATTCTGGAGGAATCCGATGAGCTACAAAGCGAATTTTTCACAGATGTCCAGTCGACGCCACCGTGTAAATCCAAACTGTAAATGTTGCTGAGAAAAGTCCGGGGGCTTGAGCCGGTCATGGCTACAGGGAATGGCGGCCAATGAGTACGTCCGCTGCAGAGATGGAGCAATGAAATCGGTTTGTCTGCAGGAAGGAGAGAGTGCGATGCATTGTGGCATATCAGGACTGAGGGATGGTGAGTGGTGACTGTGTTGGGGATGCCTGCATCCGGCAGTAGAAAGACCACACGGCTCACTGAATCTACAGCCGTTTAAATCTGTAGAGTCGTGTCAGTGCGCTGTACGTGCAAACGGACAAAACATCGCATTTCCATCGATTCTGATACAATTCAACGCATCTCTTAGAAGCGATTTTAATGAACGAATTGCACAATTAGAAAAGGATGGCAATGTTAAATGTGTTTCGGCCCCCCCCTCACCAAAAACAGACACAGCGACGCGTACAAAACACTTTGCCTTTGTGCACTATGCAAAAACCATCAAGAGTTCCTGAAGAACTGCATTGTGGTCCTCTTGTCTTACGTCACCATCAAAATATATTCGAGCAAACGTGACCGCCGCGACAGACAGCGATGAGACGGAGAGAGACGACTGTGGATTGCCAGCACGGTAAAGTCACCGATGCTCACAGCTGCAAAGTCTGCCTCTGGGAGCCATGTATATGGAGACTACACTCTGGGGGCCATTAGCGAGACTAATGCCAAACACAAACAATAACATCTGTAACTGACGAGAGAAAAAGCCCCCACCCTAACAGAGTAACAGTACAGGCCAGAAAGCCATATGTTTTGAAAACCACAAAAGAATAAAACCACTCGACCCTATGTGCATTACTGTCAGCAGTTCCTGAAGAAGTGCACTTGTTCAAAATCATTTCGTACAATTCCATGGAAACTTCAGAACCTAAATCTGGCATCGACCACCTTTCCTCAAATGCGGGTAAAACTACCACCCCCCCCCCCCCCCCTTTTTAAAATATAAAATGAAACTTAAACCTAAAACCCACGGCAAACAGTCCTTTCCGCCAAGACTCATTTAACCTCATTGACCGATGTAAACGGAAACCATGGCTCCCTTTCACCTAAAACCCACGGCAAACAGTCCTTTCCGCCAAAACTCATTTAACCTCATTCACCGATGTAAACAGAAACGGTGGCTAACAAAAAAAAACGGTCTTTCCTCCTTAACTCACTCCAGAAATTAAACCTCACAAAATCGGCAGAATCCGCATTTGCATCGAAAACAAACCACGGAAAAAAAATCCCCCAACTCTTCCTCCACCAAAAGCATGACAAAAGAAACCATCCGCTCTCCACCAAAAAAACACATTTCAACCGCCGTTCCACCAAGCAACGAGCAGGGAAAAAAACTGCGATTTCCTGCCGGCACGCCAGCGAGCGGGCGCAGATCAATTCGCTGGGACGGCCTCCGGTGCCGGGAGCGCAAGCTGCTGTGCGTCGTTTATGTCGCTGTTGTCGTTGCGTTGGCGTCGTCGCCGCAGCTGCAGCTGCAGGTGGAGCTTGCTGGAGAAGAAGACTTTCTTCCAGCCGATGTCCGCAGCCAAGGCGCGCAGAGACTCGCGATGCGAGGACGACGACGACGAGCAGGAGCCATCGCAGCCGCAGCACACAGCCTCCCACAGCGCGTCACTCTCACACAGCTGATGGACACACACGCGCACACACACGGGACACGCGTGCCCCATTGTATTGTGTGTCCCATTGTATTGTGTGTCCCATTGTATTGTGTGTCCCATTGTGCCTTCCCCCTTTTGTCTCCCTTTGCTCCCCGTGTGCCTTCCCGCATCCCCTCTGTGAGTCTCTCGCTGTGTATGATTTTGCCCCCTAAAATATAAACTTTTTAGTTTGACAGATAAGGCCCAACTTAGCTGTGCAGCTCTTTCAGAGGCGGCCTGGCCACAAATGATAGTTCAACGAAGTGGCTCTTGTGGAAATGTATAGCAGACAAATACTACAAACGCATGTTAAGTCTGAATGTGGAGGGGAAAAAACCGGATGACCCGGAAAAAAATCCACGCGACCACGGCAGAGTGACACGCAAACTCCAAATATACAGCAGCAGGCGTCAGGGTCGGGATCGAACCCACGAACTCCTGAATACCAGGCGAGGTAGTTAACATCTCCTAGCCACCGTGATGATGATGAGAGACACACGCAAACTCCAAATATACAGCAGCAGGCGTCAGGGTCGAATCCACGACCTCCTGTATAGCAGGCGAGGTAGTTAACATTTAACCACCGTGATGATCGAGATGCACGCAAATTCCAAATATACAGTGGGCACCGTCAGAGTCGGGATCGAACCCACGACCTCCTGTATAGCAGGCGAGGTAGTTAACATCTGGCCGACCGCAGTGCCCATGTCTTCCCTCGTCTGCTTGTCTCCACCGTGTCCCCCCCGTGCAACCCCCCTCCCCGTGCCCCCCACACCACCCTCGAACCCCCCTCCCCGTGCCCCCCAAACCACCCTCGAACCCCCCTCCCCGTGCCCCACACACCACCCTCGAACCCCCCTCCCCGTGCCCCCCAAACCACCCTCGAACCCCCCTCCCCGTGCCCCAAACACCACCCTCCAACCCCCCTCCCCGTGCCCCCCACGCCACCCTCGAACCCCCCTCCCTGTGCCCCCCACACCACCCTCGCACCGCGTGCAGGCGCGTGCACGTGCGCGCCACGCTCTGCAGGTCCTCGAGGCGAAGCAGCGCGAGCACGCGTACGCCGAGCGGCGCGGGGAGGCGCGACAGGAAGTCGTGGCGGCCCGAGCACGCGTCCTGGGCTCTCGACAGCAGCTCGGGCCCGAACACGGCGAGCACGCGGCCTGAGGGACACACATGTCAGGGCGTTACGGGAGGACAAACAAACACACGGGGTGGTTACGCCCGCACGCGTAAGGGTGCCTACATCCACGTCCGCATCGGTTAGCCCTGGGGGGCTGTAACGGCGCTGTGATCCCCCACGGCCCCACCCCTCGGGGAGGAGTTGCTATATAAGGCGGAGAGCCGGTGGTATTCAGCTTAACCAGTGAAGACTGGCTAGATAGGCCCTGGTACTCCCCTGGCTCGCTGTCCTTCTCAGGACCGACCAGGGCAAGCCAGTGGCGTGGCCCCGAGAGCCCAGAGCCGATGCTCTTGTAAGAGCCGGTCTGGTTGGCTAAGGGTGCCGTGATCCCAGCTTGGCCAGAGCTGGATCAGCGAGCCTCCCCTAGCTCTCGAGTGGAGGACCTGGGAGCAGGCTAGCCGGGCTAGTGTTAGTGGGGTCTCCCTGTTAGACGGGTGAAGGGGCCGTTACCCCTTCAAGTGTTGTATACATTGGCCTGCGTTGAGTGTAAAGTTATAATAAATAAGTGTGCCTCAGAGAGAGAGAGAGGAGAAGAAGACAAAGACCGCCCATTGCCGTTGATGAACTGTTGGGGAAAGTTGCCGTTAGCCGAACACCGATTATGAAGGCCGGCGCGGCGCACGAGGGGGCTGGTGTGGCCAGCAACCACGCGCGGCCGCACTTTGTCTCCCGATCGCCAAGTACTCGTTTGAGGCCGAATCGACGTTGAAACGCATCGCCCGCTTTCAGACGCGCTTCTGCGGCCGTCTGGAACGCTCTTCCTTCCGATGTTAGGAAGCCACTGGAGCTGCGCACTTTGAAATCTACATTGAAGACTCACTTCTTTCGAACTACTCTCTGCGTTTAATTTGTTGTTTTTTCTTTGCCGCACCTCCAATTAGCACGGTTGGCTACGTACGATGCGAAAGAAGTTCAACATACACGGTACATACTAAGGGAGGTTCAGGACCGGTTAAAAATTTATTTGCAACTGGTGTTGGCCGTGAGCGGGAATCGACGGATTCGGCGCCCACCACTACTCACGCACACAAAGATACTCCGCCCGTATAACCTACTATACGGTTCACCTAGGAGGGAGGTGGTTTGGTCAGCAGCTACCACGACCAGCCGCCTTTGTCTCCCCTATGCTGATGCCTGTGTCTCCCTCCGTGTTCCCTCGTTTTGTCACCTGATTGCGTATCTCTGCATCTCATCGTCTCTCGCTCGTCTCCCGCCATGTCTCTACCTCAAGTAGTCCCACGTCTCCTCGTGTCCCACCGCTTCTCGCAACGTGTCTCACAACGTGTCTCACGAAATGTGTCTCCCCGTATTGCGCTGTGTCTCCCCCGGTGTTTCACCTCCCCCCATGTCTCCCCGTGTGTCCTCACCCTGCAGGACTCTGTCCTCCAGAAACTCCGCGTGAGTCTCTTTCGTCTCCCCGGGTCTTGTGCTCCGACCCACGTGACGCAGAGAGACCTGCCACCACCTCCATATCACCTGCACCACCATCACCAACCACCATCACCACCACCATCTAATATTTGTATTACCTGCACCACCTCCATCTAATATTCATATTACCCGCATCACCACCAATTAATATTCATATCACCTGCACCACCATCACCACCACCATCTTATATTCATATCACCTGCACCACCATCTAATATTCATATCACCTGGACCATTTCCATCGTCACCACCATCAACACCATCTAATATTAATATCACCTGCGCCGTCACCACCATCAACACCACCATCTAATATTCATATCACCTGCACCATCAACACCACCATCTAATATTCATATCACCTGCAACAACAGCCCACAGACGCGGTGACGTCATCACTGCGATTGTGCCAGGCTAGGTTGCACTCTGAGGACGTGACGTGAATTCATAGGGACAGAACCACCCAGGTGTTATGGGTTTAGCGAGGTTTCCATATGGTAATAATGTGGTGTGTTAAGAACTATGACATTGGGTGGGGGGGGGGTCGGCTGATTGATGTGTATCATCTGTTACCCTCATGGTGCTCAAGTATATCAGGATAAAAAGACAGATATAACCACATCACCTTCACCATCAGACAGATATCCACCGTACATCCTAAATACACTGTTGGGGCAAGTTCTGTTAGCGAGTAGCACACCTATGAAAGCCGGCACCACGCCCGGCCGCCTTTGTCTTCCTAGTGTCAATATTTATATATATAGCACCAGGTACTCATTGGAGGCTGAGTCGACCTAGTGGTGGCCCAGGATCGGTTGAAATATATCGTCACCGGTGTTGGCCGTGAGAGGGAATCGAACTCGGATCGCCAATTCGCAGCGCAGCGCGCTAACCGTTGCACCACCGCTCCCCCCATCGCCGGCACCATCAACATCACCGCTATGAACACAATCCCCTCAATCACACACTGATCGACAAGATAATATCAACATCACGACGACATGGCATCATTGTCATCATGTCAACACAATTACAATTAAGTTGTTAGAACAATCATCACAAGGCACCTCGTCACCACCCCACCCCCCACCCCCTACGCGTCGTCTCCTCTTCACCACAACCATCGCGGTCACCACAACGACAACAACCCACCTCGTTAACTCCTCCTCTCGTCAACACGATCTGACAGAAACTTCTCATCACCACCAACAACAACGACAACAACAACAACACGGTAAAGATCCCGTTACAAATCATCACAAACCACTCTCCTCCGTCTCCTCTCTCCATCGTCTTCGTCCCCCCCCCCTCCTCCTCTACCCTGTCTCCCCGCCTCGTCACCCCCCTCGTTCACCTCGCTCCTCGTCACCACGATCTGGTAGAAGTCTTTGAGGGGAGCCCGCGCCTGGTCCCGCGCCTCCAGCAGCGGATCGGGCAGCAGCGCCGCCATGAGACACACGCCAACAAGACGCCGCCCGCGTCTCCAGGGGCAACCGTGGAGACGCCGGGGGGCGGGGCGGGGGGAGGAGACGTTGGGGGGCGGGGGGAGGGGCGGGGGGAGGAGACGTTGGGGGGCTGGGGGAGGGGCGGGGGGAGGAGACGTTGGGGGGCGGGGGGAGGGGGGAGGAGACGCCGGGGGGCGGGGCGGGGGGCGAGGGGAGGAGACGTTGGGGGGCTGGGGGAGGGGCGGGGGGAGGAGACGTTGGGGGGCGGGGGGAGGGGGGAGGAGACGTTGGGGGGCGGGGCGGGGGGCGGGGGGAGGAGACGTTGGGGGGCTGGGGGAGGGGCGGGGGGGAGGAGACGCCGGGGGGCGGGGCGGGGGGCGGGGGGAGGAGACGTTGGGGGGCTGGGGGAGGGGCGGGGGGAGGAGACGTTGGGGGGCGGGGGGAGGGGGGAGGAGACATTGGGGGGGGCGGGGGAGGAGGACGTTGGGGGGCGGGGGGAGGAGACGTTGGGGGGCGGGGGGCGGGGGGAGGAGACGTTGGGGGGAGGGGGGCGGGGGGAGGAGACGTTGGGGGGCGGGGGGAGGAGACGTTGGGGGGAGGGGAGGGGGGGAGGAGACGTTGGGGGGCGGGGGGAGGAGACGTTGGGGAGGGGGCGGGGGGGAGGAGATGTTGGGGGGCGGGGGGAGGAGACGTTGGGGAGGGGGCGGGGGGAGGAGATGTTGGGGGGCGGGGGGAGGAGACGTTGGGGAGGGGGCGGGGGGAGGAGACGTTGGGGGGAGGGGAGGGGGGAGGAGACGTTGGGGGCGGGGGGAGGAGACGTTGGGGGGAGGGGGGCGGGGGGAGGAGACGTTGGGGGGCGGGGGGAGGAGACGTTGGGGGGAGGGGAGGGGGGAGGAGACGTTGGGGGGCGGGGGGAGGAGACGTTGGGGGGCGGGGGGAGGAGACGTTTGGGGGGAGGGGGCGGGGGGAGGAGACGTTGGGGGGCGGGGGGAGGAGACGTTAAGGGGCGGGGGGAGGAGACGTTGGGGGGAGGGGGGCGGGGGGAGGAGACGTTGGGGGGCGGGGAGAGGAGACGTTGGGGGAGGGGGGAGGAGACGTTGGGGGGAGGGGAGGGGGGAGGAGACGTTGGGGGGAGGGGAGGGGGGAGGAGACGTTGGGGGGGCGGGGGGAGGAGACGTTGGGGGGCGGGGGGAGGAGACGTTGGGGGGAGGAGACGTTGGGGGGAGGGGCGGGGGGAGGAGACGTTGGGGGGAGGAGACGTTGGGGGAGGGGCGGGGGGAGGAGACGTTGGGGGGAGGGGCGGGGGGAGGAGACGTTGGGGGGAGGGGCGGGGGGAGGAGACGTTGGGGGGAGGGGCGGGGGGAGGAGACGTTGGGGGGAGGGGCGGGGGGAGGAGATGTTGGGGGGAGGAGACGTTGGGGGGAGGGGCGGGGGGAGGAGACGTTGGGGGGAGGGGGGAGGAGACGTTGAGGGGAGGGGCGGGGGGAGGAGGAGACGTTGGGGGGAGGGGCGGGGGGAGGAGACGTTGGCGGGAGGGGCGGGGGGAGGAGACGTTGGGGGGAGGGGCGGGGGGAGGAGACGTTGGGGGGGAGGGGCGGGGGGAGGAGACGTTGGGGGGAAGGGGGAGGAGACGTTGGGGGGAGGGGCGGGGGGAGGAGACGTTGGGGGGCGGGGGGAGGAGACGTTGGGGGGAGGGGCGGGGGGAGGAGACGTTGGGGGGAGGGGCGGGGGGGAGGAGACGTTGGGGGGAGGGGGGAGGAGACGTTAAGGGGCGGGGGGAGGAGACGTTGGGGGGAGGGGGGCGGGGGGAGGAGACGTTGGGGGGCGGGGGGGAGGAGACGTTAAGGGGCGGGGGGAGGAGACGTTGGGGAGGGGGCGGGGGGAGGAGACGTTGGGGGGAGGGGGCGGGGGAGGAGACGTTGGGGGGCGGGGGGAGGAGACGTTAAGGGGCGGGGGGAGGAGACGTTGGGGAGGGGGCGGGGGGAGGAGACGTTGGGGGGAGGGGGGCGGGGGGAGGAGACGTTGGGGGGCGGGGGGAGGAGACGTTGGGGGAGGGGGGAGGAGACGTTGGGGGGAGGGGAGGGGGGAGGAGACGTTGGGGGAGGGGAGGGGGGAGGAGACGTTGGGGGGGCGGGGGGAGGAGACGTTGGGGGGCGGGGGGAGGAGACGTTGGGGGGCGGGGGGAGGAGACGTTGGGGGGCGGGGCGGGGGGAGGAGACGTTGGGGGGAGGAGACGTTGGGGGGAGGGGAGGGGGGAGGAGACGTTGGGGGGAGGAGACGTTGGGTGGAGGGGGGAGGAGACGTTGGGGGGAGGGGCGGGGGGAGGAGACGTTGGGGGGAGGGGCGGGGGGAGGAGACGTTGGGGGGAGGAGACGTTGGGGGGAGGAGCGGGGGGAGGAGACGTTGGGGGGAGGGGGAGGAGACGTTGGCGGGAGGGGCGGGGGGAGGAGACGTTGGGGGGAGGGGCGGGGGGAGGAGACGTTGGGGGGAGGGGCGGGGGGAGGAGACGTTGGGGGGAGGGGCGGGGGGAGGAGACGTTGGGGGGAGGGGCGGGGGGAGGAGACGTTGGCGGGAGGGGGGAGGAGACGTTGGGGGGAGGGGCGGGGGGAGGAGACGTTGGGGGGCGGGGGGAGGAGACGTTGGGGGGAGGGGCGGGGGGAGGAGACGTTGGGGGGCGGGGCGGGGGGAGGAGACGTTGGGGGGAGGGGGGAGGGGAGGGGCGGGGGGAGGAGACGTTGGGGGGAGGGGCGGGGGGAGGAGACGTTGGGGGGAGGAGACGTTGGGGGGAGGGGCGGGGGGAGGAGACGTTGGGGGGCGGGGGGAGGAGACGTTGGGGGGAGGGGCGGGGGGAGGAGACGTTGGGGGGAGGGGCGGGGGGAGGAGACGTTGGGGGGAGGGGCGGGGGGAGGAGACGTTGGGGGGAGGGGCGGGGAGAGGAGACGTTGGGGGGAGGGGGGAGGAGACGTTGAGGGGAGGGGCGGGGGGAGGAGACGTTGGGGGGAGGGGGGAGGAGGGGGGGGGGCGGAGGGAAGAGACGCCGAGGCGGGGGGGGCAGGGGAGACGCAGGGGGGGAGGGGTTGAATTCTCGAGTGTTCTGTGACCAGCCTAAAACTCCAGAGTCGTCTAATTTTGCAAGAACAATCTGAGATCACCGCAATGACAAATTAAATGAAGAACAAAGTCGAGCATTTCTTCTACATTTGAAGTTTTTCGTGACTGCAAGGATTCATACTCTTTGGTTTTTTTTGTGAAGTCACTTAGGTAAAAAGCTTTTGTTGACTCCGAAACGTCGTGATTTAATTTATTTTAATTTTTTACCTACGTGACTTTACCGAAAAAACCAAAGAGTACAAAGTCGAGCAATGAAGCAAATTTAAATCAGAGCAAAAACAACCGCGTTACGGAGGAAATCGGACACAGTGCACAAACTTAACCTTAATTACCGTATTACATTTTCAAAAGTTTTGCTGGCTGGTTGTTGCGCGGGTGGGCCGTCTGGAACACTCTTCCTTCCGATATTAAGAAGCCACTGGATCTGTGCGCTTTTAAATCATCACCTCGATCAGGGGTTGATAGCCTGCGGCGCCGAATCCGCATACGGCTCGTTGGCTTCTCCCTTGCGGGCAGCCATGAAAAAAAAATCTAAAATCTTAATAATAATTTAACGTGAACATGATTGACTAAATATGGCATGTCTTGGTGACAACAGCATGCACAATCAAACTGTATTGTTAACCATAACTAAGGGGAGGGAAACAAACGAAATAGACGCCGTTTATTGAGATTAAAGACCATTGTTTATCCAGGCGGGATCCCATTCAGACTTAGTTCTTTCGGTAAAGTCACGTAGGTAAAAAATGAAATTAAGATTAGTAAAAATTAAATAAAAATCACGACGTTTCGGAGGCAACACAAGTCTCCGTCATCAGGTGGGACCGTCACAACCAGATTTGCTGCATCAAGTGAAGAGATCTCTAAGAGAAACGAGATTATACTGGTAGGAACGAAGTGAACCAGCCTACAATAGATTATATCGTCCGTCCGTCCGATGTCCGATTAGGTGTAGCAACATCGCCCCCTACTGCAAACACTTGGCAGGACCCTACAAAAACCTTTAGACTCAGTGAGGCTTTCCTGGCTAAACAAGTGTAACATTCCCTTATAATTCCCTGAGATATTTTTTAAATAATTCCCTGAGATAGTTTTTAATTAAAACATTTAAATTTAAAATTAACTCACAGCGGCCTAAAGCCTACAGCTCGGCCTAAAGCCTAGAACTAGGCCTCAAACTCTCCCTTCGTATCGTACCCCAGCCATTTAGTTTTATTATAGCCATTCATTTGTTCGTTGTTACCAGCCCACCCCGCAGGGACCTGTTTTGTACACAGGTTAAGAAGGGGGCGGGGGGGGGGTGAGCCAGGATGTACCTCGTGTGCAACAAATCTGGCTGTGACGGTCCCCACCTGATGACGGAGACTTGTGTTGCCTCCGAAACGTCGTGGTTTTTATTTTATTTTTTACTAATTTTAATTTCATTTTTTACCTACGTGACTTTACCGAAATAACTAAGAGTATGAATCCTTGCAGTCACGAAAGCTTCACATCTAGAACCCTGAGTGTCACCTACGCGTGAGCATGTTCAGGTTTGATGTCCTTTCTTTCACCACGTGGGAGCAGCAACACTGAGATTGCACTTTCGTGTCGCACGGTGTCCGTCATTCATTTTCAGAGGGGAGGGGGGGGGGGGTCCACTTTTCGCTAAGGGGCCGTCCATAAATGACGTCACGCACCTAGGAGGGGGTGGGGTCAGACATTTGTGACGATGTGTGACGAGGGGGGTGGGGGGGGTGAGAAATGTGACGTCACATCAAAATGCGCAACTTTTAATAAATATAGAATTGTTATAACAACACTAATAGTTATAACAACACTCCTACAACATCAGAGTGCAGCATCACATGAAATACGCACTACAATGACAATAGTTTAAAGCGATTTGAAGCATGTTTTATTTTCAAAATGGAAATATGTTTTTTTTTTGGGGGGGGGGGGCAGAGCTTTGTGACGTCATATTTGAGGGGGGGGGTTCTGACTTTTTGTGACGAGGGGGAGGTCAAAAATCGTCCAAAATCGCGTGACGTCATTTATGGACGGCCCCTAAGACATCATCAGCTGCGTGAGGGCCGCCACACCGTTTGAAACCATTGTTGGGTTTGTGACAGCAGCAGCGACGATGATGGTGATGGTGGTGGGATGCGTCAGGGGCCGCACGAAAGGCCACCAGGAACTTCACACAACGGAGAACGTCATGAACAGTCGCCCCCCCCCACCCCCTCCCCCCCCTGGTGGGACAACGAAAGTTCATTCACATCCGATGATGATGATGTTGATGATCGTGATGTTGACCGGATACCCACGGAAATGTTTTCGTGTTACTAGAAAATAGAAGACGTTACTCTTACACTCAGCCCGAACCCCGCCACTCGCCTTACCTCGAACCCTACCGATACCCATTACACTACCCCGACTGCTAGCACAAGCCATACCTCTAATACTAACCCCTAACCATAACACTACCCATACCCCAAACCATAACACTACCCATATCCCTAACCATAACAACTACCCCTCTCTATAACCCTACCACTAACATCACTAACTACCCATAACACTACCCATACCACTACCCATAACACTACCCACACCACTACCCATACCCCTAACCATAACACTACCCCTCTCTATAACCCTACCACTAACATCACTAACTACCCATAACACTACCCATACCTCTAACACTAACCCCTAACCATACCACTACCCATACCCCTAACACTACCACTACCTCCTAACACTACCCATACCCCTACCACTACCCATTCCCCTAACACTACCCATTCCCCTAACACTACCCATAACTAGAACGCTACCCATACTCCTAAAACTACCACTACCCCTCTCTATAACCCTACCACTAACATCACTAACTACCCATAACACTACCCATTCCTCTAACACTACCTATACCCCTAACACTACCACTACCCACACCCCTAACACCACCCATACCACTACCCACACCCCTAACACGACGTGGCACAGGTGACCTTCAATGCACCTGTCCGCATTCCCACGCCCCCCCCCCCTCTCTCCCCCCTCGCTCTCCCCCCCTCTCTTTCCTCCACCCGTGAACTCTATCCACTCTGCTACCCCCACCCACCTCCATAATCACATTTCTCCTCCCCCTCTACTCACTTATATACCCAATAACTACGCCCCCACCTTCTCTCTCTGCCCCCCCTCCCTCTCCTTTATCTCCCCTCCTCTCCCTCCACTCTCCTCCCCCCCTCACCGCTGCCCCCCTCTCTCTCTTGGACTCTCGCCTCCATCTCCCGCTCCTCTCTCTCTTTCCTTCTGTCTCTCCGTGTTTCTACAATTCTCTTCTCGCGCCAACTCACGTGTCTCCACGTGTCTCCCCCCTTGTCTCCTGTCTCCCCCGTATCTCCACGTCTCCCCTAGTACCCCCCCCCCCCCCAACCCCTTGCGTCTTCTCTATCTCCACGTGTCTCCTCCGCCTCCCGGTGTCTCTCCGCGTGTCTCCGCTCCGGGCTTTTCCATCCCCATTGTGCGTCCATCCTCTCGTCGCCCTCGTCAGCCCGTCACCTCATCACCTCACCCCCACCCCCCTCAATCTCCCCACCACCTCGGCACCATGTCTCTGAACGTGTGCTTGGGCTCCCTGCTCGTGGTCGTGGCGTCCTGCGCGCTGCTGCTGCGCGCGCTCTCGCTCCTGTGCCGCCTCTGCTGCCCCTCCTCCTCATCCTCCTCGTCCTCGTTGCTCCGCTGGGCGCTGCTGGCGACGCGCGAGTCGCTGGTGGCCGCGCAGTGGGCCGCGTGCGCCCTGGAGGTGCGCGCCCTGGCGGGCCCCGCCGAGGGCAGCGGGGCCCGCGGGGTGCGCGCCGTTCTCGAGCTCGCCACGGGGGCCGCGGGGGCCCTGGCCGTGGCGCACGCGGGATCGCACCCCCTCACCCAGGTGAGCGGAGCGGAGGGGAGGGGGAAGGTGAGGGAGGGGGAAGGTGAGGGAGGGGAGGTGAGCAGAGGGGAGGGGGAAGGTGAGGGAGGGGAAGGGAGGTGAGCGGAGCGGAGGGGCGAGGTGAGGGAGGGGAGGTGAAGGAAGTTGGTGGGGGGGATTAAAGGAAGTGTGGAAGTTGAGTGGAAGGAGGTGAGGGGAGAGGTGGGAGGGTAGGTGAGGAGAGCGGAGGGGAGGCGAGGGGCAAGAAAGGTGAGGGGAGTGGAGGTGTAGGAAGTTGGTGGGGGGAATTAAAGGAAGTGTGGAAGTTGAGGGGAAGTAGGTGAGGGGAGAGGTGGGAGGGGGGGAGCGCTACGAGGCAGGGTTGTCACGCATGGAGGAGCTGTAGCCGAGGATAGAAATTTCACGTGGGTCGGAGAAAACTCCACGCGACCACGGGGAGAGAGAGACTTGCAATCTCCACATATACAGGCGTCAGGGTTGGGATCGAACCCACGGCCTCCTGCATACCGGGCAACTTGAGTAAACATCACTGCGCCACCGCTCCCCTCACCGCCCCCCCCTTCCCCCCCAGGGTCATCCAGTGCTGGCCCTGGTGTCCACCCTGGACGCATCCCTCCCGTGTCTCCACCTCGCGGTGCTGCTCGTGGCCCAGGCAGTGGGCGCCCTGGTGGGGCGACTCTGCGTGTTGCGCCTCTGGGCGACACAATTCTCCTTCCACCACGTCATCCGCCACATGCTGGCGCGCGCCGGCGAGTGCGTGGTGACGCCGCCGCCGGCTGTGGTGGTGGCGGCGGTGGTGCCAACCACCACAACCACCACAACCACAGCCGACGGCGGCCACCAGGCGCTGATTGAAGCCATGCTCACAGAGGCGGCGCTGTCCATGGTGCTAGCGCTGGTGGTGTTGAGGCTCGGGGTGCCCTCCTCCACCTCCTCGGCCAAGGCTGGTGGAGCATCTACCACCGCTACCACCAGCAGCAGCGGTGACGTCGGCACAATCACAAGCACTAGCAGCAGGAGCAGCAGGAGCAGCAGCGGCAGCGGTAGTGTCGACGTGGTTCCCGTGTCACGCACGCGCGCCCTGCTCGTCGCGGCCTGCGTGGCGACGCTCAGCTGCATCGGTGAGTCTGGTGCAGCGTCACCCGTTCAGCCGCCAAACTCCCCGTTTATCCGCAAATCGACTCGTGAATGTCTTTGTGTTGAACTTCTTTGGCACCGTACGTAGCCAACCGTGCTAATTGGAGGCGCGGGGGAAGGACACGGTTCGCGTGCTTGCGATTTGGATTGGCAGCTATGTGATCATGTATATATGTCTCTTTTTTAACATCTGAGAATCTTCATAATAAACGTTTTTGGGTTAGATCGCGTTATTTATAAATGTGTCGTAACCCTCCACCACCCGACACGGCCAATCAGCAAAAAAATTGTCATGTTGACAAAAAACAAATAGTTCACTACTTTAGCCCACCGGTGTGTTAAGAGTGAATCCACAACTTTACAATTTTTGAGTAGTATGACGTTTCGCTGGTAATTACATCCAGCATCATCGGGCAGATCGTCATCATTGAACTCATTCAGGTGCAAGGATTTGAGGCGGGGGGAGGGGGGGGGTATTGTAATTATATAAGATATTGGTAATCAGTCAATTGTTACGATTAGTAATGAGTTGTAGATTAGTAATTAGTTGTAATGTGTGTTATTGTAATTATATGATACGTTAGTAATCAATTAATTAGTATGTTTCCCCTATAAGGAATTGTAATCTGCCATTTCACAAAGCTGTTCATCCGCAAATTGATTTACCGAGTATTCAAACCCGGGTCTATCTGCAAAGCAGGAAGAAGCCGTGCTCAACATATACAGCTGCGGCTCTGCGTGTGCGCTGTGCAGTCCATACGGTGTACATCCGTTTCAATACGGGCAACATAAAAAAACGTGTTTTTTAAAATCCTTTATATTAAGTTCACTTGCTTGCTTGCTTGCTTACGACCGTGCAAATCTTTCGGTCGTTTTTTAACCCACTTCCCGTGATCCAATCGAGCTGACATTTTGCACACAGACTCGTTGTGCGTGACAATTTATTTTCGTGAAAACATTTTTCCGTAACTTTACACTTTTTTGCAATTTTTTTTATATTTAATTACCAATTGCTTAATGGTGGCAGGCAATCATCTGACCCATAGGTGGCAGCCATCTCAAGCCAGAGGACGAGAGGACTCTAGCCACCACGCATATAAAGGATTTATAGTGAAAAACTTTGTTTTTAGGGGTTAATTGTTTTAATTATTAGTTTGTGTTTCTCCCTTGTGATGGGACTTTGTAGGATGAACGCTGAGATTTATAAGAGGGCACGGGGTGACCAATAAGGTCTGAATTTGGTCTGTAATAAGGTAGGGCACTGACAAGGGGTTGACGGGTATGGCAACTCAAAGACTGACTGATGAATGTGGTGGTGCGATGTTGTGGTCTTGCTGTGCGCTGCGCAGTGGAGTCAACGTCTCTGGGCGTCTTGAACCCCGCGGTGGCGCTGGCCCTGATGTGGGGATGCTCCACTCCGTCCCCGTCCAGGCTGGGACTCGTCTACCTGCTCGCACCTGTGCTAGGTACTCAACCACTGAGAGAGAGAGAGAGAGACAGCGATCGCCAACCCACTCCACTGTAATCAGCCTCGCATGGATTGCTGGGGCAAGTGCTGTTAAGTATGTCTATGACGGCACAGTAGGGGGCACGCCTGGTGCATCTGCCAGTCATCTCAGTCAATCCACGGCACCTCAGTCTGTTCCGTGGCGTCCCGTCCGCGAGACTTAAGACACTTTACGTGGCCTCAAAGTGCACCTTACCTGGCACAGGTGCCGTGGTGACGTCACCGTTATTTCGTGGCAAATGGCGAGTATTGGAATTGCGTGGCTGGATTAGAGGCTTTTGCTGACATGGGACGCCACGGTGTTGAGATGGTCTCTCGCCCGGTGTGCAGGAGGTTGTGGGATTTTTTCCGGGTCCTCCGGTTTTTTCCCCTCCACATTTAGAATCAACATCACGCGTTGCATATATTTGTCTGCTCGAAACTTCCACGCGAAAAGCCGCTCTGTTGAGCTTTCATTTGTGGCCAGGTCGCTTCGGAACAAAAATGAGCTACATAGCCCAGTGGGGCCTTACCTGGTAAAATAAAGTCTTTTAGTTTCAGTTCACAGGTGTCTTCTCCCCACCACCCGTGTCCCCACGCCCCACGCAGGCGCACTCCTCGCCGTGTTCCTCTACCGGGGCCGCGTCCCTCTGCTCTTCTCGCGCCAGCTGCTCTACCGCACCAAGCCGCGTCCCGGCCCTCCGCCCCGGCCAGCACTGCCCGCGGCGCCGGCCGCGACGCAGCTCCGGGCCAGGCCACAGGGAGCAGGCAAGAAGGCGGCGGCGGCGGCACCGGCGGTGACACCGGCGGTGACACCGGCGGTGACGCCGACAGGCAAAGTCGCGTCGCTCAATGCGGGCAAGCGGGGTAAAGCGCAGTGAGGCGGCGGAAAACGACCTACCCAGCACGATGCAGCGGGCACACGACCCCACTCGCACCACGACCGCCAATCGAGGTCCAGGACCGACTATCGAGTTCTGTCCGCAACCCTGTGTGCTGCTGCGACGACGCAGCGATCCACCCACCGAGCGCTCCTGCACGCGATCCCATTCCGGCGCTCCGTCTCTTGCGGCGGACGCAGCCCCTCTCCGGGCACGTCTCCCCCTACCCCTTGGCTGCCACTCGGTTTGCCGGTGTGAGAATCGGTGTCGGTCGACGGATCGTTACGACCGCGGCTTCGTCGTTGCAACTATTGGCCAGAGGGGTAACCGCGCAGGTGGGTAGAGTTTAACGTTGCACGCGCTCGCTCGCTCGCTCTCTCGTATGCCCACATGCACGCATCCGCCACAGCTCGCGACAAGACCTCTCGAGTGCGAATGTGAGAATTTATTACGAGGTCACAGTCCCCCCCCACCCCCAAATAAACGCCTCCGTGCCCTTGCTGCAGAGCTGCTCCTCCTTGCTTCCTGTGTGCGCCGAGTGCGAGCAGCACTGCGGCACTGCATCAGTGCGCCTGTGTGCGCCTGTGTGCGAACGCGTTCGTGTCACAGTTGGGATTGCGAAGGGCGTGGTGCACGTGGGTTTTGTGTGTTTCGTGTGTGGAGTGTGCATACGTGTGCAGTACGTGTGTGGTGTCTGCTGTGTGGTGTATCTGCGGTGTGTGCACACGTGTTGTACGTGTGTGTGTGGAGTGTGCACGTATAGTTGCGTGTGTGCGGAGCGTGCGTCTGGTGTGTGTGCACATGTGGTGCGCGTGCTGAGTGTGCGTGTGGTGTGTGCGCGCATGTGTGTGGTGTGTCTGAGGTGTGTGCATGTGTGGTGAGCGTGTGTGGAGAGTCCTCGTGTGGTGCGTCCTCACGGTGTGACATGTGGGACGTGTGACGTGAGTGGTATTTGTGCGGTGTGTGCGGTGTGTGCGGTGTGTGCGGTGTGTGCGGTGTGTGCGGTGTTTGCGGTGTGTGCGGTGTTTGCGGCGTGTGCGGTGTGTGCGGCGTGTGCGGTGTGTGCGGTGTGTGCGGTGTGTGCGGTGTTTGCGGCGTGTGCGGTGTGTGCGGTGTGTGTGCGGTGTTTGCGGTGTGTGCGGTGCGTGCGGTGCGTGCGGCGTGTGCGGTGCGTGCGGTGTGTGTGCGGTGTGTGCGGTGTGTGCGGTGTGTGCAGTGTTTGCGGTGTTTGCGGTGTGTGCGGTGTTTGCGGTGTGTGCGGTGTTTGCGGTGTGTGCGGTGTGTGCGGTGTGTGCGGTGTGTGCGGTGTTTGCGGTGTGTGCGGTGTGTGCGGTGTTTGCGGTGTGTGCGGTGTGTGCAGTGTTTGCGGTGTGTGTGCGGTGTTTGCGGTGTGTGCGGTGTGTGCGGTGTGTGCGGTGTGTGCGGTGTGTGCGGTGTGTGCGGTGTGTGCGGTGTGTGCGGTGTGTGCGGTGTTTGCGGTGTGTGCAGTGTTTGCGGTGTGTGTGCGGTGTTTGCGGTGTGTGCGGTGTGTGCGGTGTTTGCGGTGTGTGTGCGGTGTTTGCGGTGTGTGCGGTGTTTGCGGCGTGTGCGGTGTGTGCGCGCCTCCCGCGTTCTCAGAAGAACAGCCCCCGCATGCGCCGCCCCACGCCCTGCCGGTCGTACAGGGTGTTGAACTTGTTCACAAAGAGGTTTCCTGTGTTGCAGCTGCGAGTCACAGCTCCGAGGTACGCCATGAGTGCCACGTCGTTGCATTGCTGCTCACGCAGAGAGACAAAGAAACCCCATGTAGCCTATACACACTGTCGGGGCAAGTGCTGTTAGCGAGAAGCTAATTAAGACTGGTGCGACGCACTATGAACAACATCTGGTGGTGGTGCACTGGTCGTGGTGGTGTTAACTACCTCGCCAGGTATACAGGTGGTCGTGGGTTTTATCTCAACCCTGACGCCTGCTGCTGTATATTTGGAGTTTTCATGTCTCTCCCACTCTCCCCGTGGTGAAGTGGATTTTTCTCCGGGTCCTCCAGTTTTCCCCTCCACATTTTGAATCACAGTGCGTTCCAGAGTATTTTCGCTGCTGCTATTAATTTTCACGTGATGATGAGCCACTTCGTTGAGCTATCATTTAAGACAGTCAGATCGCTTTTGAAAAACAGCTATGTAACTCGGTGAGCCTTACCTGTTAAAACAACAAGTTAAGCCTATCGTTAAGTATCAGTGACTGCGGATTGAACTCCTCAACGTCATCTTCCGGGGCATATCCCCTGACGGCCGGCCCGCTGCGGTGAAACCAGCGTTGTGACCGAAAGGGTTCCAACAAAGGACGGTTTCTGCCCGTGGCGATGGCGCGGCTGACGAAGACACAATTGTGCGAAGACGACTTACGTCGAAGAAGTCCTCCTGGAAGGAGGTGGTGCTGATGACAGGCAGACGGTGGCACAGGCTGTTCGCATCGCGCAGAATCTCGTGAACTACTGGGAGCTCACCTGCGAGGGCAGACACGCGGACACACGGACACGCGGACATGTGGAGACACGGACACGTGGAGACACGTGCACGCAAACAACGCAAAACAAAGGTTCCACGGTATGGCCGTGAACAGACGTATGGCAAAATGAGTTGTTAGCGAGCAGCTATGAACACCGGCAAATGTGTCCGTGTGTGTGTTTATTTACGTATGAGGAGCGCGAGTGTAGCAGTTAGCGCGCTGTGCTACGAACCCGGTGAGCCGAATTCGATTCCCGCTCACGGCCACCGATGCCACCAGGGAGACAAAGGCGGTCGGGCGTGGTGCTGGCCACCCACCCCCTCGTGTGAATTTTTACACACAAGGAGGTGTCGGGCAGAACTTGCCCTAACAGTCTGTTAATGGCGATATGGGAGGGATATTTGTCTTTGTGATTTTTATGGCAACCATCTTAATTAACCCATAATGCCTGGCTCTGTCTGGTGACCTGATCATTGAGCCTTTCTCACTTCACGTGACAGCATCAGTGTGCATCTAGCCTGGCACAAGTGCCGTGGTGATGTCACGACCACTTAGTGGGGAATGTTGTTGTTGTTGTGTGTGTGTGCACGCACGAGTACCGGCTTGAATGGCGCGCATGTGCTGGAGGATGACCCTCACTCGGTTGTGCAGCATCTTGATGGCGCTGTGCTGTGCCAACAGGTGCTCAGCCACTACCGCGCAAACCACAACAACAAACACAGCAACGACAACTACAACCACCACCACCACTGTGCACTGCAGAAGCCAACAGACATTCAACAATAAATTAATCTTCCGACCAGCAATTATATAGACTCTGTGTGGGTGAGCGTGTAGATGAGTATGTGAGTGAGTGAGTAAGTGAGGTAAGTAGGTGAGTGAGTGTGTGAATGAGTGTCGTCTCAGTCAGTCGACCCGTGGCACCTGGGTCTGCCCCGTGACCTCCTGCCAGCGGGCTTTCGACACTTCACGTGGCCTCAAGGTGCACACAGCCTGGCACAAGCGTCGTGGTGACGTCACCGCCACTTAGTGGTGAATGGCGGTTGTTGTTGAATGAGTGAATGAGCGGGTGATTGAGTTCGTGAGCGGTTTTGACTTGTGTGTGGTGAGTGAGCGAGTGAGGAGCGAGCTTGCGGGTGAGTGAGTGATGAATATGAGGGTGAGTGATGAGTGCGGGTGAGCGAGTGGGCTAGTGGGCAAGTGAGTGATGAGTGTGAGGGTGAGTGAGTGATGAGTGTGAGTGAGTGATGAGTGTGAGTGAGTGAGTGATGAGTGTGCGGGTGAGTGAGTGATGAGTCTGCGGGTGAGTGAGTGATGAGTGTGCGGGTGAATGAGCGAGTGAAGAATGTGAGGGTGAGTGAGTGATGAGTGTGTGGGTGAGTGAGTGATGAGCGTGCGGGTGAGTGAGTGATGAGCGTGCGGATCAGTGAGTGATGAGTGTGCGGGTGAATGAGCGAGTGAAGAATGTGAGGGTGAGTGAGAGAGTAACGAGTGTGAGTGATGACTAGCGTGCGGGCGAGTGGACTAGCGTGCGGGCGGGCGGGCGAGCGAGTCGGCTAGCGGGCGAGAGGAGCTTGCATTACCCGTGGAGCCGTCCCCCGAGTCGGTGCTGCTCATGCGCGCGACGTGGTCGACACCGATCCTCTCGGCCTCCTCGGTGGCGAGTGTGTATGGCAGCTCCACCAGCAGCATCGTCGCCTGGTCCGCATGACGCGCAGCACGGTGACGATACGCAGGCGATACACACGCGCACACCGCATGGTTGCGCACGGAGAACAATTAGATACGCGATACATGCACATGACGATACAGTATAAGAAACGCGGTGTGACGTACACACACAATATGTCTGCGTGTGTGTGGTGTTGTGTCTGTGCGCGGGGTGTGTGTGATGTGTGGTGTCTGTGTGTGATGTCTGTGTGATGTGCGGTGTCTGTGTGGTGGATGTGTACAAGGTGTGTGTGGTGTCTGTGTGTGATGTCTGTGTGATGTGCAGTGTCTGTGTGCAGTGTCTGTATGCGGTGTCTGTGTGCGGTGTCTGTGTGCGGTGTCTCTGTGCGGTGTCTCTGTGCGGTGTCTGTGTGCGGTGTCTGTGTGCGGTGTCTGTGTGCGGTGTCTGTGTGCGGTGTTTGTGTGCGGTGTCTGTGTGCGGTGTCTCTGTGCGGTGTCTCTGTGCGGTGTCTGTGTGTGATGTCTGTGTGCGGTGTTTGTATGTGGTGTCTGTGTGTGATGTCTGTGTGATGTGCGGTGTCTTGTGCGGTGTCTGCGTGCGGTGTCTGTGTGCGTTGTCTATTTGTGGTATCCGTGTGCAGGCTGTGTTCAAGGTGTGCTGCGCACAGGTCTCTCTCACCTCTCCGTTCACGAGGTCAATCACCGACTCATAGACACTGACCGGCAACTGTGGCATTAAGACAGACACACACACACACGTGTAAACACATACACATAGACACATAACAACAACGGCAACCATTCGCCAACTTAGTAGCAGTGACGTCACCACGCCGCTTGTGCCAGGCTCGGTGAACTTTGAGGCCATGTGAAGTGTGGAAGGTTCACTGCTGTCGGCAAGAGGTCACAAGATGTTAACTGCCTCGCCTGGTGTGCAGGAGGTCATGGGTTCGATCCCGACCGTGATGCCTGTATATTTGGAGTGTTTTCCCCGTGGTCGTGTGGATTATTCTCCGGGTCTTCCGTTTTTTTCCTCCACATTTACAAACAATGCCTTTAGAGTATTTGGCTGCTATGAATGTCCACGTGATAATCCACTTCGTTGACCTGTCATTTGCGGCCAAGTCGCTTCTGAAAAAGAGCTGTATAGCTCAGTGGGCCTTACCTGGTATAATAAACTATTTTAATTTTATTAGGTAAGGCCCAACTGAGCTATGTAGCTCTTTTCAGAAGCGACCTGGCCACAATTGGTAACTCAACTAAAGTGGCTTATCGCGTGGAAGTGCATAGCAGCCAAGGGGCGGTTTCATCTTCTTGGTTCTTTCGGTAAAGTCACGTAGAAGGGAAATAATAAAATAACAAAAATAAAACATAATAAAATACAATTCCCACGACGTTTCGGCCACAACGCAAGCAGCCGTCCTCAGGTGAAAAACAGGGCTGTCGGAAAGACAGCGTCTGAATGAACACCACCAAGCTTAAGGGGCGGTTTGTCAACCAAAATAACAAGGAGAGCCATTTTTCGTTCTTCAGAATTTCGGTTAAAAAAATCAACGTGTCAAGAGCCGCCACAATGCAATGTGAATACGAGACGGTGGTCATTCGTAAATAAACATCACGGAGCAGAAACCCCTAAAGAGAGCCGCCGCATGTGGCTCCGAAGCTGCAGGTTTGCCGACCAATGCTCTAAACCCCGGTGCCATGGGTTGACTAAAAAAAACGTAACCTCTGTTATGAATGAATGAGACGACTGGCAGATGCACCACCAGTGCTGTTCGACTCGCTGTGTGTGTTTGTGTCTTTGCCTTGTCGCTGTTGTGCGAGACTCCGGGTTGTTGTTTGAGTATCCCTGTACGTGGGGGGAGCGGCAGCGAAGCGGGTTAGCGCACGGCGTGACGAACCTGCGACGACCCGAGTTCGATTCTCGCTCAAGGCCAACGTCGGTGACGATTATCCTCGCTGGTTCTGGACCTCTCCCTGGTCGACTCAGTCTCAATCGAGTACATCATATGCGGAGGGGAAATACAAACGCACATCGGCCGTATGTACGCCGATTGTTTTTAGGGGCGTTTATATGGAAGTACGTTGAACTTCTTTCGCACCGTACGTAGCTAACTGCATTAATCGGAGGTGCGGGGTTCCCCATGTTATCCCCCCCCCCCCGCCCATTCAAATAACGCACCCTCTCTCTGTCGTGATGCCTCCCGTTTACGGCGGCCACGGACCCCATTCTCCATAACGCCCCCCCCCCCTCCTATTAAATGGTTCAGCTGCCTTGGGATTGTATCACGCGAACAATATCGTCGGTGCGGCGTGTAAACATCAGTACAGGGAGACAAAGGTGGCCAGGCGCGGTGCCCTACCCCCTCGTGTGCCGTGTCGGCCTTCGTAGCTGCTCACAAACAGCACAGGCTGTTAATGCTATATATGGTATCTTTGTCTCTGTGTGCACGTATATACCTGTGTGTGTATGCGAGTGCGTTTATGTACACCTGTGCACGTGTGTGCGTGCGTATCTGTACTCACGTCCGTGTGTTTGGTTTGAGGGTTGAGCTTCAGGAATATCGGGCTTTCGTTGATTTCACAAATCTGTGCACAAACACAACACAAAGTGTTCGGGTGGTTGGGGATTATAGTTAGAGCATACACACATACAAACAAGATAGACAGGACAAACGAGAGGGAGAGTACAAACGACACAAACAGTACAGACGAGACAGAAACAACGTCTGACAAGGGACACCTGAAATGTATATTGGACACTGCGTGACTGTTTGTGAATATAGATGTAATGGGTGAGTGAGTGGGTGGGTGAATGAGTGGGTGAGTTAGTGGGTGAGTGGATGAGTGGGCGAGTGGGCGAGTGGAGGGTGAGTGAGCCCCACGTGCCTGCTTGTGGATGTAATGGGCGAGTAGGTGAGTAAGTGGATGAGTGAGTAGGTGAGTGTGTAGGATGTAGTTGAGTGGGTGAGTGAGTGGGTGAGTGGATGAGTGAGTGGGTGAGTGGAGTTGTTAGTGGGCCTCACGCACCTGCTTGTGGATGTAGATGTAACGGACGAGTAGATGAGTCAGTAGGTGAGTGAGTGGGTGAGTGAGTGGGTGAGTGAGTGGGTGAGTGGAGTTGTTACTGGGCCTCACGCACCTGCTTTTGGATGTAGATTTAATAGACGATTAGATGAGTCAGTAGGTGAGTGAGTGGGTGAGTGAGTGGGTGGGTGAGTGAGTGGATGAGTGGAGGGTGAGTGAGCCCCATGCACCTGCTTGTGGATGTAACGGGCGAGTAGATGAGTCAGTAGGTGAGTGAGTGGGTGAGTGAGTGGGTGGGTGAGTGAGTGGATGAGTGGAGGGTGAGTGAGCCCCATGCACCTGCTTGTGGATGTAACGGACGAGTAGATGAGTCAGTAGGTGAGTGAGTGAGTGGGTGAGTGAGTGGGTGGGTGAGTGAGTGGGTGAGTGGAGGGTGAGTGAGCCCCATGCACCTGCTTGTGGATGTAGATGTCGGAGGGGTTTGGTGTCTCCCCCGTCGTGTACCAGCCCAAGAAGTCCAGGTCCTTGAACACCTGCTTGACTTCACAAAGAGAGATGCACGCGGCACTCATTACACACACTCACTACCACTGTGTACATGGGTGCGTGTGTGTGCTAGGGGAGAGGTGCGCGCAGTGGTTGGCACACTGTGCTATGACATCAGGGAACCGAGTGCGATTCATGGCCATGGATAATATCAGTGGCGATCATCTGAACTGGCATTGGGCCTCGACTCAGCCTCAAATGAGGACCTGGTGCGGTGTGTAAACATCGCCATGGGGAGACAAAAGCGACAGGGCTTCGTGCTGGCCACCCACCCGCTTGTGTGCGGTGCTGGCCTTCATAGGTGCTTGCTAACAGCACTTGCCCCAACGGTCTGTTAAGACTATAGGGTGATCATTTGGGTGTGTGTGTACATTTACATGTGTGTGTCCGCATACATATGTATATGTCTGTATACATATGTGTGTGTGTGTCCATGTGTGTGTTTGTCTGTATACATGTGCGTGTCCGTATATGTATGTGTGTCCATATACGTGTGTGTCCGTATACATATGGGTGTGTGATGCCCTACACTGTTCCTCCTTGGTGTAGTAGTACTCCTTGTCGATGTCCGTGCGTCCGTCCGTCTCGGTGAAGAGGAGCTCGAACGAGTTCATCACCTCGATGTTTCTCCCCTCCTGCTTCCCGATCAGCGCTCCCACGACTGACCCCACGCACAAAGCACAACGGATCACCCGCGCGCAAGCGGACTCCGTAACGCTCGCCAATGCACGGCTCTGACCCCGGCAAGCCACTCAGTCGTGGGTAGCGATCGTTACGTCTCAAGCCACGCGAGATGACGACATGCAGCGCACGATATCATCGCGATGAAAGATGACGTCACACTGATCCGTATATGCTTCTGGGGTCAGGCCACGTGGTAGTTTTACACCGAAACTCTTGTCATTAACCCTCCACCACCCGACAAGATTGTCTCGTTTACACATATATTGGCCAATGTGGCGATCGGATTCTTACCAATGAAGTGGTTCCTCCACACCGGTGGTGGTGGTGGCGCTGTTGGCTTAAGACTTTTCCCGACTGAATCCAACATAAACACACGGTGACTTTTCACCGAAACTGCTTGGAGCTTCATCATGTACGGTAGAAAGCTTGAAAATCGAGTGGCCTCGCACGTAATGACGGCACAGAGAGTGGGCCTGACAAGGGTGAGGTTGAGGAGAAGCTACGAAGAGGAGTGCGAGAAGAAAAATACGAAATTATGAAGAGGGAGAGATCATCAGGAAGGAGGGATGAAGGAAAGATAGGATTAGAAGAAAAAGGAAGATGAGGAAGTTGATGTGTAAAACTAAACTTGTTTTTATTTTACCAGGTAAGACCCACTGAGCGAAACAGCTATTTTTCAGAAGCGACCTGGCCACAAACGATAGCTCAACGAAGTGGCTTATCGCGTGGAAATTTCCTCGTGGCCAAATACTCTAAACGCGTGTTGATTCTAAATGCGGAGGGGAAAAACCGCGGGACCTGGACAAAAAGCCACGCGATCACGAGGAGAACATGCAAACTCCAAATAAACAGTCATCAGGGTCAGGATAAAACCCACGACCTCCTGCACATCCCAGGTGAGGTAGTTAACATCTCGCCGCCGGGGCACAAGTACGAGGAGGAAGATTATGATTTTAAGGTTAACAATTCTGAGAAGATTGAGGATCAAAAAGGATGACGTTAAGCATAGAGAGGAGGATGAGGAGCAGGATGATGAAGCGGAGCAGGCACCTTGCATAGGCCGCCCCTCCTGGGCTCGAAGTCGGGTCCAGTGCTCGGAGATGTTGAGGATGACGAGGGGGTGGAGAGACACGGAGACGCTGCCCGTAACCGCAGCCACTGCCATCACGCTCACCCCTGCAGCCATCACCAACATCACCACCGACATCATCTTCAACATCAACAGCGCCGACATCACAACAGTCGCATCGCCGACGGCACCATCTGCACACTGCCGCAATCAGTGTTATCACCCTGACATCACGATCACTGCCATCGTGCTACCAAGTGTACCATCACCATCACCACCATCACCATCGACATCATCACCATCACCAACAACAACATCACCACTCTGGTAACTCAGGGTTTGCACACTCACAACATTGACATCACCATCAACATGATCATCACATCACCAAGAGCACTACCATAACCACGATCAGCACTACCACCAACATCACCACCCACGATACTGCCATAACCACCATCACCACCACAAACAGTACTACCATAACCACTACCAGCATCACTACTCTAACCACAATCAGCATTGCCAACACCACCACCACCACCACAAACAGTACTACCATAACCACTACCAACATCACTGATATAACCACCATCCACATCACTACCATACCCACATTCATCCACAGCACTAGCATAACCACCACCAGTACTACCATAACCACCACCAGTACTACCACAACCACCACCAGCACTACCACAACCACCACCAGTACTACCACAACCACCACCAGCACTACCACAACCACCAGCAGTACTACCACAACCACCACCAGTACTACCACAACCACCACCAGCACTACCATAATCACCACCAGTAACTACCATAACCACCACCAGTACTACCACAATCACCACCAGTACTACCACAACCACCACCAGTACTACCACAACCACCACCAGTACTACCACAACCACCACCAGTACTACCACAACCACCACCAGTACTACCACAACCACCACCAGTACTACCACAACCACCACCAGCACAACCATAACCACCACCAGTACTACCACAACCACCACCAGCAACATCACTACCACAACCACCACCAGTACTACCACAACCACCACCAGCAACATCACTACCACAACCACCACCAGTACTACCACAACCACCACCAGCAACATCACTACCACAACCACCACCAGTACTACCACAACCACCACCAGCAACATCACTACCACAACCACCACCAGTACTACCACAACCACCACCAGCAACATCACTACCATAACCACCACCAGTACTACCACAACCACCACCAGTACTACCACAACCACCACCAGTACTACCATAACCACCACCATCCACAGCACTACCATAATCACCACCATCCACAGCACTACCATAATCACCACCAGTAACTACCACAACCAGCACTACCACAACCACCACCAGTACTACCACAACCACCACCAGTACTACCACAACCACCACCAGTACTACCACAACCACCACCAGCACTACCACAACCACCACCACAACGACCACCGCCACAGCGCGCACGTTCAACCCACTATTTGAGTGAACAAAACCTCGTCACAAATCACTCCACGGATCCCTGCGGCGCCTCCTCCGCCTCCTCCCCTGTCGGTGTAAACAACAACAACAACAGCCCCGCCGCGAAGTGACTGCGACGTCACCGCGGCGCCCGTGCCAGGCTGGGTGCACCTCTGAGGCCACACCGGGGGAAGCGTCGGGGGCTCGCTCGCCGGCGGCGGGAGGTGACGGGACAGACGCGGTGCCATTGGTTGACCGAGTGAGTTCACGGAGCGAGTTGACGAGTTGACGGAGCGAGATGACGGAGCGAGTTGTGAGTTGCGAGTTGAGACGGAGCGAGTTGACGGAGATGACGGAGCGAGATGCGAGTTGACGGAGTTGACGGAGCGAGTTGACGGAGCGAGATGACGAGTTGACGGAGCGAGATGACGGAGCGAGTTGTGAGTTGCGAGTTGAGACGGAGCGAGTTGACGGAGATGACGGAGCGAGTTGACGGAGCGAGATGACGAGTTGACGGAGCGAGTTGACGGAGTTGACGGAGCGAGTTGACGGAGATGACGGAGTTGACGGAGCGAGTTGACGGAGTTGACGGAGATGACGGAGCGAGTTGACGAGTTGACGGAGCGAGTTGACGGAGATGACGGAGTTGACGGAGCGAGTTGACGAGTTGACGGAGCGAGTTGACGGAGATGACGGAGTTGACGGAGCGAGTTGACGGAGATGACGGAGCGAGTTGACGGAGATGACGGAGTTGACGGAGCGAGTTGACGGAGATGACGGAGTTGACGGAGCGAGTTGACGGAGTTGACGGAGCGAGTTGACGGAGATGACGGAGTTGACGGAGCGAGTTGACGGAGATGACGGAGTTGACGGAGCGAGTTGACGAGTTGACGGAGCGAGTTGACGGAGATGACGGAGTTGACGGAGCGAGTTGACGGAGATGACGGAGCGAGTTGACGGAGATGACGGAGTTGACGGAGCGAGTTGACGGAGTTGACGGAGCGAGTTGACGGAGATGACGGAGTTGACGGAGCGAGTTGACGGAGATGACGGAGTTGACGGAGCGAGTTGACGAGTTGACGGAGCGAGTTGACGGAGATGACGGAGTTGACGGAGCGAGTTGACGGAGTTGACGGAGCGAGTTGACGGAGATGACGGAGTTGACGGAGCGAGTTGACGGAGTTGACGGAGTTGACGGAGCGAGTTGACGAGTTGACGGAGCGAGTTGACGGAGATGACGGAGTTGACGGAGCGAGTTGACGGAGATGACGGAGTTGACGGAGCGAGTTGAGACGGAGCGAGTTGACGGAGATGACGGAGTTGACGGAGCGAGATGACGAGTTGAGACGGAGCGAGTTGACGGAGATGACGGAGTTGACGGAGCGAGATGACGAGTTGAGACGGAGCGAGTTGACGGAGATGACGGAGCGAGTTGAGACGGAGCGAGTTGTGAGTTGACGGAGTTGACGGAGCGAGTTGACGAGTTGACGGAGCGAGTTGAGACGGAGCGAGTTGACGGAGATGACGGAGCGAGTTGACGGAGATGACGGAGTTGACGGAGCGAGTTGACGAGTTGACGGAGCGAGTTGACGGAGATGACGGAGTTGACGGAGCGAGATGACGGAGATGACGGAGTTGACGGAGCGAGATGACGAGTTGAGACGGAGCGAGTTGACGGAGATGACGGAGTTGACGGAGCGAGATGACGAGTTGAGACGGAGCGAGTTGACGGAGATGACGGAGTTGACGGAGCGAGATGACGAGTTGAGACGGAGCGAGTTGACGGAGATGACGGAGCGAGTTGAGACGGAGCGAGTTGTGAGTTGACGGAGTTGACGGAGCGAGTTGACGAGTTGACGGAGCGAGTTGAGACGGAGCGAGTTGACGGAGATGACGGAGCGAGTTGACGGAGATGACGGAGTTGACGGAGCGAGTTGACGAGTTGACGGAGCGAGTTGACGGAGATGACGGAGTTGACGGAGCGAGATGACGGAGATGACGGAGTTGACGGAGCGAGATGACGAGTTGAGACGGAGCGAGTTGACGGAGATGACGGAGTTGACGGAGCGAGATGACGAGTTGAGACGGAGCGAGTTGACGGAGATGACGGAGTTGACGGAGCGAGTTGACGGAGCGAGATGACGAGTTGACGGAGCGAGTTGAGACGGAGCGAGTTGACGGAGATGACGGAGTTGACGGAGCGAGTTGACGGAGCGAGATGACGAGTTGACGGAGCGAGTTGAGACGGAGCGAGTTGACGGAGATGACGGAGTTGACGGAGCGAGTTGACGGAGATGACGGAGTTGACGGAGCGAGATGACGAGTTGAGACGGAGCGAGTTGACGGAGATGACGGAGCGAGTTGAGACGGAGCGAGTTGTGAGTTGACGGAGATGACGGAGCGAGATGACGGAGCGAGATGACGAGTTGACGGAGCGAGTTGAGACGGAGCGAGTTGTGAGTTGACGAGATGACGGAGCGAGTTGAGACGGAGCGAGTTAACGGAGATGACGGAGTTGACGGAGCGAGATGTGAGTTGACGAGATGACGGAGCGAGTTGTTAGTTGAGACGGAGCGAGTTGACGAGTTGAGACGGAGCGAGTTGACCGACTGAGTTGACCCGCGGATGCAGCGGCCGCCGGGCGTGATAAACACGACAGCATCGAGCCCGAACATCGCCCGCCTCTCATCGAGCCTCTCCCGTCTGTGCCCGGTGTGCTCGTGGTGGTTATTGTTGTTGTTGTTGTTCTCTGCTTGTTGTTGTTGTTGTGGTGGTTGTTGTTGTTGTTGTTACCCGGGGTGCCCGTGTCGACTTCCATGCTGACGGGAGCCGCCATCGCTGCTGCCGCTGCTGCCATCGTTGACCTCTCGAATGTCTCCCGATTGGGCGGCTTCACATTCGCCACTGATGAATTGGTCCATTGGGGTGGTACAGATACTTGTAAATCTTTACAACTTCATTGCTGTCTTGTGTTTAAATATTTTTTTTAAATGAGGTTGTTATTTAAAACAAGTTACTGTGCAAAGGAACAATTAAAATCGTGTGGGTGGTTGATTAATTGGTGGGGTCACAAGACATCTGGACATTGCTATCCTGGATGGATTGTACTTACTCGGGTGGAGGGCCATTGCCCGAAACGTCGCCTGTTATATTTTTTTTACTTTTAAGGAGGCCACACACACGTTGTTGTTGTTGTTGTTGAAGAATGTGTTGAGGTTTTTTTTGTGTTTTTGTGCGAACCACTGTCAAAGCAGCATCACCAAAATGATGTTACCGTATAAATAGTATTAATATTAACATTATTCCCCAAAAAAATTAAGCGAGCTTTGTTGGCCGCTTGCACGCGTAATATATTCCATAACTTTAATCGATAAACGCATCGATCTTAAAAATTATGGGGGCGCAAGAGTGCGAATCTGTCAACAACGGAAAGCGGTAATGCGTTTACGCAGCGAGGTGATTGTATTTGGTAGCTTCGATAAACGCACTGACTGGGAGAGCTTTTGTAATTGCTACTGCTGACAAGTATATGATTCGTGAGTTTGTGAAACTGTTGGTTCGAATCCAAAAAAGGTTGTTTGTGATCGCCTTTACCTAACCCTCATCCTCATCATCGTCTCTTCTTGGTCGGTAAAATGAGTACCACCTACCGTGGGCTGCTTAACGCAATTGCATTACGCGTCAACCCATACGGTTTAAAACCCCGTATTTGTATACAGTACATGGGAAATAAAAAAATAAAACTACGTGAATTTACCGAAAGAACCAACGAGTATGGATTGCTGCAGTCACGAAAGCTTCAAATCAAGATCGTACATGGGAATTTTAGTTTTCGGGTCCATACTAAGTACAGTTTCAATATGGGCAAGAAAAAAAATATAAATGTTTCGTCTATTTGTGATTCTCGCTTGTCATGGGACTTGTAGGATGAACGTTGAGATGTGTAAGGGACACGGGGTGACCGGTCAGGTCTGAATTGGGATGTAATACTGGAAGGAACCTCCTGGTTACACCAGCCCACAGGGGATTATTGTGTCCGTCCGTCGTGCAGGGAGGGGCTGGGTGGGGAGGGGCTGGGTGGGGTGGGGCTGGGTGGGGTGGGGGCTGGGTGGGGAGGGGCTGGGTGGGGAGGGTGGGGAGGGGCTGGGTGGGCTGGGTGGGGAGGGGCTGGGTGGGGTGGGTGGGGAGGGGCTGGGTGGGGAGGGTGGGGAGGGGCTGGGTGGGGTGGGTGGGGAGGGGCTGGGTGGGGAGGGTGGGGAGGGGCTGGGTGGGGAGGGTGGGGAGGGGCTGGGTGGGGTGGGTGGGGAGGGGCTGGGTGGGGAGGGGCTGGGTGGGGAGGGTGGGGAGGGGCTGGGTGGGGAGGGGCTGGTCACCCCGTGGTGCCCTTATAAAACTCAACGTTTCACCTACTCACGCCGGCTTGTGCCCGCCCTCACAGTCGGGCATATTTGCGGAATACACCACGCCGCCGTTGACCCTGGCCATTGACCTAGCAACCCAACGTTCCTACCAGCTCCCTCCGCAGGAGAAATGTGTTAAGGCAAAGCACTGATCAGAGGTTGGCAATTGCGAAGTAGGAAACGACTGTGACTCAACATTGACATGGATTCATCCTCCTCCTCCCCACTACTAGCTCGCAATCAGTCGGCATCAGCCACGATCTATCCACTGCTGGGTGAAGGACCTCACGATCTCCCGTGACCCTGCAATTAATCAATCTCGCTCCTGCACGCACGAGCCTAACGCATCGCTCCATCTCCCTTTGATCGCACCGTCCTCGTGGACGTTTCGACACCTTTGGCTGCTGCTCCGTCGTCTATCTCGGCCATCGCACCTGCTGGCGACCCAATTGCGTCCGAGCCCATTCGCACGCTGCTTTTCTGAACAGACGACGCGTTGATGCTTCTAGTTCTGTTCAAATCTCCCGTAAATATTAAAAAAACACTCGAGTCGTGTGACCACCTCCATTCTAAATCCCTCCACTAGCCCCGCCCACTGCAAAAACCGACGCCATTCGGTGCAAGCTCACTTCCCATTCTCCGGTCTGTCATTCATTCTCCTCGTTCCCCCAGCGGCTCTTCCTGATGCTCGTCTTGTGCCATCCCCCCACTGTGTCCATCTTAAACACATTGTCCTGCGGAGGGAGCTGGTAGGAACGTTGGGTTGCTCGGTCAATGGCCAGGGTCAACGGCGGCGTGGTGTATTCCGCAAATATGGCCGACTGAGGGCGGGCACAAGCCGGCGTGAGTAGGTTAAACGTCGAGTTTTATAAGGGCACCACGGGGTGACCAGCCCCTCCCCAACCCACCCCACCCTCCCCACCCAGCCCCAACCCTCTCATTTTTGGATGCACGATGGACGGACACAATAATCCCGTGGGCTGGTGTAACCAGGTTCCTACCAGTAGACTTCCATTCCCCTTTCCAACTCGCCTGTCTGCCTCTACTCCCCTTCTCGTAGTGTGCCACAAATAAATGGTTTAGTTTCTCGAATCCCCGTCCCGTGTAAATTACAAGCCTGGCATATCTTCTGGCCTCTTTGTAGTTTACACAGATCGTTTTCTTGGTCAATGTGCATTTATCCGATCCATGTCGTAGCAGGGAGTATCGCCCAAATTGATAACGTTAATTTGAGCGAATTGGCATGTTGCTGTTATTGTAGCTCAGGCGTGACTCACCCTTGTACTCTTACTGGTGTGTAACGCCAGCACAGTGGTGAGCGCACTGAACTTTGAAGCCACAAATCGGAGTTAAATTCCAAGTCACATGAGCAGCAGCGACGTCTTAACCGAACCTGGACCACCATCCGTTGCCAACCCCACACCATGTAGTCAGTCTGAAGTGTGGTAAAAAAAAAGACTGACGCAGCATGGAGAGGCCTTCATCCTGCAGTGGACTGACAAAAGGCTATTACAAAGTATTCTTGGCGCTAGATGGACTGTTGAAATGCAGGATTGGAGGGTGGCGACAGCTTCGTAAAATTCAACAGAGAATAGATCCTTCGATCCGCACAATATCATACCTCACGTACTGTTGAGGGAAGTGCCGTTAGCAAACACCTATAAAGGCCAGCCAAGGCACACATTAGGGTGGTTAGCAGTACATGACTTTGTCGAATGGTGAAGTTTATACATTGCATCGGGTACTCATTTGAGACCAGTTAAGCCTAGGGGAGAGTGTTGTGCATTTAGGGAATCCGACTCGTGACGCCGGGTTTGTAGTGTAGCACGCTAACCCCTGCACCACCGCTCTCCATATCTAGACATTAACCCTGGGTCGGCAACCTACAGATCCAGAGCTACATGCGGCTCTATAAAGACTTAAGCGACGTTATTTAAGGACCGTCTTGTATTCACATGCTCTTATAATAGCTTTAACGTGATTAAAAAAAATGCTCTTCTTGTTGTTTTGGTTGCCAACCTCTGTACTAGCCCAAACACCACCACCAGAAACCCACAAAGAACACCACACCACTCAAGCACTCCTCTTTTCCAAAAACGTGGAAGTCTTTATTGACGGCACCACATGCAGACGCACGCAAATGCCGGCGGTGACCGTGACGACGGTGGTGATGCTGGCGGTCGCGTGGACTGTCCCGCCGGCACACGGTCGCATGGCGGTGGCGCTTAGCTCTCCTTGTCCAGCACCACCTTGGTTCCGCGCAGTCGACCCGTGCGCCGCGCAGCGATGAGACCCACTTTGCGACCCGCCGGCGCATCCCTGCGGATGGTGGACGGCTTGCCAATGTGCTGGTGGTTTCCTCCACCGAATGGATGCTCCACGGGCTGTGGTGGTGGTGGACAATACAAGCGTTGAGTGAGCACAGATCGATGGTTTGGTAAACAACCAACCAATATTGAATTGAACATTTTTATTTTGGCTGTTCAATAAATAATTTGATATTTCAGCTGCGTTCAGTGTGTTCGTTTCCGCGCTGACTTATTGAGAATGTGCTAATGTGACAGTGGGGAGCGGGAGTGCAAAGGTTAGCGCACTGTGCTACGAATCGGTTCTGGACCTCCCCTAAGTTAACTCAGACTAAATTGAGTACGTATGTTGAACTTCTGTCGCAGCGTACGTAGCCAACCGTGATAATTGGAGTACCTGGTATGGTGTGTAAACATCGCCAATGGGGAGATAAAAGCGGCCAGGCATGGTGCCGCCCACTCACCCCCTTGTGTGCCGTGCCAGCCTGCAAAGATGTTCACTAACAGCACTTGCCCCCCCAGTCTGTTGAGACTGAACTGTGGATTTTTGTACGTGTGCTCACCTGTTTGTATATACGAATGTATATGCAAGTGATTGTGCTTGTGTTTCAATGCGCACGTGCACGAGTGCTCGTGTGCAAGTACGTACGTTCATGGCCACACCCCTCACGCGAGGCCAGCAGTTCCTCTTGGCCTTGTACTTGTGGTAGGCCCGACCGGCCTTCAGGATCGGCTTGTCAATGCGACCACCCCCGGCCACAACACCTGGAAGCAACAACGGAGACCACACCACCAAACACATCACACCCAACATCATCAGTGACACCGCAACATGGACTTACCACACACATCACACCCCAAATCAGACGACACAAAATACGCACCACACAGTACACAAACCATAACAGAGGTAAATTAATTTCAGGTAAGGGCCGTTGATTTAAGATTCAATTTTGAGACACAAACACGTACCCATAAAAACACATGTACACACTCTACACAGACATGAAAAAAGACACCACCCTCACCCCACAGACAAAAATCCCTCGTACATCCTTAAGCTTTTGGGGCAAGTGCTGTTTGTGAGCACCTATGAAGGCCGGCACAGCATGCGAGGGGGTGGGTCGCCAGCAACACGCCCGGCCGACTGCCTGCCTAGTGGCGATGTCTACACACCGCACCAAGTACTCGTTTGAGGCTCAGTCGACCTAGGAGAGGCCCAGAACTTGTTCTGATAATCGCCACTTGTGTTGGTCGTGAGTGGATTCGAACTCGGGTCGCCGGGCTCGTAGTGCAGCGCACAAACTGCTACACTACCGCTCCCCACGCACACCACAACCGGCACACACACAAGACATCACATACACAAAACCTAGTGCCCACAAACTCCACAAACACCTCGCTCCGTGCACATCACACCAGCCCCCCCCCACGTACCCACGACGGCGCGGTTGGCAGAGGAGATGACCTTCTTGGCGCCCGAGGGCAGCTTCACGCGGGACTTGTGCGTGTCGGGGTTGTGTGAGATGACGGTGGCGTAGTTCCCCGAGGCGCGCGCCAACTTGCCCCGGTCTCCACTCTTCTCCTCCACGCAGCACACAATGGTGCCCTCGGGCATCGCGCCCACAGGCAGCACGTTCCCCACACTTAGCTGGGCTGCAGGTGGCAAGAAACAACCACAGTAATCACCGCATTGGCAATAACCACCGCATTGGCAATAACCACCGCATTGGCAATAACCACAACATTGGCAATAACCACCGCATTGGCAATAACCACCGCATTGGCAATAACCACCGCATTGGCAATAACCACCGCATTGGCAATAACCACCGCATTGGCAATAACCACCGCATTGGCAATAACCACCATTATTCACAGTACTCACCGCATTTAGTGTCAACTATATTCAGAGAAACCATCACATTCACAATTACCAACCAAGACAAATATCTCCCATATCAGCCTTCAACAAATTACCCTTATGGCGGTACCCCGGCGTACCATAGTACCCCGGCTCTCGCATAATGTCCGTGATGCAGTAATTTTTATAGTATGTTGATGGTCGGCGATGCGGCGATCGACTCATCTCGACGAGCTGTACACGATGCACCACCACAGTGCGTACGAGCGTTCAGGGTTTCAGCGCAATCGTCCTCACTGCGTTTCGATATCGCAGCGTAGCACTGATTTCGGAGTTAAGTACACCCCTGGAAAAAATTGTGCCCCAGAAATAAAATATCTAATTGCCTCGTCCATCATGTATTATTTGGTCCCGCCATAATGATCAAATGGGCAAGTGCTGTTAGCGAGCATCTATAAAGGCCGAGACAGCACACAGCGGGCCGTCTTTCTCTCCCCAGTGTTGATGTTTACACAACACACACACCTAGTACTCATTTAAGGTTGAGTCGATCTAGGGGAAGACCAGAACCGGTTCAGATATTCGCTGTTGTTGGCCGTAAATGGAAATCGAACAGTTGCCATCACAGTAACAGACGTAACCAACCCAAGCACGATAACCCCATTCATAGAGCGCATCAGCATCCATCACATCCACAGTAACCACTGCGCTGACAGCGTCCAATCACAGACCGCATACTGCCCACCCAGCTGGGCTAACTGATGGACCAAACGACAACCCCATTTACTAAAGCTACTGATGTAGCTCTTCATAAGAGCAACCATGCTCAGCTGGGCTAGTGGGCAACACGTACATTACAGGGCTGGTACTGCTACTATAGGGCGAGAACTACTGTCACACAGTCGGACCTCCGCTTAGGACGGGTTGGCTACGTACGGTAGTTCAAAATTCACGCTCCCCACGTAGCACTACAGTGTATGGTAACATTTAATTTGCACAAACGTGCAATTGAATATGCCACAATCACCATCCCAGTGTGGGTGAAAGTCAAGTTTGTCCCGAGTACGTACAGCAGCATGGTATTTAGAGACATTAAATTAGTGAGGTGAGCGTCGTGATGAGTGATATAGCAAGCCTCGTGATGAGTGATATATTGAGCCTTGTCACGAGCAATGGAATGAGTGACAGGGTGAGAGGCACAGCGAGTGGTTTCGTGAGCATTGTGGTGAAGCAGTATAGTGAACGTCGTGGGGAGTATAGCGAGTCATGAGTTTAATGGTGAGTAGGAGAGTGAGTGGTAGAGTGAGTGGTAGAGTGAGTGGTAGAGTGAGTGGTCGAGTGAGTGGTCGAGTGAGTGGTCGAGTGAGTGGTCGAGTGAGTGGTCGAGTGAGTGGTCGAGTGAGTGGTCGAGTGAGTGGTCGAGTGAGTGGTCGAGTGAGTGGTCGAGTGAGTGGTCGAGTGAGTGGTCGAGTGAGTGGTCGAGTGAGTGGTCGAGTGAGTGGTCGAGTGAGTGGTAGAGTGAGTGGTAGAGTGAGTGGTAGAGTGAGTGGTAGAGTGAGTGGTAGAGTGAGTGGTAGAGTGAGTGGTAGAGTGAGTGGTAGAGTGAGTGGTAGAGTGAGTGGTAGAGTGAGTGGTAGAGTGAGTGGTAGAGTGAGTGGTAGAGTGAGTGGTAGAGTGAGTGGTAGAGTGAGTGGTAGAGTGAGTGGTAGAGTGAGTGGTAGAGTGAGTGGTAGAGTGAGTGGTAGAGTGAGTGGTAGAGTGAGTGGTAGAGTGAGTGGTAGAGTGAGTGGTAGAGTGAGTGGTAGAGTGAGTGGTAGAGTGAGTGGTAGAGTGAGTGGTAGAGTGAGTGGTAGAGTGAGTGGTAGAGTGAGTGGTAGAGTGAGTGGTAGAGTGAGTGGTAGAGTGAGTGGTAGAGTGAGTGGTAGAGTGAGTGGTAGAGTGAGTGGTAGAGTGAGTGGTAGAGTGAGTGGTAGAGTGAGTGGTAGAGTGAGTGGTAGAGTGAGTGGTAGAGTGAGTGGTAGAGTGAGTGGTAGAGTGAGTGGTAGAGTGAGTGGTAGAGTGAGTGGTAGAGTGAGTGGTAGAGTGAGTGGTAGAGTGAGTGGTAGAGTGAGTGGTAGAGTGAGTGGTAGAGTGAGTGGTAGAGTGAGTGGTAGAGTGAGTGGTAGAGTGAGTGGTAGAGTGAGTGGTAGAGTGAGTGGTAGAGTGAGTGGTAGAGTGAGTGGTAGAGTGAGTGGTAGAGTGAGTGGTAGAGTGAGTGGTAGAGTGAGTGGTAGAGTGAGTGGTAGAGTGAGTGGTAGAGTGAGTGGTAGAGTGAGTGGTAGAGTGAGTGGTAGAGTGAGTGGTAGAGTGAGTGGTAGTGTGAGTGGTAGAGTGAGTGGTAGAGTGAGTGGTAGAGTGAGTGGTAGAGTGAGTGGTAGAGTGAGTGGTAGAGTGAGTGGTAGAGTGAGTGGTAGAGTGAGTGGTAGAGTGAGTGGTAGAGTGAGTGGTAGAGTGAGTGGTAGAGTGAGTGGTAGAGTGAGTGGTAGAGTCAGTGGTCGAGTCAGTGGTCGAGCGAGTGGTCGAGCGAGTGGTCGAGCGAGTGGTAGAGCGAGTGGTAGAGCGAGTGGTAGAGCGAGTGGTAGAGCGAGTGGTAGAGCGAGTGGTAGAGCGAGTGTCGTGGCGAGTGTCGTGGCGAGTGTCGTGGCGAGTGTCGTGGCGAGTGTCGTGGCGAGTGTCGTGGCGAGTGTCGTGGCGAGTGTCGTGGCGAGTGTCGTGGCGAGTGTCGTGGCGAGTGTCGTGGCGAGTGCCGTGGCGAGTGCCGTGGCGAGTGCCGTGGCGAGTGCCGTGGCGAGTGCCGTGGCGAGTGCCGTGGCGAGTGCCGTGGCGAGTGCCGTGGCGAGTGCCGTGGCGAGTGCCGTGGCGAGTGCCGTGGCGAGTGCCGTGGCGAGTGCCGTGGCGAGTGCCGTGGCGAGTGCCGTGGCGAGTGCCGTGGCGAGTGCCGTGGCGAGTGCCGTGGCGAGTGCCGTGGCGAGTGCCGTGGCGAGTGCCGTGGCGAGTGCCGTGGCGAGTGCCGTGGCGAGTGCCGTGGCGAGTGCCGTGGCGAGTGCCGTGGCGAGTGCCGTGGCGAGTGCCGTGGCGAGTGTCGTGGCGAGTGTCGTGGCGAGTGCCGTGGCGAGTGCCGTGGCGAGTGCCGTGGCGAGTGCCGTGGCGAGTGCCGTGGCGAGTGCCGTGGCGAGTGCCGTGGCGAGTGCCGTGGCGAGTGCCGTGGCGAGTGTCGTGGCGAGTGTCGTGGCGAGTGTCGTGGCGAGTGTCGTGGCGAGTGTCGTGGCGAGTGTCGTGGCGAGTGTCGTGGCGAGTGTCGTGGCGAGTGTCGTGGCGAGTGTCGTGGCGAGTGTCGTGGCGAGGCCGTACCCTTCTTGCCGCAGTAGACGAACTGCCCCGTGTGGATGCCCTCGGCCGCGATGAAGAGCTCCGTGCGCTTCTTGAAGCGGTACGGGTCCCGGAACATGACCTTAGCCAGGGGAGCTCCGCGGCCAGGGTCGTGGATGATATCCTTTGGTTAGACACACAGAAAATTTACAGCTTTAAAACATTTTTCGATTTAAAGCTTTCGTGACTGCAGGGATTCATCTTCTTGGTTCTTTCGGTAAAGTCACGTAGAAGAAAAATAATAAAACATAATATAATACAATATAATAATATATAATACTTATTTTATTATGTTTTATGTTTATTATTTTATTATTTCCCTTCTACATGACTTTACCGAAAGAACCAAGAAGCTTTAAACACTTTCCAAAGAATATTTAATGCGTTCATGCGTAGGCTCCATTCGGCTGCAAAAGGGGGGACAATAAATTCAGTCAAGAGGATTCAAATTGAATGAAACGAGAGTGTAAAGTTCTGTTGCTATTAGGGACTTATCCCATTCAAGCTGAAACAGAGCGCCAAGAGGATTCATTGGATATTTGTAAACACATTTTTCCCAACAGCTTCTGTACTGCCAGTGAAAAACTTTCGAAGACAAAAGCGTTTTGGAAAGCATCACATGTCCTCATGGAAAGTTTTTCCAAACCTATTTTCTGCGCGGCACCAACTCCTACAGGCTCCACCTCATAGCACCACTGAGTGACAACACATCACCATCAGTGACAAGCCTTACCCTCGCCGTGTGGATGTATGCCGTGTGCCAGTATTAGTGGTGTATTAATTATGGTGCGTTTTGGCCACTGTATGACTAATTGGGGTTGCTGTGGTTGTGCACGGTGGTGTTGTAGTGCAGGGGTGGGGAACGTCCGGCCCGCGGGTCGTACGAGGCCCGCGAAATCATTTGGTGTGGCCCTGCCAAGGCAACCGCAGGCGGGACTCGAAATTCAATAAATCTCTAGGAGCAAACTTGGAAAAGCAGTTGCGAATAGCAGCAACATCAATACCAGCTAACATCACATGCCTCACCAAAGAGAAGGAATTCCAGCCATCACATTAGGGGCGAGTTAATTAAATTTTTAACCTAATATAACAGGCACATTTTTAAGCTGATAATTTTGTATGGCCCGCAAATGATGTTATACATATCCAAATGGCCCTTGGCAGGAAAAAGGTTCCCCACCCCTAGTGTAGAGGCTCGTGAAGAACGCTACTGGGTAGTTGGGAGGCTGTCGCCCTCAAGCAACAACAGAGGACGAAGGGGCGATGCTCACAACAACGAATAGAACGCCGGGCAGCTAAAATACAGCGAGGAGCACAGGTGGTGGATCTGCCAGTCATTTAAATTAGTCAACCCCGAACACCTGGGTCTGTCCTGTCACCTGTAAGCAGTGAGCCTTCCTAACTTCGCGTGGCCATAAACCGCACCTGGTGCATGCGTTTCGAGTCGTTAGTGCGGTTGCGTTCAATGTGGAGCGTGCAGCAGCCGTGCGCCCACCTTGACGATGCCCTTGATGTATCCGTGCCTCTCGGCGTAGTCGATGGCGCGGAGGCGCGCAGGCCCCTTCTTGTGTTTGTTGTGAGCTCGGAACACGGACCCGGCGCCCTTGCGCTGACTGCGAATCACGCGCCCCATGGCTCCTACAACACACAGCAGAGAGAGAACACTTGTTACAGCCGGCGTGAGGTACGAGTCTTCATCGCCGTAGAATGTTCTCCAATCCACCGCCCACAGAAAGTTTAGTCGTGACTCTATATCCTAGTTTTCACTGGCACACAACGGGGTCCTTCACGGTGAAGGCGATTTCCCACTGGGTAGATGTCTCTTCATTGAGGATGTTTATACACACTGCACCGGGTTACTTAATTTAAGTGCCCAGTGGGACCAAGCGGGAGGTCTGGGCCCAGACACGACGACTTGCTGCTAAGCACTGCGCCACCAATCCCCACACACACGTGCACGTACACAGAACAAGATCCCCCGTATAGCCTTAACAGACTGTTGGGGCAAGTGCTGTTAGCGAGCACCTATGAAGGCCGGCACGGCACACGAGGGTTTTCTGGCCAGCACCACGCCAGGCCGCCCATGCACGTACAGTCAAACGAACACACGCGTACGGCAAAAACACCATGAGATCAAAGTAGTGCAAGTACTCGGAATGGGAGACTGCCTGGGAGTATATAAATGTGCATGTTTGGGGCTGCGAGGTGGCATGGAAATACCAGTGCGGCAATATTCCTTAATCCATCTGTGCAGATTTATGTTTGTTAAAGCCTTCAACCCCTCGTTGGATGCCGGGTGCGATATCCCAATGTGTCGCAGAGCCCTTCAAGCGAGGCTCTCATGGGCAAGTACGCACAAGCCGTTCTTACATGTGGTATTTAACCACTCAATCGCTTAATGTAGAATTCAAAGACTGTAGCCATCAATTCAGCCTGGTGTGTACTCTGTCTCGTTTGTCTCTTTAGTTCGGAGGCAATGGACAAGACAATTCACCGTCTCAATTCACTCCTGGGCGAGAGGGCCTCTCTGTGGTGGTTATACGATCAATAATTCACCACTGCCGGACAGTAAAGAGAGGGGAACATTGGATGTGGGCGCATAGGAGGTACTGCACAACTGAACTTGCTGCACTGCGCTCCCATGCCGACAACTTAATGTGGGCCACCTAAAACACCCTGTTATGCACAGCAGTCGCCCATACAACTACTCTCCAGAATCAACCCCGCTTAGCTTTAATAACATCCGATGAGGCCTGGTGCACTGCCCAGTGATGTCGTCGCAGGCGTTTGAGTAAGAATCGACACATTTAACCAAAGTGCAGTACTATATAGAAATCTATGAAGCGATAGGCCGAGCGTGGCCTACCGGTAAAACACTCTTAAAACTAATGATCAAATAAGCCAATTGTGTACCAAATCAGAAGAACATTAACAGCCGAAACTAAACCACAAAGTGCAAACATTAATAACTCGGGCTCTAACGAAGACTGAAGCCTCGCTGACATAGGCCCGAAATTCACAGGCCTCCCAACACAACGAAGTCGCGTTAAGTGGGTTCGTGTCCAAAATCGCTCATCGCTGAAACAAGAGCGAGAAGAAAGGTCCCCCTCGCCATCGCCGAGCGATTCGCGCGCAAACGTCGCCCCGATGGGGGCGGATGGCAGAGATTGACAACGGATTGAGGGCGCCGAGCGAGGCGACACACAGCCATTACCTGTAGATCCCGGAGGAGAAAGGGAATCTCGTTGGAAATCTCGCGATATTTCGAGCCTGTGACCCCCGCCCCCTCCCCCCCCCCGCGAACTCTCGCGAGATCTCGAACCCCTCCCACTCAGCCCCGCCCCCCACCAAACTTCCCACGACTCGCGAAAACGGAAGTGACGTCATTAGCCGCGCGCCGTAACCGGACGTTATTACAATTTACACCAAAAACCTTCATTAAACATTATAGATTAATTATGATTTATTATAAGCACTTGGATATCTTTTAAGGGTGAAAACCTCGTAATTTAAAAATAATTGTGGTTAGAATGTTATTGTGCGCGCGCTATGACGTCAACTTCCCCTCGCCACGTGAGCCCGGATGTCGTAAAACTTCTGTTGATAAAAAAATTCAACATTGGCTTTATTTGATCATTCAAAAGTATCTACAAAACCAATACCAATTATATGTACACCGCGGCACGAGTTACAAAAGATAGAGAGAGAACAAAAAAACATGTTTATGCAAAAAAAAAAATGAGTCCACGTTTCACGAACGGTAGTGACGTCATTGGGCTTCTGTTGCCCCGGGAGACGCCCGCTTTACATTTCGTAGTACGCATGGGCGCGCGGCTAGGAGCACGTGACCAGCAACGGGTGGCTCGACCAATCAGCTTCGTGCTGGCGCCTATACGGACTGGGAAAAGCAAGCGGACGGTAAGGATGTTTAAATGAATTGTTAGCGTCAACGTCGTCCATAAAAGAGGTTTTTTTGGGGTTAAATCGCGTAAATATATAAATGTGTCGTTAAAACTCGCCACGAATTGCCACGTTCTGTTTACGCGACAACCCTTACTAGTTGGCTATGTTAAAAAACGTCTACGTCGTGAGTAGTTTGGGCTGTTATCGAAACGTCAGCTAAAGCCGTAGACGAACGCGCAAGCTTTGGCGAGTGTGAAGTTACGTAGAAGGGAAATAATAAAATAAAACAATAAAATACACGTATTCTTGGTTCTTTCGGTAAAGTCACGTAGAAGGGAAATAATAAAATAAAACAATAAAATACACGTATTCTTGGTTCTTTCGGTAAAGTCACGTAGAAGGGAAATAATAAAATAAAACAATAAATACACGTATTCTTGGTTCTTTCGGTAAAGTCACGTAGAAGGGAAATAATACAAATATAAAAATAAAACAATAAAATACACGTATTTTTGGTTCTTTCGGTAAAGTCACGTAGAATGGAAATATTAAAATAATACAAATTTTACAATAAAATATACGTATTCTTGGTTCTTTCGGTAAAGTCACGTAGAAGGGAAATAATAAAATAATACTAATTTTACAATAAAATATACGTATTCTTGGTTCTTTGAGTAAAGTCACGTAGAAGGGAAATAATAAAAACAATTAAACTAAAACAATAAAATACACGTATTCTTGGTTCTTTGAGTAAAGTCACGTAGAAAGGAAATAATAAAATTAGAAAAATAAAACAATAAAATACACGTATTCTTGGTTCTTTCGGTAAAGTCACGTAGAAGGGAAATAATAAAATAATAAAAATAAAACAATAAAATACACGTATTCTTGGTTCTTTCGGTAATTGTCGAAATTAATTTAAAGTTGCGCATTTTGATGTGACGTCACATTTCTCACCCCCCCCCCTCGTCACACATCGTCACAAATGTCTGACCCCCCCCCCCCAGGTGCGTGACGTCATTTATGGACGGCCCCTATGGGGGGGGGCGTCTACTGACAATGCACGCTATGCCTGTGGCGAATACGAGATGTTAATAAATAACGTCACGAAACATTCCTTAATGAGCCGCGTGCGGCTCCGAAGCCACAGGTTGCTGACCCCTACCCATGGTGAACTGAACTTCCATGGTGAACTGAATTTCCATGGTGAACTGAATCTCCATGGTGAACTGAATCTCCATGGTGAACTGAATTTCCATGGTGAACTGAATCTCCATGGTGAACTGAATTCCATGGTGAACTGAATTCCCATGGTGAACTGAATTTCCATGGTGAACTGAATTCCATGGTGAACTGAATCTCCATGGTGAAATGAATCTCCATGGTGAAATGAATTCCCATGGTGAACTGAATCTCCATGGTGAACTGAACTTCCATGGTGAACTGAATCTCCATGGTGAACTGAACTCCCATGGTGAACTGAATTCCATGGTGAACTGAATCTCCATGGTGAACTGAATTCCCATGGTGAACTGAATCTCCATGGTGAACTGAATTCCATGGTGAACTGAATCTCCATGGTGAACTGAACTTCCATGGTGAACTGAATCTCCATGGTGAACTGAATTTCCATGGTGAACTGAATTCCATGGTGAACTGAATCTCCATGGTGAACTGAATTCCCATGGTGAACTGAATCTCCATGGTGAACTGAATTCCATGGTGAACTGAATCTCCATGGTGAACTGAACTTCCATGGTGAACTGAACTTCCATGGTGAACTGGACTCCCATGGTGAACTGGACTTCCATGGTAAACTGGACTCCCATGGTGAACTGAACTCCCATGGTGAACTGGACTTCCATGGTGAACTGAACTCCCATGGTGAACTGGACTCCCATGGTGAACTGGACTCCCATGGTGAACTGGACTTCCATGGTGAACTGAACACCCATGGTGAACTGAACTTCCATGGTGAACTGAACTCCCATGGTGAACTGGACTCCCATGGTGAACTGAACACCCATGGTGAACTGAACTCCCATGGTGAACTGAACTCCCATGGTGAACTGAACTCCCATGGTGAACTGGATTCCCGTGGTGAACTGAACTCCCATGGTGAACTGAACTCCCATGGTGAACTGAACTCCCATGGTGAACTGGACTCCCGTGGTGAACTGAACTCCCATGGTGAACTGAACTCCCATGGTGAACTGAACTCCCATGGTGAACTGAACTCCCATGGTGAACTGAACTTCCATGGTGAACTGAATTACCATGGTGAACTGAACTCCCATGGTGAACTGGATTCCCGTGGTGAACTGAACTCCCATGGTGAACTGAACTCCCATGGTGAACTGAACTCCCATGGTGAACTGAACTCCCATGGTGAACTGAACTCCCATGGTGAACTGAACTCCCATGGTGAACTGGACTCCCATGGTGAACTGAACTCCCATGGTGAACTGAACTCCCATGGTGAACTGAACTCCCATGGTGAACTGAACTCCCATGGTGAACTGAACTCCCATGGTGAACTGGACTCCCATGGTGAACTGAACTCCCATGGTGAACTGAACTCCCATGGTGAACTGGACTCCCATGGTGAACTGAACTCCCATGGTGAACTGAACTCCCATGGTGAGCTGGACTCCCATGGTGAGCTGAACTCCCATGGTGAACTGAACTCCCATGGTGAACTGGACTCCCGTGGTGAACTGAACTCCCGTGGTGAACTGAACTCCCATGGTGAACTGAACTCCCATGGTGAACTGAACTCCCATGGTGAACTGAACTTCCATGGTGAACTGAATTACCATGGTGAGCTGGACTCCCATGGTGAACTGAATTCCCATGGTGAACTGAACTCCCATGGTGAACTGAATTCCCATGGTAAACTGAACTTCTATGCCGAATTAAAAACAGATCAAACATTTCTAACCAGGCCCCGTGGTGTAAACAAATGCAATTAAGTATCTAACTCTTCTCCACTTTATCTGGTGCTGTGAAGAGCTATGAAGGACAATTGCCCGAAACGTCGTCTGCTTAATGTTTTCTTTTAAAGCCACCGTGTTGTGCACGAATATTGAGCTGTGTTACGAGTGTACGTGTGTCTGTATGTGTCCACCCCCAGTCTGTAGTGTAGCAGTAAGCGACCCGCGCTACACTGCGAACCTGGTGACCCGCGTTCGATTCCCGCTCACGGCCAACACCAATGGCGATTATCTGATCCAGACCTGGGCGTCCCTTAGGTCGACTCAGCCTCAAATTAGTACATTGTGCGGTGTGTAAAAACATCGCCACTGGGGACACAAAGGCTGTCGGGCAAGGTGCTGGCCACCCACTCCCTCGTGTACCGTGCCGGCCTTGAAAGGTGCTCGCTAACAGCACTTTCTCCAACGTTCTATTATGGCTATACGGGGGATTTTGAAGAAAAAAAATGTCTTTGCCCTCCCCACCCCATCACAGCCCATGCCCCCCCACGTGCCGCTGCGCTGTGGGGTGCGGCTGAGCCCCCCCGCGCTCGTTCTCGACTACGCGGAGCACGACTCGAGCCGCGTGCGGCGCAGAATCGTCCCGCTCCGCGCGTTCTCCGCGTTCTCCGGTGAGATTTTAAAAAACACACAAAACACCCCCCTCCCTCCTCATTCGACATCGCACCTCATCCTGGCTTTTGACACTCCTCCTCCTCGAAGGCGACGGTGGTCACAATTGTCAAGCGCATCAGAAAGAACATCAACGGGCCGATGCGCACATCTCCTTCGCGAGTGGAATCATCTGTAGAATGACGAGCGTGGGGGTCTGGGGGTCCCTTGCCCTGCCCCCCCCCCCCCCGGTTGGAACCGCCTTGACAACCACCGTGAGATTCGTTGTCAACAAAAGTGTAAAAGAACAAAAACTTACTTCGCGAAGATGGAGCGCCCCTACAGCGTTGAATGTTCGAGACCGTGAGCAGTAAAGATTGTGGTTAGGCAAGAGGAGCCGCGATATAAAATAGTCTCTAGGTGCGACCCAGCGAGACAACTCAGATATTGGGGCTCCACCTCATCGATTGCCGCACCCCCTGAGCTGATAGTGTTGTTACCACACTGGGAATCATACACGGAAAATTAAAGACACAAGTCAGAGTAGTACGATTGTGGCCATGCAACCCAGACGAGACAACTCTCTAATGAAGCCGTCTCGTGGCTAGCAGACCTCGCATTTGGCATTTCGCTGCGCATATTGCCTGTACGCAAGAGTAGAATCCGGTGAGGATTATGAGTGAGTCCTCCCTGGTTACGTCACTCCTCTTACCCTCAGCTTAACTTAGCTTATCCCTCCCCTCCTCTTACCCTATATAATCATGTGTCTTCTTCTTGGTTCTTTCAGTAAAGTCACGTAGAATGGAAATAATAAAATAATAAAAATAAAACATAATAAAATAATTCTCACGACGTTTTGGCCACAACGCAAGCAGCCGTCCTCAGGTGAAGAACAGGACGGCTGCTTGCGTTGTGGCCGAAACGTCGTGAGAATTGTATTTTATTATGTTTTATTTTTATTATTTTATTATTTCCCTTCTACGTGACTTTACCGAAAGAACCAAGATGATACCTGAAAATTACTCAATTGGAATTGCACAGTGAGGCTTTCCTCGGTAAACAAGCGGCATGATAGTGAGTTGTTAAGATGCTGATGTTGTGTGTGTGTGTGTGAGGTAGATGTCCCTCAAACCGTGGAGAGACTCAAGGAGAGTGAGCGACATGGAGAGTTGATCCGACAGCTGTCCACCACTCAACTCACTCGCCTGCTGCTGAAAATACGGGTGAGCACACATCGACACACACTCAGCGATCCGATGTGCATTCGAGACGTTGCAGTTCGCCCAGAGTTTGTCTCCAGTCTTCTATCGCGTGGGATCCAGAGCTGCCGAGAACCTCCAGATCGGCTCGCATATGTAATGCGAGCGTAAGCGAGGTTTCGCTGCTCAGCTCTGGGGCAATCGGACGCCCGGAGTATTGGGGGCGGGGCACAGTAAGGTAGGCGTATGGGGAGGTCCGCCGCCCACCTCCGGTCCAATCGGATGCCCGGATGATCAGGGGCGGAGCCTAGGGGCGGAGCCGGGGGGGGGGCGCTAAGTAGGCCTCGGCAAGGTAAGGTAATTGTACCCTTTTTACCGGGTAAAAGGGTAAAGGTGTCGACATGCCAAGGGGTAAGGGTAAAGGGTAGGGTAAAAGGTAGGCTCGTTGATTTTTACCTTTTACCTTACCTGCTAAAGGGTAAAAGGTAGGGTAGAGTGATTGTATTGTGGTAAGGTAAAAGGTAGCGTAAAGGTAGGCTCGTTGTTTTTACACTTTTACCTTACCTTGCCGAGGCCTAGCGCTAAGTGAAGGGCGTGATCTGGAAGGTTCGGAAAGGACGTGGTGGAAGGTGGAGACGGGATGACGAGAGAGGGGAATATAAGGGGGGATCCGGAAGAGGCTCGGGGCAGTTGGTATAGACTCGAAGCGGGACCACGTCGAGCCGTGGGAGGTCTCCAGCGCCATCGGCCACGTGGCGGCTGGAGACGGCTCCAAGCACACCGTCAGCCAACGGTGTGCGGGAGTGCAACTGACAGAAAGAGCGCGCGGGTCGCGCCAATGGAACAGCCGGTCCACGGTCGGGTCCGGCGGAGTGTGAGCGGCATAACAAGAATAAAGACAGAGACGGAGACCAAGCTGTGTGTCGTCAACGTCCTTTATTACACATGGACGGGATTCACACTGTTACCGCGTGGCCGGCAGGAATCGCTGGGCGGGTGCGGCGAGGACCTCAATGCCGTGAGCGACGCGGCGCTGGTGCTGAGCAAGCGCGAGATGGACCACGGCTTTGAGCGGCGGCGCTTGAAGCCCGGCGACGCAGGCTACGAGTACGACGTGTCGCGCGACTTCATGCCGCTTGCACCCAGCGAGTGGGACAGCGACTGAGCTGTTGCCAATGCCCCCCCCCCCTCCCCCCGCACGGTTCTATCGAGCATCGGCAGATTTATCTTGCGAATGCGTTTTGTAATCACTGTATCCGCGGTGGGGAGATGTTAACTACCTCACCTGGTGTACAGGAGGTTGTGGGTTCGATCCCGACCCTGACGCCTGCTGTATATTTGGAGTTTGCGTGTCTCTCCCCGTGGTCACGTGAATTTTTCTCTGGGTCCTCTGGTTTTTCCCCTCCACATTTAGAATCGTGCATTCAAGAGTATTTGGCTGCTACAAATTTCGACAGAAGCCACTTCATTGCTTTATAATTCTGGTTAGGTCGCTTCTGAAAAAGAGTTAAATAGCTCAGTTTAGTTTTAGTATCCGTGCAGGACAGGAGGACAGACACAAACTCCACGCAGGAACTCCTTGCTGTGAGGCGCGAGCGTTACCACTGCGTCACGCTGCACATGCAATGGCTCTCGACCATTGGCAGTCGCACGATCGGCTGTCGAGGCTGGTGGCCTAGGCGAGCAAAGCGTGCTGCTAAATCCACTTGTTTGGTTGTGCGGTGCCGCTCGCTCTCCGATGTGGTTTCAGGTCGCACCGAGTGTTTCTGCAACAAATCCAGTTGTGTCGGGGGGGAAAAATGTTGAAAAGTAACTACTGATTATTGTCAATGTTGTTGGATCCTGTGTTAATCTGTTGGAAGTTACAAAGTTTACATCAATTATAATGCACATAAAATGTAACACAGAGTTGAAACACTCTGGTTCTTTCGGTAAAGTCACGTATAAAGAGAAAATAATAATAAGAAAATAATAAATTAAATATTATTTTCTCTTTATACGTGACTTTACCGAAAAAACCAAAGAGTAATTCCTGCAGTCACGAAAGCTCCAAATTAAGTTTGAGTTGAAACAGGCGATTTCTGAGGTATAGCCAGTCCTCCCAGGTTGTGTTGTTGATGAGGCCAAGTTTCCAAACCAGGGTCTCGTTTTTGTTGCTCCGCAACCTGAAAGTAGACATGGCAGCATCCACTGATGCTGTAAGCACCTTCCTCCTTGATGTCTCTGCCCAGTGGCCGGTGTTTGGCCCAATCTCCGTCGATCTCGTCCGATCTTAAACTTTTCTCCATGTGACCGTAGGTTCCCCCCCCCCCACGCCCACACACATCCTCCCACTTCCTTCAAATCGAGCAGCATGTCTGCTCCTGCCTCTTTGCCAAGTTCCTTCATCAGGCCTCCACTTTGCAAAATGTGCCCAGACCACATCGCTTGCCTGGTCGAGATGTTCTCATGAGGCTTCTCCGAGTCAGATCTCAAACTCCCTCAATTCTCTTCTTGGTTCTTTCGGTAAAGTCACGTAGAAGGGAAGTAATAAAATAATAAAAATAAAATAATAAAATAATTCTCACGACGTTTCGGCCACAACGCAAGCAGCCGTCCTCCAGGTTTTATTTTTATTATTTTATTACTTCCCTCCTACGTGACTTTACCGAAAGAACCAAGAAGATGAATCCCTGCAGTCACGAAAGCTTTAAATCGAAATTTCCCTGATTCCTCTTTCTATTGCTTTTTCTCATGCGGTGGCACACAATCCCCACATCTTAGATGTTCCAGTCTGATAATTGTTTTTTTTTACCCTTTTATCTGGCAACAAAACTGACACCTTTTTTTTACAAGGAGTCATGTTTGCATAGACCACAATACCTGCAGTCATAATGCAAACAAAAAACATAACTCTGATAATGTATGCACTGTCCTTGAAGTTGATTGGTCCACACCCGAGACAGCTTTCCTTAGAGCCTAGTCTCACATGGTGTTGGACCAGATGACGCCAAAAGGCGCAATCAACTTCAAGGACAGTGCATACATTATCAGAGTTATGGTTTTTTTTGCATGACTGCAGGTATTGTGGTCTATGCAAACATGACTCCTTGTAAAAAAAGTGTCAGTTTTGTTGCCAGATAAAAGGGTAAAAAACCAATTATATTTTTTACTGACAAATGAGGTTCCAAAGATGTTCCAGTCTCTTAACGTCTGCCCTTTTTCACGGGTCAACGGTTCTGAGCATATTACACTATACTCCGTACCAGCCTTCACGAGTCTTTTCTTCAACTCAGTCCTTGTATTTGAGTTGCGCGACTTCCATGTTTTAGTTGTGCAATTCATGTAGTTGATGTGACAGATGGGGGGGGGGGGGGTTAACAGCCTCAAGAATCTCGACCTCGAGAGGCTGCCCCAAACAGGCTGTCAAAAATTTGGCAGGAGTTGGGCAGCAGGGTGGGACTATGGGAACACTTGCACATCGCTGCAAGAAGGGCCTGCGCGTTTGATTCCTGACTCTGGTGCCCTTCCGCGTGGAGTTGGTATGTTATCCCCCTGTTGTGCATGGGTTCCTCACACAGCTAAAACATATATACTGTGTAAATGGTATTGACCAAACATCTCAATGCTGAAAGGTTAACTGCAACATTCAAGTTGTGATTACACAAAGCAAAATGGCACCCGACTGTGAAAACATGGCAGGAGTCTTCTGAAAGACAGCCTGAAGAACTCCGCGAGGCTTTCTTGAATAAACAATAACAAAATGAGCTCCAGGCTGTTCTTCGTGTTTCTGGTCCAATGGAGCAGGACGCGTGGAGCTGTATTCTCCAGATTACTCCAATAAACAAAACTCACCCCAGACCTGTTCCCATTACCAATAAAAAATGATAAAAAAAAAATCTGTCTATACACGCACGCTGCTACCTGAATAAAAGACACACTCCCAACTTTTTCTTTAAAATACAGGGTGAAGTGTCTTATAATCCAGAGAATACATGTAACTGTGAAGTTCAATAAAATACAATATAAAAAAAATACCTAAATGTTTACTTTGGATACCACTTTTTTTCCGGAGCGTCCACATAGTTTAATTCGGCAAGTAGTACGAACTTAACTCAAACAGCTGTAGATGGTTTGATAAATCACATCGTGCTATTCGTTGCAAGTATTGTGACAGGGTTGCCGAGCATATATGGAAATATTTTTTTGGATTCTACAACTGCTAAAACACACTTGTATAACAATCAACTCAACTTTTTATTTTACCAGCTAAGGCCCACTGAGCTACGTAGCGCTTTTTCACAAGCGACCTGGCCACAAATGATAGCTCAACGAATTGGCTCTTAACGTGGAAATTTATAGCAGCCAAATACTCTAAATGCATGTTGGTTCTAATCAATTGGAAATCCAGATTTCCAATTCATCAGCCACATGACAACCAGCTAACTCAGCAGATAAGACAACAGATTTGTTAATTAACTAGATTAAAATCATTTATGCAGAACACACGTGTTTTAATTAATTACATTCAATATAATAATAGTCGATGGACAACCCCAAGTTGATCCGATATATTATTAGCGTGTGCTTGAAACGAGCCGTGCGTGTGAGCGTGCATGCATGGCCAACAAAAATGTGTCCACGTGTGCATACGCATCGACATGGGAGTCTCTTTTTTTTCCAGCGTCTTTATTAACTTGGGGAGGGGGCGGGCAAAAAAACAATGCGCGTTTCAACAGCACAACACGGAAAAGGGAGGGTGGGTGGGTGGGTAGGTGGGGGAACGAAAACGTAAAGAGTAAGAAAAAACAAACTCCACCTGCGGCCACGGTTGCCGGAACGGTGCATTGCGCGTGACTCTGCGGGCGTTTGCACCACGAAACCCACCCCCCCCCCACCCTCGTTGGCGCCTCACACAATTATCAATCGGTCGATTGTGTTTTTTTTTAGCTATTCGCCGACCCGCAACAAACCGCGCGTACGTGGCTCTCGCAGAGCGTGCGCGCCTCGATAGTGAAACAGTGGGAAGGAGTTGGGTGAATAATCCATTCATTCGTTCCATTGTTCATGCATCAGTTCAGTAATCGGTTAATTCCGCCTTTTTGCGCGACTACATTTTTTGTTGGTCAACCTCCCGAGTTTAGTTGGGCCAGCCTCTATAAACTTAAATGGGAACGCACCGTGAGATAGCCATAACGAAACACCACACACACTCCCCCCCCCCCACCCCTTTGGGTTAACTGAAGTTGCTGCGGTCCTGCGTGTATACTCACCACACAGCGGGAGGGTGTCGTCTTACTTGACCCACACGCTTAGGATTAATAACATCAGCAACGTCGTCGCCATTATCGCCGCCGTGTGAAATTCAAGTAAAAAAAAATGTCAGGCGTACACGGTATCAATTTTTCCACTGTGAGGGTGCGATCAACAAATAACGATTCTTAATATTACTTTAGTTTTTCCTTTTAAAAGACGACTGCATGGGGACTTTGCTACGTTTATTATTATTTTTCTTTAAACTCTGTGCGTGCGTACGTACGTGCGTGCATACGTGCGTGCATGCGTGAGTGACGTGTTCACACACTGAACAAGGAGGAGCGCCTTGCCCTGGCCTGGCGATTTTGAGCCAGATCGAAGAGGGCCCATCTTTTGTGCTGAACGTGAGACCGAGTGATAGAAGCTGCCGATCAGGAAATTGATCCTGTAGCCAGGCAACTTACTAAATAACTAACTAACCAGCCAACCAGCGATACTATTGCACTAACCAACAGCTAAACCAGCCATATAGCTCACCAAATAGCTAACTAATCAACGAGTTAACCAACCAGTAATAGTCACACAACTTAATCCAGCTAACCAATTGACTAAGGTAACTGACCAGTCCACCAGCCACATGACCAACCAGCTCGCTCGGCAGACAGACAACCAATTGGTTAATCGACCAGATTACTTACCAACCAACTTAATCAAACAACAGATGTATCAGAGCCAGACGGCTCGCAAATCCAGATAACAGCCAACCTGCTTACCAGTCGGTTTAACGAGCTCGATAAACAAACCAACCGGCAAGTTACCAGACAACCAATTCGCTTGGCCAATCCACATCAAAGAACCAATTACCCTCGGTAGCTATCCAAGCAACTCGGCAGCCAGCTAAACAACCGGACAATTTCCCAAGCAGAAAACCATATAACCATCCGGTCGACCAGACAGCTACCCCCTCCTGCAGCTGTTTCAAGAGCTATCCATCTAGTGAGCCAACCAGCCAGTTTTTGCAAGCCAGCCAGCCAGCCAGTCAGCCAAGCCGTTAGCCAGCAAAACCAACCATCGGCTAAAATGGCCTGCCTAGAGGCAAGTTTGTCTTTCTGGCAGTTTTCCTGTCTGGGAAGCAGCTTTGTCTGCCCGCCCGTGTGCCCGTGTGCCTGACAGACCGACCACATGTGCGTGAGGGAGGGGAGGCTCTCGCTTCGCTACTGGGTTTACGCGGCCGTGGCACGGCGCACGGCGCTGCCACGGACGGGCGCGGACGACTCTTACCGTCGCGTACCGAACGGATTGCTGCTGCTGGCGCGGAGGGCGTCGAGAGAAACTCCAGTGAGGTGGGAGAATCCCAAGCGAGAGGGCTGCGTGGAGGCACTGGAGCACTGTTTGGGCTAGGGCCAGCTGTAATTGGCTATTATTAATAATTGGTTCATGTGGTTAGGGGAGGATCAGGGCGATGCTCCGCTGGGCCAATGAGGGTTAGGGATAGTTTCAGGGCGAGGGATTTGGTTGACTAGTGTGGTTATGGCATCGATTTGGTTATCGTTGGAATTAACCCTAACCGGGTTATGGCCAGGCTCTGCTTGAAAGCAGTGAGGCTCCTCCCCTAAGAGTGCCCAATCGCTGCCCTTTTCACTTGTCGATTCCCCCCTCCAACTCAAGGAGTTTACACAGCTCCCCACACTGCCTTAAAATCTCCTACGCCGTCGTAATCTGGTGCACAATCATCAATATGTGCACGAGACCCCCAAACTACGGGGGGGGGGGGCAGGAGGGGGGCGGGGGGCGGCGAGGTGGCCGAAGGCGGTACAATAAACAGGATATTTCTGTCATATCCGATTGCCTTGGCCTAACGTCCGAATGTAGCAGGACCCTCCTGGAAGCGAGTCACAGCTCAGTGAGGCTTTCCTGGGTAAATGAACGACGGACTGCGGTTTTATTGTCGTCATTGCAGGAGTCGCACAGGCGACCTCGCTCACTCGCCCGCCCGCCCGCACACTTAAGCGTGTTGTTTTTACGTGATCCGTCTCAAGTTACGACAAACGCGCAAATAATAGTTTTGCATTTTTTTTTCCTTTTTAAATTAAGTCACAACTCCGTAGACGTTCGAGCCATCTCGCTTTCGTTTGTCTCGCGCACCAAGTTGAACGAGTCCGTTAAAACTGAAATGAACTTATCCTCGCTCGCGGTCCTTTCCCATTTCCGCTGTTACCGTCGACGAACCGAGCGACAGAAATTTGTGGAAAATAAAAAAAATCACCGTCCTTACGATAATCGCCACCAAATTGTCTCGCTGTCTCTGCCCAATTCCAGTCAACGTTTATGTGTGCCACCGTTTGCATATTAAATGCACGTAAAAAGCACCTGGCGAACAAAGGTTCTTCTGTTAAACGGCATCCATGGATTTCTGCACAACTGCTGAGGATTTATTTTATACCTTATATATTTATGTGTATTTATAGAGAGGTGTCTTACATAGGGCCTGAACTCTTTAATTCAAACGCAAGTCTGGACAGGGACTGGGCTGTGAATCTCGCACTTGCCTCACATACTTACTCTACACCAGCCCAGCACGAAAGGTAAAACCGGGTTGTGGTTTACAGCAATAGCCCTTTCCCTGACTCTAAACCTGACCCAGCTCAACACCAGGTTAAACCAGGTCAGGGATTATGGTAATATCCCTAACCCTGCCTAACCCTGACATAGTTTACCAATATTGCTGCACCACGTCAGGGTTAGGGGTCGTAGCCCTAACCCCGACTAACCAACACCAGCCCCATTCAAGTCTCTAATTAGCCAAATTGTCTGCAGGGTTGGGGGCTCGGTGGGTGGCCCAGTGGCAATCAGACAGCCACTGCTGCCATTGAGCATGGTTCGACTACAGGTATAGCCATACGTCGTTCGGTTCACGAGGGAAAATTTTCTGTTTTGCCGAAGCCCGCAGCCGGCTGTAACGTAGATGTTTCGGAACCCCGTGACACCATTCGCAAGAGCTGGCCATTGTGTAGCCTGTGCGTTAATGTAGCCCTCGACTGGGGCTAAGAATTAAAACGTCAGTAACCGTCCTTCTTTAAGCGTCTCCAACCCATCAGTGCCTCCCCTTGCAAAAAAAAAAGATAAATCCAAAAGGGCTCTCACCTAATTAAACAAAGGATGCCATCCACATGTTAGGCAATCGCTGCACGCATGCACGCACTCACGCACGCAGGTACACACCGCTGGGCCGTTTGTCCAGACTTGAGTGTGTGTGGAAAAGGGATGCGGGAATAATAATAACTTAACTTGCCCGATGTGAACTTTCGTGCCAGCTTCTTTAATTTCATCTTTAAACACCCAACCTCAACTGTTTACCCTGAACCTTTGAGCTCATGGGAACCCGACCTCATGAAATAAATTAACATTTTCTCGTTCAGATGACGTGAAACACAGGAGCCGCAACAACGTCTGTAAATGAGCAATCGCGCAGTTGAACAAAGTTTGCATGTGGCCCACGGTGGATTGCCGATGAGCCACTTAACTGTGCCCAGTGTATCGCCGATTGTAAGCCAAATCAAAACACTTTTTCGAAGCCAAACCAAACTTTTTCACAAAGTTGGCAACGTCTCAAGATTTTGCATGAGGATGACGACTCATTAATTCAGCCAAACCAGCGGTATAACTTGTGGGCTGAGCTAAGGCAGACTAATGAGATGAGGAGGGATACTGTAGTAGATTATGATGCAGGGTTCTGTATTTGATGCGACCTGGATTCTGTAGCAGATAGGTCAAGGATTCACTATTTCATTTGATGATGGTGCTAAATTTTAAGGGCTAAGAGTTCTATATTCGATGGATCAAACGTTATGAATCGGATGAGATGAAGGCTCTGAATTTCATGGGGCTAGAGAATCTGTCCTGGATGAGATGAGGATTCTGTGTCTGATAAGGGTTCCGTTTTTGGAGTTCAATATTGTACGTGATTAGGGTTCTGTATTAGATGTGGTGAGGATTATGTATCGGATGAAATGAGGGCATCAGAAGTGACGAAGCTTCTAAAATCAACGGAATTAGGCTCCTGCACCAATTCTCGACTACGACTTAAACTCGACAAGCATTCTATCATACGCTCCGTTGATTCTATTCCGGGGTGGGTTCTCGCGCTGGGATAGCTCTGGTCGTTAGAGACGCCACTCTCGCTTCCAACAACGACAACTACAAAAGCTCAGCCTTAGCAAAGCATTTTGATGCCGACGGATTAAATTTGTTTGAAGGCAAAATCGTCGCAGCCGAGCTTAACGTGGAACGAGGCAGCGCTGCTCTGCGTTACAAAAACACACGACGCGGGTTCCACGGTGGCGACTGTGGCCGTGAGGTCACGGCAAGGTCACGCGCACGCAGAAGAGGTCGTGGGTAGCCTGACCCAAACCCCGCCCCCCCCAAGCCGCTTCTCTCCAGTTATTGGGTTTTTTTTTTCATATAAAAATAAAATACCACACTCGCAACGCCCAAACCACCCCACGTCGGCTTCTCAGCTTAGGTGCAAAAAAATAAATTACAATCTTTGTGTTTCATCGTACAAAAAACGGCAGCTTAAAAAAAGGAGGTTAATTGTCTTTATCGTTCTCCATACGTTTTTTTGTTTTAAAATTTAGAAAAAGTATGAAGTGTCTCCCCCCTCCTCCCCCCCTCCCCGATTGAATGAGCATTGGGTGGCGCTCACTTTCTGTTGGTCAAACCCTGAGCCAGTAATGCAAATTCCACATTCCTATGGCAAAAACCTGTCTTCCCCATCGACTACCCAATGAGCGGTGTGCGCTCGTTTTATCCGCTCGTTTTATCCGCCACGGCAGAGACGATGATGATAATTAGGCCGAGTCGATCCGACAGGGCGTTTTGGTTGTGATAACTCGTAATGCCCTGCTAACAATCGGGACTGCACGGGATACAAATGCAGCATGGAGGAGTGGGGAGGTAAATGAGAGTTAATGCAAGGGGCTTGGTCCCAAGGCTCAAACGCAGAGATAAGAAATCCGACCTCAAAGGTAAAACTCCCTATGGGGCACAGATTGGCTGCACGGCAGCTCAGGCCTCAATGTTAATGCACACGCTTGTACGCACACACCAAAGTGTATGCACCACGCACAGTGCACACCACACTCCCCCGAGTGTATGCAATACACACCACACAGTGCACGCACACTCGTACACACGTGCACACACCATGGCGTATGCACGATGCACAGCGCGCGCACACTCTTACTACACCTCGTAGTGCACAGACGGCACCACACCAGACACCATACAGCTTACGCAGCCACCCACACGACCTCACACTCAGCGTATTGCACACACTGCTACGCGCACGCGCGCAAACACACCCGTGTACGTGTGTGTGTATAAACACATGCACTGGGCTGTGCAAATGTACACACGCGTGCACATGTCATGTGCAGTGAATTGTTTTGCATGTTGGAGTGTTGACCACTTAAGTCTCGACTATACGGACTCCCCAGTTAGCGAGTTAAATGACTTTCGTGTTAAAATGTCAACGATCTTGGCAGTCCTAACGTGAAGTCTTTACATTCGGGCACTGCTCTAATGCTCAACCATAACCTCTACCCTGAATATAACCCTAACGACGCAAGTCCTAGTCATAATACTAACACTAGTAACATTATAGTTAACCAATACCCCAAGTCCTAACACTATTAAAACATTGAGCTTACCCTCGTGTAATAATCCTAACACTCATACTATAGGTCCTAAATCATAACCCAAACACCTTCATATCACCAGGTAATAAGTATTAACTCTAACTTGAATGTCAATCCTAATCATATCCCTTACAATACAACCCTTCCCCCAACATGACCATTCACAAAAACGCTCCTCCTATTTTCTCCAATCTTAACGCCAATTGACTCCTACCCTATGAATACTATTCTCAACACCAATAACTTTAATCTGAACACTACCATCATACGAATCAACAACGATAAGCCTATCCCCTACCCTTAAAACTAAAAACCCTATCCTTCCATACAACCATCAGCGCCAACTCTCCCCCAACAATTATCGGCACTGACCTTGCTAATCATACATTAAGACTATGAACTCTAACCCTAAGACTAACAACGCCAACAACCCTAACCTAGAGATCATTGCCGTCACGAGCTGTCAATCATCCCGAGGTGGCAACACAGCAAGTTGGTTCGCCAAACCCGTCCGTATAGCGGAGCTTTTTCAAGCGTCATTACCCCCCCCCCCCCCCATCGTGTGCACACGCGGGTGGGGATTTCTCCGGGCTCTCCGATTTCATAACGCATCTTGAAGCCAAACCACTCGTCCAATTAAACATACATTACAATAACGTTAAATCGGCAAAAACATCCCAACATCGCAGGACAACTCCTATGAAGAAGGGGAGAGCCTTGAGACTCGGTGAGGCTTTTTCAGATAAAACAAATGAAATTATAATTATCACTACTCTTAAATACCCTCCACAGAGAGGCTTTCAAGAGCTCCCGTGAGCGGAGGTCCTTGTACAGCCAAGCAGTGGCGTGAGCACCTTTTAAGCCTTTTTTTAAAATTACCTTTTGTAACGATTGGCACCACATTAATCTTTCGTCGCTCTCCGATGACGCAGTCTGGCAGGAAACTTCTATCGAACGCAAGGTCGGGCCCGCAAGCTTAAACAACGGTGTGTGCGCACATAATAAAAGGTCACTTCTCGAAGCAGCGCAAGGTCGAAGGTTAAAGGTTAAACCCAATTCAAGTAAGTTGACGTCTTCCTCCACTTTAGCTTCCAATAAAAAAAACATTCCGCGACGATATAAATACTCGCGCTCTTAAAACAAAATGTGGTTGCTGGTTTTGGAAATAGTCAACGCTCGATTATCCGGGATAAGGGGGAGGGGGGGCCGGGGAATCCAGGATAAGGCGGCGGTTGCCAAAGGTATGGAGATTAGGCTGTTCCGAGTGTTTACCGATGTCGAATGAGGGGGGTTCTTAAAAGTAATCCGTTTATGTGCGTGCTTTGCGGTCACGTGGGTGCCAATTCTCCTGAACCCCCCCCCCCCATCATGCGAAAGCAGGTAATGGTTAAACCAGGCCAAACTTGTAAGCGCATTTTAATCTGGCGCCTCAATAATGTGCCCACGGATAATCGAGGTTTAACTCCGCGTAAAAATTACCACTGCGGAGGATTTATTTCTTTTGGCCAAGAAATAAACTAAACGGCTCAGGTGATGATGAACCCCGCTTGTCCCACTTACGTCTAGCCGCCAATTTTTTTTGTTACGAAGTTTCAGATAAATTTTTGCATCTAAACACAAAATATGACATCATCACCATTCTTATTATTGCTTCGACTAACTACACTAACGTTGCCGACTTGGAGAGACATTCACATCTCTACCCCCACGCACCGCCGACGAATCGATGAATTGTCGCGATTCGATGACCGGTTATTTTTGTAAACATTGCGGTGAACGCGTCCTCAGGAGGTTGCAGGGGAATCACGTCATCCCAGAACGTACAAAGCATACGGATCGAGACGCATCGATCATCTACAACAGACTCGGCACGTGTATTTATCGCGACGGCGAGAATCGATTTGTATTGGTGCATCGTTTACACCTCCCGCCTCCTGGTCGTGCTTTTTGGAATTTGTTTTAAATTATCGCGCAATTTATTAATTATATTGTCACATTTCAGTTTTCGCTATATAAACAGGGAAGGGGGGTGGGAAGGGATGAACGCAAGTTCACGCATTAGGCCGAGTGTAACAAAAAAAAATCGCTAACATTTCCAGCTAGATTTTATTTCCACGATATTAACGAAAAAAAAACAGACGGCGCCTCTGCGTCAAACCCACAGCAGCTATCATAGTTTAGCATTAATAGCCTCTTTAAACCTTTTACACAAACTTAACGCAAAGTAAACTAATTCAAAACAGGCAGGCCCTTTCGTTGACACGTTTCAGAAATGGAAGTGCATTTTTGTTTTGTACGTGCCAAGTCATCGGTGACCGGGCTGAGACACATCGACTCACTACACTCCTACAATCGATGACGATGATGACAAAGGACATAATTTCTCGCTCAACATTTTCCGAGTCGCTGGTAGGCTGGAGCGGGTGGCACGTGACTAGTAGTAGCGAAGCATACTCCACGTGTTACAAGGGAAAGAGCAAAGGTCAAAATGTCACTACAGTGCCCCCCCCATTCTAGCGAGTAGCATTATGCAGTCGCATATGTACAACAAGCATTCGCGACTCAGGAGATAAGAACCTGTCAGCATACTGATTTGACACAGACCCTACTCCCAAGATATCTAGCGGTCCCGAGAACTCCAGACCCACAGGTGCAAACCTAATAATTACACGGAACCGCTATCGATGCTCACTTTTGTAAACCGAGACTAATCGCGTGTTCTGTAGCAAATCGCAATAAGTCACAAACGACGGGGAAAAAAACCCCCATCTCTCACGGGCACATTTGCTTAGGGCCCGGGTTGATTACCGCCGCTCACCGGAGACAATCGGAGAACTCCTCAAGCCAAGCTAAGGCACCTAAAGCATGAGGATGGGAGGTGTCAGTTGTCCCATATGAGCAGGGTCGATTGGTTCTTCAGCTCGCTGTAATTTTAACCCTTTCGACCAAAGATGCAAAACAGGCCAAGCATTAAGCCTGTCACGGAATAAGGCAACTTCCACCCGTCACGTTAGTTCTGGGTTTCTCCGAGCACCAACAGTCCATGGCTCAGAAAAATTGGCGCTTTTGTAAAACCGTCAGGACTAAAGGGTGACGTTCAGCTATAACCAAAACTAATGCTAGAAAACAGAATCTAAAATGACCAGAATTGTCTAAAATGACCAGAATCTTGCCAGAATTAATGACTTCATGGGGTCAACCGGTGGGAAGGGATGGGGGGGGGTCTCTGTCGTCATCATCGTCATCGTTAATATTAATTATTCTATTCACTCGCACGTTTGTTCGCGGTGAACGCGGGTGCTCCGAGTCGCTTGTTAATCTTTTCCCCACCGACGCAGCAGAGCGGCAGACGGAGAAAACGGAGGGGATGCGGTTCGCGTGGTAACACTTCCATTAAATAGGTTTTCCTTCCGTGGTTTGAGTTTTGCGGAAAGAAACGTTGCGGACACTCGATAGTCTCCGACGGTCCCTGCCCTCGGATCGCATTTCATTCCCACCGCCTTGCGTTTACATGTCGCGTTTTAATTCCACATTGTATTATTCCGCGCACTTTTCCGTTAGGTTTTGCTTACATGTTTTTTCGTAAAATTATTTTTACCTATTATTTGCGGATGCATTTAAAGCGTCCATTCCAACACCACATGTGGTATTTTCCCGTCTTGACCCTTGTTTGTTTAAGACACCTAACTATAGCCCCGTGTGTGTGTGTGTGTGTCTAAACCTGTCTGTGCATACATGTGTTAGTGCCATCACCTAAGACACGCCCCCTTTCTCTCTCTTTAACGACCAAACACGGTGAAACTCTTACAAATGAACACAGCCGCTCTCTGGCAAGGTCATCGGCCGCAACATCGGCCCGAAAAGTTCAAACACATACCCTTACGACGCCACACGCAGCGTCACAGCTTTGGACTCTTTTTAAAAACAGAACAAAAACTTGACGACATACAGAAAAAAACCATCGCACCATTAAGAGTTGTGATCAAAGTTCCCATTAAAAGAATCGATTATCATTTTTCTTTTCTTTTAAAAGCTCTGTGTAATATGGAGGTGCCGTTAAGTCGCGCTGGCAGCAAAGTGCGCACGTTTTATCTCGCCCAAGAAAGTAAAAAAAAAAACACATCCGCGGATCTAAACCGCGGACGGATACAACTTGACCGCGAACCCAAATCCTCCGGCGATTCGACTCGCCTTGCCCGATAGACAACTCCACGGACAAGAGACACGCACACACCTCGGCGGAGACAGCCGGCATGTCGACAGCGGCAGACAGACACTTGCCTGACCGCATACCAACTATTCTCACTGACAAAAAAACGCCCAAGCGGGGCCTGCCGACCAAAAACCGTCGGCACAAGCATAAACTCACTTCGCTAACCAATCAGAAAATCACCACCACCACCTCCTCACCCGCTGTGGCACAGGCTGTCCACCACGCACCTCACCTGGAACTGCAAAATGCAAGACAGCTTGAGATACAAACGAGTGCCTGGAAAACTCCCCACTCAGTCACCTGCACGTATTACCCACACACCCAAACATCGTGAACGTCCTGTCCTGCTTGACGGCGTTCCTGGTGTGAGTACAGGGTGTGCATGTGTGTGCGTAGGTGGATGCGGAGAATTCCGAGGGAGACGAGAGTGTGTGCGTGCGTCGGCACGAATTGGCGCCCGATCGCACCACCACCATCACCTCAATGCTACCGCCGCATAAGCGCGGCAGAGGAGTTTTTTCCGGGAATTTTTAGAGTTCACGGGTGTTTGTTCCTGCCGCCTGTTTACCGTTTCAACAAAACCCAACATTGGTAACGTGTGAGAGGAGAGAGAGGTGCTAGCAGAGCAGTAAGAATGGCTATTCATATATATAAAAAAAATCTTCACATAGCCAATATTTGCAATCGACAGTTGCACTCGCACAGAATTGTGGATGGACGTGCTGTGTGTGTGGCGTGTCCCATGTGCTCTTTGTGTGCGTTTATCTTTAGTGAGTGTTTGTGTAGTATGTGTGAGTGCCGTTTGCGTTATCCTGTATCTAATTCTATGCGTGTGTGTTTGTGCATGCCCAGGTCAGTGCATGTGTGTGTGGTCAGTGCATTTATGCCTTGTGTGTGTGTGTGTGCTCCACGCTATGTCACGTGCCTGTGCATCCTGTATGTCTGTAGAGTGCAACTGCCTCGGACTCTCTCTCTCTGGTTTGTCTTTCCCTTCTCATTAACGCGAGCAAACGAAAACCCTTTGCTGAATTTTGTTTTTAATTCAGAGCCGCTGGGTCAGACCCAGTGTAGAGGATGTGGGCCTGTTTGCCGCTATAATCATACGAGACCAAACCAGCTCCGTGTTAGACAATGAGGCTAAGCTGGTTCGGGCTGCTTTGGGTTTAGGATTAGAGATACACAGGTTAGGGCTTTGTGGGGACAGGGAAAGGTCAGGAGGTCAAGATATCAAGACATCCCCGACCAACGAGGAACATCAGTGGGAGCGACGCTAAATCCCGGCGCCTCTCTACGTCAATCGAACTTTTAGACAGGCGGAACGACGCTGAAAATTGTTTCCCCGTAACGTGACGTGGTGTGGGTGTGGTGGTGCTTTGGCCCATTCGGTCCACTCTGCGTCGTGTCGTGGTGCCGGGCTAAACCCTCTCCCCCGAGGTGCGAGTGCATCGGTTGGATTCCCATGCAAAACCTTTTTCGACGTTTCATCGAAGAGAAAAGAATCTAAGAAGAAAATAAAAATTCTGTCCCCTCGTCGTTATGCCGCTAGCGAAACGCGTTTTTTTTTGTAATCACTTAAGGAACCGCTACTCTAACCTCAAACGCAGCTAAGTCAATGTAACACTTTAATAAGCAAATCAGAATTAATCATCAAGAAGAAGAGAAGAAGATTAGGAGTCGGTACTTGTTATACGTTTAAACTATGTCTTGTTAAACACGAGTACAAGGTCGGAGGGGAGCCTGTGTGCGCGCGTACATGCAAGTATTTGTAAAGGTGTGTGTACGTGCGAGTGCGTACGCGTGTACGCAAGTGTGTACGTGTGTGTAAATGTGCACAAATGCGTGGACACGTGTGTGTGTGTGTACTTGCGTGCGTGCGCGTGTACACAAGCGAGTACGCATGTAAGCTAGTAAGCTTGTGAGAACGTGTGTACAAGCCTGTGTTTACACATGCGTACATACACACGTGTGCGTCTGCTGCACTCGTGCGTCAGCCTCGTATACCTGCACTGCGTGCCCATGTCCTACTACGCAACTTGTGCTTGCACTACCACCTGTGAGTGTGTACTCACGTTATATGATCGTATACTCATCCCACCGTGCACACAATATTAATCCTGCTGTGCTAGCTTGCGTACTCGAGCTATGTACAAGCTGTTGCTGTGTGCTCATCTCGCTGTGTACTTGTGTTGTTGAGGCGGTGTGCTCGTGTTGTTGTCATGTGTGTCACTACTGTGTACGCACGACGTGTGCTCGTGAAATTCATCTCTCTCGTGTACTCTGGCTGTGTACTCGTGCCATGTACCGGGCCGGCCTAACTGGTCCACCAATCCATGGGGGCTCCGTACGCCATAGGGAAACCGCCTGGCATAGGCTGGGGGGCAAAGTGGCCAAAGTTCCCATAGCCACCTGCACACACAGATACACAGACACATGTATTATACTCCTTTACACACGAGCGCATGTATGGACACAAGCACACATTTAAAAAAACACGGCGACACAAACAACAACAAATGCCATTCAACACTGAATGCCAGCGACGGTCAACAATGCACTTGTGCCAGGTTAGGTTCACTCTGAGGGCACGTCAAGTGTTATGGGTGAAGTGAGATAGACAGCTGGCAAACGCACGCATAAAAATTAACCCGTAAAAACAAAGTTTTTCACTATAAATCCTTTATATGCGTGGCGGCTAGAGTCCTCTCGTCCTCTGGCTTGAGATGGCTGCCACCTATGGGTCAGATGATTGCCTGGCAGCATTAAGCAATTGGTAATTAAATATAAAAATAAATTCCTAAAAAGTGTAAAATTTTGCAAAAAAAATTTCACGAAAATTAATTGTCACGCACAACGAGTCTGTGTGGAAAATGTCAGCTCGATTGGATCACGGGAAGTGGGTTAAAAAACGACCGAAAGATTTGCACGGTCGTAACGCGCAAGCAAGCAAGCAAGCGAACTTAATATAAAGGATTTAAATAAAAAACGACCGAAAGATTTGCACGGTCGTAAGCGCGCAAGCAAGCAAGCGAACTTAATATAAAGGATTTAAAAATGCATGTAAACGCACATGCACGCACATGTCTGTGTATGTTCCTGTATTGTCCATGCATGTGCGTGTGTGTGTGTGCGTGGGGAGCGGTTAGTGCACTGCGCTACAAACACGGCGGCCTGAGTTCAAATTCCACTGATGGCCAACACCAGTGACAATTATCTGATTCGGTCCTGGGTCTTCCCTAGGTCTACTCAGCCTCCAACGAGTACCCGGTGCAGTATGTAAACATCGCCACTGGGGTGACAAAGCACAGTGGATGTGGTGCTGTGGCCACCTACGCCCTCATTTGCCGTTCGGGCCTTCATAAATGCTTGCTTATAGCACTTGCCCCAACAGTCTGTTAAGCCTAAAAAAGGGATCTTTGTGTGGACGTGGGCCTGCCCTCCCGCCTCACACAACAATTAATCCCTCAAACGTCCCTGTATGTGTCTTTATCTTGGTCCCCGTGTCTCTGTCCCTGTACAGCAAGTCCTCGTTGAACACGCTAAATGTGTTCCTGAAAAGTGCCAGGTAAAGCGAAAAACAATTCCCCATAAATAATGTCGCGATAAAGTTTGGCGCGATACAATATAAGCACACACGTTAAGATGGTGGGACAAATAACGGAGGGTACGCGCTGTTACTGTATCATTCCCCATACTGTGTCGTACTGCTCAGCTGAGCAGCTCAAGAAAATAGTCCATCGTTGGACCGCTCAGAAACCGCGTGATAACGGTGTGCGCGTTCCGCGTTATAACGGTGCGTTTTCCGCATTGTGCGAAAAGTGTTCCCCAAATGGAAGAACCGCGTTTTAGCGAAAACGCGTTGCGTGAACGCCACACGTTAAAGTGAGGACTTACCGCACGTGTGTCTGTATGTCCGTGTGTCGATCTCGATCGCTGTTCTCTGTACCAGTGTGTGAATATATGTGAATGTGTTTCTGTCCGCTGTTCCCCCACCACCAACTCTCCCCCCTTCTCTCACCGCGGTTGAACCCCCGTGTGGGCTGCCCAGCCCCGACCCCGCGCACCATGCCCGGGTTGCACACGGTCGTGGTCCCTGGCGCCCCCCGCGGGCCCCCGCGCTGGTGAGCGTTGTACGTCCCTCCGCCACTACCGGCGCTCGTCTGCCGGTAGTCTCGCCCACCAAATCCTCCGGCAAAGCTGGTGGTGGTGGAGGAAGAATTGTCAAAACAAGAAGGGGAGGACACATGGGTTGGTGATGACACCGGGCACCGTGTATCACAGTTCACGCACGCCACCACCATCAGCGGACATTCAGTGAATTGTCATGCGAGCGAGCTGTGAGTAATGCATTATATTGCGAGCACAACGGCTGATGTTGCGAGTGTTGCGGTGTCGGTGGTTGGCTGTTTGGTGTGGTGGTCACCGCTTGGGGCGCCCGCGTGCCGGCTTGCTGCGGTGCTCCTGAGCCATCGTCTCGAGCCACGAGGGGACCTCCTGGTGCGCCTCTACCAGCAGGTGCAGCAGCTCCCGCGTCATGTTCTCATTCTTCTCGTTATAGAACGACGTCGCTTGGCCTGCACGGGGTGGCGGAGGTGTGTGCGTGAGTTTACAGCAGCTGTGTGCATGTACCTGTGCACGCCAGTGCAGCGCGTGCAGGAGCTGTGGATGTGTGTGCACGTGCGCGTACCCAGGTTGCCGACTCGTCCCGTGCGTCCGATGCGATGCACATACTCCTCAATGTCGCTCGGGAGGTCAAAGTTGATGACGTGCTTCACGTTCGGGATGTCCAACCCACGTGCTGCCACCTGGGGGAGAGCAGGTGGGTGAGGTAAAGCGGAAGTCATGTGACCATTCATTTCCTCAGCGATTGGACAATTTGTCACGATTTGGAGGGTCTCGATTTAAAGCTTTCGTGACTGCAGGGATTCATCTTCTTGGTTCTTTCGGTAAAGTCACGTAGAAGGGAAGTAATAAAATAATAAAACATAATAAAATAATTCTCACGACGTTTCGGCCACAACGCAAGCAGACTGTCTACTTGACGGACCTGTTCTCCACCTGAGGACGGCTGCTTGCGTTGTGGCCGAAACGTCGTGAGAATTATTTTATCATGTTTTATTTTTATTATTTTATTACTTCCCTTCTACGTGACTCTACCGAAAGAACCAAGAAGATTTGGAGGGTCCTCGATTCAATTCAAGGATGGATTCTTTTTGTTAATCTCGTTTTGTTCGAGTTGCTTGTACTGTCGCATCTCGTTTTCAATGGCTGCCTCGTTTGCAAAAACGCTGACTCATTTAATCCATCCAGGAAGGCCCGTGCCCCGTGCCCCACGGACACGGCGGCTGGAATGTTTACCGCAGTGGCGACGAGGATGGGCCGGCGGCCTGTGCGGAAGAGGCTGAGCGCCTCCTCGCGGTCGCGCTGCGAGCGGTCCCCGTGGATGCTCGTGCAGGAGTAGCCCTCCGAGCACAGGAAGCCCTGCAGCGCGTCCGCTCCCTTCTTCGTCTCCACAAACACCAGTGTGAGCGAGTCCCGCCCTGAGCAACGGAATAACGACGACAATGATGATGATAGCGGGACCGGTAGGTTTTACAGCAGCAGTGACGGCTACGATGCTGGCGATAATGGTTGCTACATTAGCAGCTGTTAGAGCAGCAACATCAATTACGGGAAACAACAGCAGTGGTAGCGGATGCAGCTACAGCAGGTGAGAGATTAAATAAATCCGAAGTGAGAACGGCGTGGCGAGGAGTGAGTGGCGGTGCGCGCTGAGAGGGGCGCGAGTGATTTGCATCACAAGCGGGCGGCAGCATCACCAGTGAGTGTATCAGTGAGACGCGAGAGTCGTGGGAAGGGGTGAGCAGTGATTGGCGAACAGCAGCGAGGAATGCGAGCAGCGAGAGCAGCACCATCACCGGTGGCGTTGAGGAGGTCGAGCAGGAACGAGCGCTTGTCCATCTCCTCCACCCACACGACCTTCTGAGTGATGTTCTCCGAGGCCGATCCCACTCGCCCCACCGCCAGGAAGATGTAGTCTTCCAGGAAATCACGGGCCAGGATCTTGGTGGGGGGGACGGGGGGGGCAAAGCAATGGCGGCAGTCAAAAACGTGGGCGGCGCAATGGCAACGCGTGGAGGGGTGTGGAAGGGGACAGCCCGGTTTATTGTTATCGTCAAAAGCTGTGAACATTCCATGAGAGCTACCTCTGAGATCCTTCGAGTAACCACTGTTCCAAAAAGTAGGGCTGGGCAGCACTTTCCCCCACCGAGAGTAAATGTTCTTTCACATGACAGTAAATCCAACATCGTTAGAAGCTCCAAGCACGTGGAGCGAAATGAAGGACGCAGTGCCGAACAACACTCGGTAACAAACCCCCAAAACACATCAGAAGAGCTGCAGAGCAGTCAAGAAATCCTGCGCATCGAAATTGATGATTCTCAACAACTGGAATTTAGCCATATTAAGTGCAAAAGCAAAATTAGTGGTGCAAGTGCTGTGTGCCTTACGGACATATAGATATGTTCAACGCATAAAACTCCTGCAAGCAGCCGTCCTGAGGACGGCTGCTTGCATTGTGGCCGAAACGTCGTGAGAATTGTTTTATTATGTTTTATTTTTATTATTTTATTACTTCCCTTCTACGTGACTTTACCGAAAGAACCAAGAAGATGAATCCCTGCAGTCACGAAAGCTTTAAATCGAAATCTATTTCTGTTATTTTGGGATTAAATGTTCTTTAAGCCCAAAGCTTAAAGACATTTCATCTGCTCTCCGCCACCTCCTCTAACCGTAGACTTTCAACCGTGTCCCACCTGGATCTCCTTGGGGAAGGTGGCGCTGAACATCAGGGTCTGGCGATCGCCCTTGGTCGGCATCACGTCCTGCTCCACGATACGGCGGATCTGCGGCTCAAATCCCATGTCCAGCATCCGGTCAGCTTCATCCAGGACCAGGTACCTGAGGGGAAGGGGTGGTAGCAACAACCACAATCAATCACGCGCACACTGGGATCGTTGTAAACAATAATTTATTAAATAAAAAAAACTAAAATTATTTACCTGGACAATCCCTCGACATGGAATATTTCATTTGCAAGGTTGTCCAAAATTGATTATCGACTTTTTGATAATCAATTTGGAAATTATTATGTTCACGAAATGTGCGATGAAAATAACCATCAACGACGTGCTTCGTTTTAGTCAACGTACAACTACAAGTGGATGAAAACCACCAAAGCGGGATGATGACTATGACTGCTGCCCACCAGACATCTTAGCGTGGCTGACTCGTGACGAGACGCAGTTCAAGAGTCGAGTGAAGATTGCACATTAAGATAGTTTAGAAACGCTTTAAAGAGACTGCGGGGCACACCGAGGAATACCAAACATGGCAATCTCCATATATATAAAAAGCAAAGTTGTGAATGTGTGTCTGTTCCAAATGCTTAGCGTACTTCCCGACATGCAACAAACTGGAAATTTGCCATGTGGGTACTTTCCAGACTGTACATAATGCAAAAATTATCAAATAATACTTTTGTTTTTTTTTGGGGGGGGGGGAGCTCAATAATGCATTTATTTTTTGCACGGCAAGTGAGCTGTGACGTCACATCTGTCACGCGACCCGCGCACGTGGAAGCGTAACGCATTGTAGTGTAGTGGTTAGCGCGCTGCGCTACGAACCCGGCGACCCGAGTTCGATTCCCGCTCACGGCCACCACCAGTGAAGATTATTTAAGACTACCGAGTGTGCACATTGGCTTCCGAGTGTGTAGGTGGGCTACTGAGTGTGTAGGTGGGCTACTGAGTGTGTAGGTGGGCTACTGAGTGTGTAGGTGGGCTACTGAGTGTGTAGGTGGGCTACTGAGTGTGTAGGTGGGCTACTGAGTGTATAGGTGGGCTACTGAGTGTGTAGGTGGGCTACTGAGTGTGCAGGTGGGCTACTGAGTGTGTAGGAGGCTACGGAGTGTGTAGGTGGGCTACTGAGTGTGTAGGTGGGCTACTGAGTGTGTAGGTGGGCTTCTGAGTGTGTAGGTGGGCTACTGAGTGTGTAGGTGGGCTACTGAGTGTGTAGATGGGCTACTGAGTGTGTAGGTGGGCTACTGAGTGTGTAGGTGGGCTACTGAGTGTGTAGGTGGGCTACTGAGTGTGTAGGTGGGCTACTGAGTGTGTAGGTGGGCTTCTGAGTGTGTAGGTGGGCTACTGAGTGTGTAGGTGGGCTACTGAGTGTGTAGGTGGGCTACTGAGTGTGTAGGTGGGCTACTGAGTGTGTAGGTGGGCTACTGAGTGTGTAGGTGGGCTACAGAGAGTGTAGGTGGGCTACTGAGTGTGTAGGTGGGCTACTGAGTGTGTAGGTGGGCTAGTGAGTGTGTAGGTGGGCTAGTGAGTGTGTAGATGGGCTACTGAATGTGCAGGTGGGCTACTGAATGTGTAGGTGGGCTACTGAGTGTGTAGGTGGGCTAGTGAGTGTGTAGATGGGCTACTGAGTGTGTAGGTGGGCTACTGAGTGTGTAGGTGGGCTACTGAGTGTGTAGGTGGGCTACTGAGTGTGTAGGTGGGCTACTGAGTGTGTAGGTGGGCTACTGAGTGTGCAGGTGGGCTACTGAGTGTGTAGGTGGGCTACTGAGTGTGCAGGTGGGCTACTGAGTGTGTAGGTGGGCTACTGAGTGTGCAGGTGGGCTACTGAGTGTGTAGGTGGGCTACTGAGTGTGTAGGTGGGCTACTGAGTGTGTAGGTGGGCTACCGAGTGTGTAGGTGGGCTACCGAGTGTGCAGGTGGGCTACCGAGTGTGTAGGTGGGCTACCGAGTGTGTAGGTGGGCTACCGAGTGTGTAGGTGGGCTACTGAGTGTGTAGGTGGGCTACTGAGTGTGTAGGTGGGCTACTGAGTGTGTAGGTGGGCTACTGAGTGTGTAGGTGGATTTACTGACCGACAGTGGTCGAGGCCGACCTTGCCGCGTTCCATCATGTCGACGAGGCGGCCCGGCGTGGCCACGAGCAGGTGGCAGCCCTTCTGCAGTTCACGCACCTGGTTCCCAATGTCCGCTCCCCCGTAGACCACGCAAGGGCGCACGCACGAGCGGTACGCAAACTACGCGCGCACGCATACACACACGTGTGTAAGACTCATCTTCTTGGTTGTTTCGGTAAAGTCACGTAGAAGGGAAGTAATAAAAATTAACCCGTAAAAACAAAGTTTTTCACTATAAATCCTTTATATGCGTGGCATCAGTTTTATTGTATTAATTTCAGTTTTTCTTGAGTAAGAGATTCATTTTTATCACATTGGTATTTTATATTAAATATGAAATTTATTTTTTTCTTAAAAAGTGGAAAATTTAGGAAAAAAAATTTCACGAAAATAAATTGTCACGCACAACGAGTCTGTGTGCAAAATGTCAGCTCGATTGGATCACGGGAAGTGGGTTAAAAAACGACCGAAAATTTTGCACGGTCGTAAGCAAGCAAGCAAGTGAACTTAATATAAAGGATTTAAAAAGAGACGCTGTCTCCCCGACAGACCTGGTCTTCACCTGAGGACGGCTGCTTGCGTTGTGGCCGAAACGTCGTTTATTATTTTATTATTTCCCTTCTACGTGACTTTACCGAAAGAACCAAGAAGATGAATCCCTGCAGTCACGAAAGCTTTAAATCGAAGTGTAAGACTATCCGGTAAGCACAAAGACGCACACACAATGTACATGCGTATAAAATGACACAATTACAAAGATCCCCAGACTGTTGGGGTAAGTGCTGTTAGCGAGCACCTATGAAGGCTGGCATGGCTCACAATGGGGGTGACCAGCACCATGTTTCCCTCATGGCGATGTTTACACATCTCACCAGGTTCTCATATGAGACAGAGTCGAGTTACGAGAGGCCCAGAACCGGTTCAGATGATCGTCACTGATGTAGCCTGTGAGCAGGACTCAAACTCGGGTCTACGGGTCATAGCGCAGCACGCTAAAAACCGCTACACGACCACTCCCCTCAAAATGACACGTACACATACAAAGACCCCCTGTATAGCCTTAACAGACTGTGGGGGCAAGCGCTGTTAGCGAGCACCTATGAAGGCCGGCACGGCACACGGGGGGGTGGGTGGCCAGCACCACGCCCGACCGCCTTTGTCTCCCTAGTGGCAATGTTTACACACCGCACCAGGTACTCATTTGAGGCTGAGTCGACCTAGGGGAGGCCCGGGACCGGTTCAGATAATCGTCACTGGTGTTGGCCGTGAGCGGGAATCGAACCTGTGCCACTGGGTTCATAGCGCAGCACACTAACCGCTACACTACCGCTCCCCACACGTACACATACATACGCACTCCCACACACAACGTACATGTACCAAGTGTAGGTTTTAAGCACAAGTCCACATGCACAATATTCTCTACGGTGCTGGCTTTCTCTCTATGGCCATTATGAACCTCCTGACAAAGAAATTTAGAGATCCAAAGGGCTCAAGGCCAGACCCTCAGAAGTGTCAAGCTCAGTGTCTCTGACACAGCGATTATAACCCCCCCTAACCTCTTATAGAGGCACCCAGACCCAGGTCCCAAGCCCAGTTCCTCAGTTTCTCCGGTCCCCGTACCTTGCGAGCTTCGTCGTAAATCTGCAGTGCCAGCTCCCGAGTTGGCGCCAGCACAAGCGACATGGGGTACTGTTTCCTTTGCCCATACTTCACCGTCTCCTGTGGCAGAAGCTAGACGTTGTGATGAAAACAATTTAACAGTGTCCTTGGTTTACAATGTAACAGTCTCAAGATTTTGTCGGCAGTGTCCTGCTACACCGGGATTGCTTGGCCACGATTTGCGTTAACGTGCGCTTGGCTTTGTGTGGGATTAACTGAAGAAACCCACCACACTTAAAAGATAACAAAGCTCTGCACAGATAGATTTCAAGAATCCACTTGCTGTAGTCGTATATCCTGGGCCACCTTGCAGTCCAATTGGTTTTGAGGTTCCACAATTATATGTTCAAATTGTGTTAGGGGCATTATTAAAATGTCAAATATTTGCATTTTTAACTCTTGCAGACAGCAGCGTACTACCATGTGTCATAGGACAGCCTGCTCGCGTTTCAATTAATGATCATGCTTCATGGTTGAGATTCTGATAATTAGCAGTATTTTTGCATTATGGTGAATCTAACACGTCCAGAGGCTCTACTGGGAAGGTAAAACAATTAACAGAACATATACAAACCAAATATTAATTATATAAACTATTATTACATTTGACTTGATTATTGTATGGTGAGCATAAGCATTCATTTTAATACCTGGCGAAGGGTCTGAGACCATCAGCTCAATACACTTCAGAATCCGGTTCAATCACAGATGCACGGCTGAAATTTAGGATTTTAATCCAGAGCTCTGAACCACCCAGCAGCCAAATTTAGATTTAAAGCTTTCGTGACTGCAGGGATTCATCTTCTTGGTTCTTTCAGTAAAGTCACGTAGAAGGGAAACAATAAAATAATAAAAATAAAACATAATAAAATAATTCTCACGACGTTTCGGCCACAACGCAAGCAGCCGTCTTCAGGTGAAAACCAGGTCTGTCGGAAAGACAGGTTTGTCGGAAAGACAGCGTTTTTCCTTCACCTGAGGACGGCTGCTTGCGTTGTGGCCGAAACATCGTGAGAATTGTATTTTATTATTTTATTATTTCCCTTCTACGTGACTTTACCGAAAGAACCAAGAAGATGCACCCAGCAGCCACTTAAGGACCTGTTCAACAGCAGGGGCATCTGTAACTGGGATTCCAAACCAGAATCACAGTCGTCCTGGGTTCAGTGTCTCCGACCTCTTAGTCACTCGCCAATCTCGTTAACTTGGTCTAATGTTGGGGCGGCGGCTTAAACAGAGTCCAACCGAGGGTTGAAGCAGTGCTGGCTCAGGGCTTCTGATCTCTAGGCCACGTGACGAATTCCTTTACCTGCGGGTTCTTGGTGTCTTCCACCACCTTGCCTGGCCCTCCGGTGTAGATCTGACTTAGGATCGGGAGGAGGAAAGCAGCCGTTTTTCCAGAGCCTGTGGACGAGTGTTCACCAACAGAGTTAGCGCCACTAAACGTTTGAGAAAATATGATACAGACCATTATTTTTCTTTGTCTTTTCTTTCTCCAAATATATTACACCTTGGCCACATTACAAGACTAAGAATCAAATTGAAATCCCTCAGAGCAGTGTGTCACAATGGCTGCGGAAGAGATTTTTCACGAGATTTCAACAAATAAATTATTTCAAGTGGCCTCTGTATCCTTCACACACTAAGGGGCACACTTTCCCCCACTCTGCTATGAGACTGTTTACATCACAAGTCAAGCAGATTTTATATTTTAGTGCAAAATCAAATTTAACATCATGGTTTTCTTGTGCAGTCCATTTGCAACACTCGAGAACCGGGATTCAAAACCAGGATGTCAGCGGAGCCGGCTCAAACGTTCTGCACAATGATGCATGTTCCCTCTGAGTAGAGACACACGATAATCTGGCTAAATGCAAAGCCCTCTGGGTAGAGACACCGAGAGCTTTGCCTGCGTGACGACACGGCTTGAGTCACACGGGGTAATTATGGCGATGTGAGAAACGGCCACGCACCGGTCTGTGCACACGCCATGAGGTCACGCTTGGCCTTGATGATAGGGATGGCGTACTTCTGCACGGGCGTGGGGCGCTCGTAGCGGCACAGCGTCACGCTGCTCATGATGATCTCTCCCAGCTCCAGCTCGTGGAACTGACACGTGTGCACACAGGCACACATCAACAGCCGCTCTATGCGCATACACGGCCACGTGTAAACACATGCCTCCACAAACATGCTCACACTAAGATAAAATATCTATCAAGGCCGGAAGGATGCAGCATCAGCCCAAGGGTGGGCCTTAGCCCACAGCCAGAAAAACAATTCGAGATCAGCCATCTAGCTCTGAGGCTGATACCTACCGACCAGCACGGCAAATACAATGGATTACTATTATTGCACATCGACAGAACATGGCCAAAAACGTTTGGGAATAAAATTCTGGTCGGCAAGAATTGTTGCGAAGATTGCGTAGTGTGGATTGCGCTGCGTAGACTGAACGGTGTGAACTGCACTGTGACGATTGTGATAAGGATTGTACTGTGAGCATTGCACGGTTTAGATATATGTATGTTGATGAATGTATGTATACAGAGACAAAGGCGGCCGGGTGTGGTGCTGGCCACCCACCTCCTCGTGTGCCGTGCCGGCCTTCATAGGTGCTCGCTAACAGCACTTGCCCCAACAGTCAATGTTAAGGCTATAGGAGGGATAGGTGCGAATGGCACGGAGAGGAATGCATTGTGAGAAGCAATGGTCACATGGTGAGCTACTCACACTCTCGATGTGCGGAGGGCAGTCGTTACCCGTAGCCTCCACCGGGATGTCGTCATATTTCTCAAAGTTTATTCCTGTGTTGCTGCCGGCAAACAGCTCCCTGTGGTGGGGGGGGGGGGGTTGTAACACGCACAGAAGCAAGTAAGGAGAAGTGCGATGGAAATAATCTATACCAAGGACCAACAACCGTCTCCTACCAGGCGTTGTTTCTCCATGACAGCTCTTCCATCTCGAAAGCCACCCCCCACTGCACAAATGCAGCAGCGTTCAATCAACACCTCTTAAAAGAGACACTTACATGCCCCGCCTCGTTGGCCAGGCTTTCCGAGTGACGCTGAGCTTGTTTCCGTACCTCAAAGTTATGGTTATTTAGATCTGTTAAATATTTTGTGTGCTATAAATTGCAAACAGTTCTGCGACATCTGCTTCTGTGGGCCCCTAACACGGGGTAATGTACTCCTTTGTGAGACTCTCAATGGACAATCTGGTATCGGGATATAAATCCCAACAGCAGGATCAGGATAAGTTGTTGAGAGTTGGGTAGAGGGCACAAATCTTTCAATAAATCAATAGAAGCACGATGACAAATTATCGATTTGTACAGGCACGGTTCTATAAATATCCGACGAACATAATAATCAATGTTATGCATCACTGAAATCCCTAAAACAGTGTCCGTCACTCTAACACTAACCTTATTCCAAATTTTAATACTAACCCTTCACCCGAGCCCCTAACGCAAGCCCCAAGTCTAACCCCAACACCTAACACCGAAGCTCTAACCGTGTCGCTATCCCATAACTCCAGCCCAAGCAATTAACCCCCTAATCCTTAACCTGAACCCAAACAATAACCCAATGCTTAACCTTATCCCCACCCCTCAACCCTACCCCTAGTTGGGGATCTCACTTCTCAATACGGTCATTGCGAGGGAGAGGCTTGGTCCAGTCGTCCCCTCCGGGGCCGCCCCCTCCTCCTCCACCGCCGCCCCCACCGGCCGCCGTGGCGGTGTCACGAGGCAGCGGCGGCTGGAAGGAGCTCACTCCGTCACGGGCTGGTGGCTGGTACGAGCTTCCACTGCTAGCCTGAACCACAAGGGATACGCGGCACAGGGAGGCAATGTTAGAATGGAGGAAGACGCACGAGGGATAAGTTGGGAGAGACAGGCAGAGACAGTGAGAGATACTGGGATGCATGCAGAGTATCACAGGTAGAGATGGACACAGTGAGAAATGGAGACACGGGGCAACACAGGGAGGGATACAGCGGGAGACACTAGAATGAGTGGAGAGAAACATGGGTACAGATGGAGACACAGGGAGAGATGGGAGGGAACATAAGGAGAGGTGCGTAGAACACACGAGAGGCAAGGAGTGAAACAAGTAGGAAACACACGCAGAGACATGGAGAGACACACGGAAAGCGACGGAGAGCCACACAGGGCGAATAATTCTATGCCGACATGACGGGCTGTACCTGCGGGGGCTGATATGTGTTTCCATCTCTCGCCGGTGGTGGCTGGTACGTGTTGCAGTCCAGGTGCTGCGCCGGCTGCTGCTGTTGTTGCTGCTGCGCCGCCGCGCTGCGGTCGAAGCGATTTCCGGGGAAGGAGCCACGGTAGACGCGCTGCTGGTCGCCCACTCCACCACGCGAGCCCTCGTAGCTGCAGGCCAAGCGACACGGCCGCTTAAAGATCACTTACAGCTGTTCCGTACCTCTTTTGCACTGGAACATCGGCGAACCGCTGGGGTGGCTCGGAATGGTCCCGGCCAAAGGTTGGATGTCTATTTAACTACTCTGTACATGCGAACGCGTGTGTATACATGTGTGCGCGTCCCTCTCACCGTGTGGGGCGCCCTACTCCCCCACGTCCGCCGCGCGGGGCACCGCCAACCCCCATGCCCCCTCCCATGCCCCCTCCCATGCCCCCACCCATTCCCGCGCCCATGCCACCTCCCATGCCACCTCCCATGCCGCCACCGATGCCTCCGCCGACGCCGGGGTAGTTTGCGAAGGGCTCGTTAGGAGCGCCCCACGCGGCCGTGCCGTTATCACGTCGCTCGTACACCATGTAGCCTGCAAAAGACAAACACAGACACGGTTACACACCATCATTGCCAGCCACGACCTAACCACTGTTGAAGGACTTTCCCCGGTTGACAGCATCCCTCAGTCACGCGATGCAACGATATACACCTTGCACCTGCACAGGAGATTATCTACATCGCTCAACCTCCACAGTCCATGTTCTATTTGGTGGGCTGCCTCTTTCACGGAGTGGCAGGTGTAGAAGTGGGGGTGTGGTAGGTGCGGTTGGGGAGTGTATGGAGAGTGACGACTGCAGTGTGTGGATATGGTTTTGTAAAGTGGATTCAGTGATTCTTCTGGGCGTGGTTGTAGTATGGTGGGTGTGGTGTCTTTGCTGTGTGTAGTGTGCTGTGTGGCGGTGTCTGTGCGTGACAGAGATGTGGCTGGGTGTAGTTGCCATGTGGCTGCATGTGGTATGGATGTGTGTTGTTGTGGTGAGGTTGCGTGTGGTTGTGGCTGACACTGGTGTGGCAAGCCTTACCGGTGTTGGCGGGCGCTCCGTGCTGGTATGCCACACGGCCACGGAAACCCCCACGGCCCCGATCCCCTCCGCGCCCCCCACGCCCGCCATATACAGCTCCCCGCTCGAAGCCGTTGGTCAGCATCGTTACGTCCGGGCCATAGCCGTTGATGTATATGCCACCACTGCCCGCGTCGCCCTTCGCTTCCCAACTACCATCTGGTAAGGGGGGAGGGGTAAGGGGGTGTGTGGTTAGTGTGACATTGTACATACAAATATATGAACAGAGAACCACAACAAAGACAAAGATCCCCCGTATAGCCTTAACACCTTTGAAGGCCAGAATGGCACACGAGGGGGTTGGTGGCTAGCACCACGCCCGGCCGCCTTTGTCTCCCCAGTGGTGATGATTACACACACCAGGTACTCATTTTGAGGCTGAGTCGACCTAGGAGACGAACATGACCAGTTTTGATAATCATCACTGGCGTTGGTCGTGAGCGGTAATCAAACTCGGGTAGCCAGATTCATAGCGCAGCGTACTAACCACTGCGCCACCACTCCCCACCACACAAACATAACCATACACCCACCCACACACAAAGATCCCCTTATTACCTTCAACAGACTGTAGGGACAAGTGCTGTTAGCGAGCACCTTTAAAGGCCGGCACAGCAGACGAGGGAGAGATGTGGCCAACCCCACACCCGCAACCTTTGTCTCCCCAATGCTGATGTTTACACATTGCACCAGGTACTCATTTAAGGCCGAGTCGACCTAGAGGAGGTCCAGGACCGATTAAAATATTCTCCACTCTTATTGGTCGTAAGAAGGAAATTGTGCTTACGTCACCACTACATTACCACTCCCCAAGAGACACAACATACACAGAGCCATCTTAATACATACACTCACACAACAGGAAAAAAAACTTCATCCAGCCTTTATCAGACACAGACACTTGGACATTTGCACACTTATTATGTACAGACATGCATATACCGAAAAATCTGCACACAAAAGGATACGCATACACATACATGAAGACAGACACACACATGCATACATACATACCTACACATGCCCATCTACACACAAAGTTACATAACCACCGCATGCACACACACACACAATCCAAGGCAGTGCTTACCTTGTCTCGGCCCGTCACGTCCGCGGTAGTGCGTAGCCATGTAGCGCCCGCCTGCAGGAGGGAAAGGGGAGATAGGGGGTGGGAGGGGAGGAGGAGTCAGAGGTAGAGAGAGGAAGGAGTGGGAAGATTTGAGAGGGTGGAGGGATTGGGTGAAGTAGGGGGTAGAAGGGAGAGGAAATGGAGGAAAAGGATTGGGGATGGGGAAGAGGGGAACAAGGAATGAGAGGGGGTGGGGGAGCACAGCAGGGAGGGAGGAGGATAGGGGGGGGGGAGAGGGGAGGGGAAAGGAAGGGGAGGGTAAGCAAGAGAAAGATGTGCATTAGACAATGACTCACACTCCCCCGATCCTAAGGACTTGACGTATCAGGGGGAAGAGGAATCATGGTGAGGACGTGAATGGGGTGTAATCAGGATAAGAGGTATCTGGAAGGGGCGGCGATAGAAGGAAGAGGGAGATGTGGAACCACAATGCGGTGGAAATCAGAAAGAGGATTTAATGGACGATGCGACATCAGGGTGAGGATGTATTACAATAGGGTGATAGATGAGGAGGTATTATGATGAGGTGGTAGTGGAAGCGATGTTGAGCGCCACTCACGGGGAGGCCCTCCTCGGCCACGTTGGTCTCCCATCTCTGCCACTGACATCGCCATGAACTGTGGAGAGACACAGAACACGGTGAGCGATCAACAGACGTGGCCGCCCCACCACAGGACTCCATTGTGCACCCAGTGGCCCATAACAAAAGTTCCACTGTACCTCGAACTGGCACTGATATTGATGTGATACACTAAAATAACAAAGATTCCCCCGTATAGCCTTAAAAGACTGTTGTGGAAAGTGCTGTTAGCGAGCAGCACCTATGAAGGCTGGCATGGCACACGAGGGGGTGGGTGGCCAGCATCACGCATTTGTATCCCTAGTGATGAGTTTCACACACAGCACAAGAGAAAATTTGAGGCTAAGTCGACGAAGGGGAGGCTCAGGACTAACTGTTTCAGATAATCATCACTGGTATTGGCCGTGAGCTGGAATTTAACTCGGGTCGCCGGGTTCGTAGCACAGCGCCAAACACTGCACTATCACTCACCCCATCCACTGAAATAGACAGTGTAGCACATACACTTACATACACATAATAGTTAATCATTTACAGTCTCCTCGATGAAGGCCTCCGAACGCCGTGTCGATCATTGGGGTTGATTGACCATACTTCACCACACTTATCACGAGGAAGGTTTATGGTCGTGGCATGGGGTGGGGGTGGTGATATTGGCCAGGACAGATTCAGTGAAGACTCGGCACTGATGTTAGCCTGAGTCGGAAATAGAATTTGGGTTACCGGTTTCGTAGCACAGTGGTTTTGTGCCACAGCTCTCTGTCCAAGCCTTTTAAGGTAATCCGAGATTAAAGCTGTTTAATCATATTAATGCAAGGTGCAGTTCCCTGGAGGTGAACTGGTCTACTCAATGCAGGCCTGACACCTTAAACGAGCTAGGAGTACCCACACTTTACTCCAACACACACGACGTGTACAATGTATTTCAGAATTAAAGCTCAACCCCAGGCAGCTGATATATTAAAAAGCTTTGGTCAAAACTATTATAATAAAACATGAACATTCTGTCTTGTAAAAAAAAGCACCTGCAGTTATAATTTTGTTTTAACACTTTAAAGTTTAAGCAAACTGTTGATAACATTCATCAGGACCCATAAGGACTAATACACCAAATACAGGGTGATCGATCCATTTATAGAGAACACAAAATAATAATTAAAAGAACAAAATAAATAGGCTGAAATATATCTACTTCATTTATCTGTCCGTCCACATTAAAAAAGAAAACAGTATTTTAACGAGAGTCCTTGCCGATTACCATCTGGTAGTTCATTGATCATTGATTTAAGCAAGCCGACTGCTGATGAAACCCGGTACGAATGCTGCTGAAATTAGGCTGTGGGCTGCGTATATTACTTTTATATGTGGAGGAACGTATACAAATTCAGAAGTGGCTTATTTTTTTCGTAATTTATAGATTCCCCCGACAGAGTTCGACTACTTTAAGCTAAATCAATAATCGAAACGCTTGCAGGCAAATGCACAACCCACTGCTAGACGAAGCGCATCAGAGAGAGCAGAAAGTGAAGTGTTGACATTGGCGAACTTTGATAAATGTAGACGATTTGAATTAAAAAAGGTTGCCCATATACATTAGTAACTGGACTATTCTAGTGGGGCATCTATAAATGGATGGCTCTGTATTAAAAAAAATAGGTGTTGACACGTTATGGCAATAAAACATTTGTTAAGAGGTTCAAACACCAAATAGAAACCTTTAGTAAGGAATCAAGTAGTACATGAACCACACGTGCTTGTGTTGAACATGCTGTGATACACTACAAGGCATCGTCTTTGAAACTGATTGTCCGACAACAGAGACGTTAGCCTTTTCTAATGGCTTAGTCTCACTAGCAGTGCAAGATCCAGAGAACACTTTAAGATGTTTTCTTGTTCACGTTCATGTTTTTTGTTCGTTGCGGAGCCGAATGTCTCACAGGGCTACACCAAATTAATGAAACTAAACCAAAGTACAAAGACAATGGCACTTTACGAGCATTCATAGCTCGGGGTAAGCAACACAACGAATGGGACCTTATTGCCAGTATCATAAAAGGGTCACAATTTAGTAGAATGTAGTTAGTTTACGTTGCAATATCAGTAAGCCTAAACGCCGCGTTTAAGGTTGGTTGAGGTCTTGTTACAACTGAAGCCTCCGCGTCCATTTTGTGCTCCCACCCCCCTCCACCTCCTCCTCCATCTCTCGCTCTCACAAACACAAGGGAGATGTCACCCTGCCCACCCCGACGATGTTTCTTCTTCTTTGTCGTCGTCGTCAACCCTCCCCCACCGAGCGTCTCTTCCCTTCGATATGAAACGCGGCGATTTTCTTAGGCCCGATGCGCTTGTGCTGGCAATGGGTGCCGAGATCGAACAATGAACGCCACGCACATTCGTCAATAACGACAGGTGTGTGCGCGCGTTTGTGGGGGGCCTTAATATTATAATTAAATATGTTTACGTGCCTCTTATCCCCTTTAGTTATTTTAAGACAGGTGCTCTTGACGAATGTGAGGAGTTTATTTGAATTGATGATGTCTACCCCCCCCCCTCACCGCTTCAGCCCCAGCTACACCCCCAACGCGACCACGTGACACGCCCCGATCCCCCCGCCCCCTTCCCCCTGGTCACGTGACGCCGTCGCCGTCCAATCGCAGCGCGCGAGGGGGGGGGGAGCAACTTGGGCGGCAAAACCCAAATGGGTCAAGTGGGCGGAGCCAAACCAACAACGGGGCGGAGCTAAAGTAATTTAGGGGCGGAGCTAAAAAAAAGTAGGCGTGGCAACAAGCGCGAGAGAGAGGGGGGGGGGGCTCCCTGAGCCGGTCCCCCTCCCCCCGCCCCTCCACCCCCCCCCGCCCCTCCCCCCTCCCTCCCTCCCGCCCGCAACCCTCGAGGCCTCAGCCGCCATCTTAGAGGCCCAGGCCCCGGCTCGGCTTTCGGCAGCCGTCGCCGCCTCGCCGCTCCCCTCCCCGTCGGAACGCCGCGCGCCGCGCGACCGCACTCGCCTGCTGCTCCAGACTCATCGCGGCGAAGGGTTGTGGCCCGGTTGGGCGGGCGCGTAGCTTGTGAAAAAGATGTAAAACGTCACGAGTTAGACGGAAGCTGCGGAGGCCAGCCCTGCTCTCCGCGTCTTGGCAGCCGGAGGGGAGGGGCTGTAGAAGAGGGGGAGGGGCCATAGGGGGGAGGGGGGAGGGGTCATGTGACCACTCCTCCTCCCCCCTCCTCCCCCGGAAGTCTCGCGAGAGTTGGGGGGGGGGGGGCTACAGAGCACGAGATTTGGTGATTAGACGTGGGTTTGGATTTCATAGACTGGATTAGTTGCTGGAGGGTGAGAGGTGTTTTTAATTCGTAGACGAGATTGGATGTGGGTTAATTTCTAAGTATGGGGTGATCTTTATTTTATTTTTATTAATTTTGATGTTTTACCTACGTGACTTTGCCGACAAAACCTAAGAATATAAAAAAAACAACCACAACACATCTTCTTCTTGGTTCTTTCGGTAAAGTCACGTAGAAGGAAAGTAATAAAATAATAAAAATAAAACATAATAAAATAATTCTCACGACAGACCTGTTCTCCACCTGAAGACGGCTGCCTGCGTTGTGGCCGAAACGTCGTGAGAATTATTTTATTATGTTTTATTTTTATTATTTTATTATTTCCCTTCTACGTGACTTTACCGAAAGAACCAAGAAGATGAATCCCTGCAGTCACGAAAGCTTTAAATCGAAATTTAACCACAACACATTCATCAATGGTAATGTCTTAAGGAATATATAATAGGCTAAGCTTAGGGCTGTGTGACACTCTTCACTGCACATCAAGTTCAAGTTCATTTATTAGCTATAGCCCTGTGAGCCATTCAGCTCTTGAAATGGGTGCAACCGCAACAAACAAAAACATGAACAAAAAACATCTTAAAGTGAATATGTGACTAAGTGCAAACAGAAAATTCAAGAAAAGACAGCAAAATATTGCATAGAGAGACCAAAGAGGTAGAGTCATTTATGTCTTTTTAAGAACCATTGCCCGAAACGTCGCCTATGTTTTTTTTTCTTCCCATTTTAAAGCCACATCCGTTGTTATTGACGAACATTTCGGCTTTTTTGGGTTGCACACAACTGCCCTTACCCAAGCAACGTCATGCAAATGTGTTTCCATAATGCACCAGGGATACTGGATGTTGTTGTACCGGGTTCTGAAGAATATTCTTCGTGTTGGTATCCGGCTGAAATGAATCCTCGCCGCGCACACACAAACAAAAACACACAATACGTGACTTTACCGAAATAACCAAATACTATACAATACGTGGTTTGAAATTCGTAGTCGTGATAGGACGAGATAAGAATTCGTACACCTGATAGGCGTAACTTGATTTTGCAGTGCGCTTAAGCGTCATTAATAGGACTTTTGATTGCACTGACCGGCGGGGTGAAGTATGGTTGTTCAACAACGACTCCTCATCCAACCGTGGATTGACACGTGGCTGGAGAAGTATCGATCCGCACAGCAGATAACTGATGGAAACCGGGCTGTTTCAAAATGCTAGACTGGATAGGACCCAACGACTTAAATTCCCACATCGGATAAGCGTAGCCTTTGTATTTCGACGCGTGGTCAAGCTTGTTTAGATTCCACACACCGGATAAGCTACGGAAGACGGATGCAATTGGAATTCATAGACCGCATGCGCTCCATCCACGATCACTGTACAACTTTGGACGCGACGCTGAACGTGGCCCAATGTGGCTGCGACATCTCTGAAGCTAAGCAGGGATAATAAGTAAACCCGTAAAAACAAAGTTTTTCACTATAAATCCTTTATATGCGTGGCGGCTAGAGTCCTCTCGTCCTCTGGCTTGAGATGGCTGCCACCTATGGGTCAGATGATTGTCTGCAGTATTAAAACAATTGGTAATTAAATATAATATTTTTGTCCTATAAAGTGTAAAATTTTGGAAAAAAATTTTCACGAACATTAATTGTCACGCACAACGAGTCTGTGTGGAAAATGTCAACTCGATTGGATCATGGGAAGTGGGTTAAAAAACGACCGAAAGATTTGCACGGTCGTAAGCAAGCAAGCAAGCACGCAAGCGAACTTAATATAAAGGATTTAAAAAAAAACCGAGCCTGATTTTAAACATTTCTGTTTATAACCACCGTGTTATTGTACGGGGAAATTTAGTTTTCAGGTTCATACGGGGTACAGGACCTTTCAATAGTCAATGTGGGCAAAAGAAAGCCCTCCCACCCACATAGTTTGTGTTATTCGTTTGGTGACCAGTAAGGTTTCTAATAAGATAGGGCATTGATAATTGGTGTGGGTTTAGGAGTGACTACCACGCAGTCCAAAGCGATGTCCCTCCCCACATCCATTGAGCAGCATTGAGGCATTGGTGCCCATCTCCCGCATACGGCCTCGAGGCAGTGTTGGAAATTCCACATTCCTATGGCGGGGACGATGCGTCCATCACAACCCACCGATGATTGGGCAGTCAACCGCTGAGCCATCTGCTATCCGTAGTGATAATAGCAGGTCGTATAGGTTGACCAGCGTGGTGAAGTATGGTGAAATAACTCATCCCGCGACTTGGCACGGCGTGGGTCGTCATCCAGCAGCGGATTAACGAATGAAGCGTTAATACCATCGATTCCAAACTTTTCTTCTCTCTCTCTTCTCTCGACTATACACACAGCAACGAGGTTAATCGTGAACGCAGTGATCGAATGCATACTCTTAGGGGTTTTTTTCGGTAAAGTCGCGTAGGTAAAAAGAATAATGAAATAATAATAATAAATTAGAAATAACTAAATTTAATCACGTGACTTTACCGAAAAAACCTAAGAGTATGAATCCTTGCAGTCACGAAAGCTTCAAATCTGATGGAATGCAATCGCGGTCCAGTAAACATTCTTTTCACAATCCACTGCTGGATGAAAGGACCTCCCTCCCCACGCCGTTTTGACCATACTTCACCACACCGGTCAAAGGGGAGGGCAAGCGTAGCAACCGGTCCAGGCTTTTCACCCGCCACTGATGTTGGCCGTGGCTGGGAATGGAGGAGTTGTACACCCCTAGCTGCCACTGCTATTACTGGTAGGAGCCTCCTGGTTACACCAGCCCACAGGGCATTATTGTGTCCGTCGTGCAGGGTGGGGCTGGGTGGGGAGGGGCTGGGTGGGGAGGGGCTGGGAGGGGAGAGTGGGGAGGGGCTGGGTGGGGAGGGGCTGGGTGGGGAAGATGGGGAGGGGCTGGGTGGGGAGGGTGGGGCTAGGTGGAGAGGGGAGGGTGGGGAGGGGCTGAGTGGGGAAGATGGGGAGGGGCTGGGTGGTGAAGGTGGGGAGGGGCTGGGTGGGGAGGGTGGGGCTGAGTGTGGGGTGGGGAGGGGAGGGTGGGGCTGGGTGGGGTGGGGTGGGAGGGGTGGGGCTGGGTGGGGAGGGGCTGGTCACCCTGTGGTGCCCTTATAAAACTCAACGTTTAACCTACTCACGCCGGCTTGTGCCCGCCCTCACAGTCGGCCATATTTGCGGAATACACCACGCCGCCGTTGACCCTGGCCATTGACCGAGCAACCCGACGTTCCTACCAGCTCCCTCCACAGGAATGTGTTCAGTGGCCTAAAATAAAATGTTTTGCTCCGGATGACCGCTGCAAAGTATGATCTGTGTTTTGATTTAGTGTGCTGATCTTAAAGGTGCATTGAACATTTTTGATACTCCGACTGATGCTCCTGCTGTTGTAGAGTGACTCATGCAGCCAGCTATGGCTGCAAGGTTTGGTGGTAAATGTTGTTTATGTCGTTTATTGTGAAAATTCGGTCACAGTTCCTATGATCACTGTTACATTTCTTTTATGGCTTTATTTTGGTGATTTCGAAAACTTTTTTGTTTGGCCATGTTTGTTTGTTGTAGTATGGAGTTAGGCTGATGGCCTTAATCTAAGTTGTCTTGTGGTTGTTGTTGTTGTTGTTTGACTTGCATCCCACTGGGATTTTTGCACACAGCGTTGCTTTTTATCTGGAATTTTTGCTGTTTTTTTCCTGGATTTTCTGTTTGCACATAGCCACATAGTCACTTTAAGATGTATTCTTGTTCATGTTTTAGTTTTTTTGTTCGTTGCGGTTGCACCCGATTCAAGAGCCGAATGGCTCACAGGGCTATACATATCAAATAAATGAAACTAAAATCGGGTTTTGTTTTTGCTTGGCGGGTTTTAATAGTGTGGCGCGCTAACCATTGCGCTCACCGCTCCCTACGTTGAGACTGCTCTCCGTTTTTATTTCGTAACGCGGATAAGCGCGGCGGGATCGTCGACTTTAACATTTCCCAATACACACGCGTACGACGGGAGAGCTTTGGAATTCGCAACGCGCAAGCGACAGCGTGCCGCGTATTTTCTAAATCGGATAAGCGTGGCATACATTTAAATAAATAAAAAATACTTCCAACCAAGGCTGTAATTATAATGCATATTGGGGGGACACACCCCACCCCCCCAATAAT